GCCCAGCGCAGCGCGGGCGGCGGGCGCGTGGGCCGTCGCGCCGCGCCGTACAGGGGGCGCACGTCCAGCGCCGCGTCGGGGGGTATCGGCAGGAACGGGTTGGGCACGTACGTGAATGTGTGCAGCTGCAGCTGCTGGATCTCGGCCGGCAGGTAGGTGAGGGCATTGCCGCCTACATTGAGCTCGCGCAGGTGGCGCAGGTCGCCGATGGCCGCGGGCAGGTGCGTGAGGTGGTTCTTGCGCAGCGAGAGCACGCCCAGGTTCGTGACCTGGAAGAGCGCGCTGGGCAGACGCGTCAGGTGGTTGTCCCATAGGTAGAGCTGCACCTGGTCGCCATTCGTCGTCTGGCTCGCGCTGGATGGGCGTGCGTCGACGCGCCGCGGCTCGATCGCCACAAAGTGCCGCAGGTCGCCGACGACCGACGGCACGCTCTCCAGGCCGCAGCCGCCTAGCAGCAGGGCCGGCCGAGCGCGCGCCTCGTCAAAGATGCGGTTCACGAGCGCGTCCCACTGGAGGTCTGCGCGGCTCGCCGCGTCGGTGGGCCGCGCGGGCTCGCGCGTGGGCGCGGGCGCGGGCGCAGGCGCCGCAGGGCCGGCACTGGCGCTGCCCTTCTGCGGCGACGCGTCGCTACGGCGCAGGCGCTGCACGGAGCGGGAGAACGACTCGGTGCGGCCCGCCGCACACAGGGGGTCGGTGCTGGCGCTCTCAGTGCGCTCGAATGCACGGCGCGCAGGAATGGTCGACGCCGTGACTGGCGACTCCAGCGAGCTGCCCAGCTCGTCGATCGACGACATGGACACATCGGACTGCGACTCGAAGAACTCGCCTAGCACATGGGGCGCGCTTGGCTGGGCCGCCGGGAGCACATTGAGGCTGCCGGCCGGCACCTCGGATGCGCCGCGACCCGGCGCCGTCGCCGCGCGAGACCACCGCGGGCGGGATGGCGGGCCGATCGACAGAGACTTGGCCGACGCCGAGAACGGGTCCGAGGCCAGCACGGACGTGCTGGATGTCGTGCGCTGGTACGGCGTCGGACTCGATGGCGGCGATGAAGAGAGCGTCGCCTGCAGCGGGGGCGACGATGACGACGTGGGCAGCCCGTCCCACGCGCCGCGGTACGTCATCGGCGTGGTCGGTGGACGAGAAAGGGCCGAATTCCAAGGGGCCTCCACCCCGGACTTAGGGATGTACATCGCCTATGAGTAGCTGCAGCAGGCGGGGCACCACCGAGCCGACGACCACATACAGGAGACCGAACGGAGGCGACGGCCCGGCCTGTGTCTCGGCCTCGTGGGAGCCCCGGAAGAAGCGGGAGATCGACGAGGACGCAGCGCCCAGGACCGCCTCGCCCGTCTGCGCGTGAATGGGGTGGTCGTGGTCGTGAGGGTGGTGCACGTGGTCGCTGTGGTGCGCGAGGTGCGCGCCCGCGGAGGGCGATGCGAGCTCCGTCACAGCATGGATGGCCACGTACAAAAATGTACCGCCACTGAACGAGAGGATCGCGCCGATCTTTCGCGTGTCCATCGAGTCGCTCGTCGTGCCCGTCGTGGGGAGCAGGACCTGCAACACGCCGTAGGTCAGCAGCGCAGACAGGGGCGTCGTCACACTGAACGCCAGGACCGCCCAGCGGATCTCGGCGCGCCGCAGCTGCCGCGACATGAGGAGCGTGCAGATACCGATCGAGGCAGGCGCTTTGTGGACCATGACCGCCAGCATAATTACGAGACGCAGCGACTGATTCGTGCTCTCGACCGAGGAGCCCATCGCCACGCCGTCCGCGGCCGCATGGACCAAGATGCCCAGCAGGCTGCCCAGCACCTGGCGCAGGGACGACGGGCTGCCGGGCCTCGTCGTCGGATCCCACGTCATCGGGCCCGCGCCCGCGCCCGCGCCACCGCTACGCATCTCCTCCTCGTCCGCGGGCGCGAGCGCGTCGTGGCTGCGCGCATGCGACTGCGCCACCATGTGCTGGTCGACACTACCGTTAGTCCCACGTACGTACGCAAACATAAGAAGGAACCCGCTCAGAAGGCAGAAAGCCACGAGGTCCTTCGACTGCAATAGGTGCGTCTCGTTCATGGGCTCGTCGCGGCACATGCGCCCCCGATACACGTTCGAGATGCCCTCCGGGATCACCACCGTGAGCGCCGCGCCGAGCAGCAGCCCTGCGCCCCACAGCTCGAGCTTGCGCAGGCTGCACCGCGAGAGACGGAACACAAGCGGCAGAGTGCCGACAGCATACGTGCCGGCGGCCAGCGCACAGCCCACGGCCAGCAGCCATATACCGTCGCGCATGGTCGTGGCCCAGGCGTAAGTGGCGGTCGGCCGAGATGGACTCGGAGGGGCTCCACCTAAAAGTACCTACAGCTTCGCTTCGCGGGGCGCCACCAGCGACGCTGTGTGCGCGATGACGCCCTCTGCCTCGCGCTCGATGCGCGCGACTAGCTCCTTGCACGTAGGAATATCCTGGATCAGGCCCACCGTCTGACCGGCCGTCCACACACCCGCCTCGGGGTCGCCCTTCTCGTATACCTGGCGGCCCCGGGTGCCCGAGACTAGCGGCTGGATGTCCTTGAACTGCGCGCCATGCCGCTCCCTTTCACGCACTTCAAGAGCCACCGAGTTCTTGAACACGCGCGCCGTGTTGCGCAGCGTGCGGAACACGTGGGTCGTGTCGCGCTCACTCGCCTCGCAGATGCGCTGCTTGATGGCGTCGTGGATCTCGCTCTCTGTCGTCGCCATAAAGCGCGTTCCCACTGGCGTCAGTGTCAGGCACGTACTATTCGCGCCACAGGCTCCGAGCGCCAGCGCGGCTGCGAGACCGCGGCCATTCGCGATACCGCCCGACGCGATGAACGGCGCAGGGATCTGCTGCGCCGCCAGCGCCATGAGCACGAGGCCGCCAATGTCGTCTTCACCGGGATGGCCCGCGCACTCGAGGCCATCAATGCTCAGCATGTCCGCGCCGAGCTTGAGTGCCTTGAGGCCGTGGCGCACAGCCGTGCACTTGTGGATCACGAAAGCGCCTGCGTCTTTGAGGATGCGTATCACGGGCTCAGCTGCATGTTAGGGCCCATCCACGTACGGTTGCTGCCCGCCGTCTCAAAGATACGCACGCCCGCCTCGAGCGCTGCGCGGGCGTAGCCGGGGTAGTCCGGCGGCACAATCGCCGGAAGCAGCGTGATGTTCACGCCAAAGGCGCCGTACTTTTTGCGCTCCGCGGCAATCTCGGGGTCGATCATGGCGCGCGTAGCCTTGACGGCCTCGCGCAGCGCCTGGGGTGTCGGCTGCGTCAGCGCCGTCACCATGCCAAGGGCGCCAGCGTTCGATACAGCCGCTGCGAGCTTCGGCGTGCCCACCCACTGCATGCCACCCATCACAAGAGGGACGCGCAGGCCGAGCTTCTCTGTCAGGGGCGTACAAATGGGCATGGCAGACGAGGGTGCGCCCCACGGCTACCCCGCGCTCCATCGTGGGGCGGCTGGCCGGCTCCACGTGTAGTACACGTGACACAGCCCAGGGCCGATCCACGTCGCGCTCGTCGCCGCCATCGCGCACCTCCTTGGCTAGAGCACTCGCGCACCGCGTCGACGATGAATATCTTCCGCCTTCTGGGTGATTTATCGCATCTGAGCTCCATTTTGATCTTGTTGCACAAGATCATCACGAGCCGATCATGCCGAGGTACGTGGGCACGAGGCATTGACGGCAGGTATCTCGTTCAAGACACAGATGCTGTATTTTATCGTATTCCTGACGCGGTATATCTACCTGTTCCAGCCCCTCAGTGCCTACCTGATCCTGATGAAGATCTTCTTTATTGGCAGCACAGGGTATATCCTATATCTCATCAAGGTGGAATACAAGTATGTATGCGCGGCTCACATGCAGGACTCGCCATGAAGCGGATATCGACTCGATTCGTCTCGAATGGTTGCTAGGCGGACCGGCCATCCTCGCGCTCCTCTTCCACTACGAATTCTCGATCAAGGAAATCCTGTGGGCTTACAGTATCTTCCTTGAGGCTGTGGCCATTTTGCCGCAAATGTTCTTGCTACAGCGCCTCGGCGAGGCGGAGACGATCACGACGCACTATATTTTTGCACTGGGTGCCTACCGTGCTCTGTACATCCTCAATTGGATCTACCGGTACGTGAGCCCCGCATCGCTTCTCACACCAGTCTTATCTTTGAGCCGAAGCACCACTTTGACTACATTGCTTTTGTCGCCGGTCTCGTCCAGACAGGTTTGTATGGCGACTTTTTCTACAGTACGTATCAGCAAGGTTGACCTGCAGTCTATTTCAACCAAGTCGTCCAAGGCAAAAAATTCGAACTTCCCGCATAAATAGCTAGCTAGATTCCCAGATGTGCACAGGAGTGCCTCTCCCAAAGGGCGCGGGTGCTTGTGCGCGCCGGCCAACCGTGTAGGGGTGGTGGCAGAAGCAGCAAAAAAGTTCCCAATCCGGGAGTCGAACCCGGGTCTTGTCGGCGCCACACAGCTTGCGCTTATGAGAGCGACATATACTAACCGTTGTACTAACTAGGAGAACTGGTTGGGAGCACTGGTTTGCTTTCCGTACAAGAGTCACGTATGCCATGAGAGGTCACCCCGTCAGCATTTTCTCCGCCCTCCATTATGGTCTATTCTCCCATTGGTCCTATGCATTGGGCGTATCTGCGTGTGACTCCGTGGGCTGTTCCAGCTCCGGAGATAGGCTTGGACTGAATTGCGAGTTGGGCATTTTCACGCCGAGCTTTCCAAGATATCGTGGAGGATTGCCGCAGCGATCTTTGCCAAAAGAGATCTTGACAGATTGATAATCATCGTGGTACTTGAGGCCTTCAATACATTTGATGGCAGATTGGATGTTGACGAAGTTCGCAAACGCCTGCTGTTAGTGTCTCCTCACGTACGCAGTTGCGTTCCTTCAGCGTGTTGACCATTTCGAGTTCGCCATATTCAGACAGATCGGCGCGGATTTTGTCCTCGTCCATCAAATGTGGGTCACTGATATTTCCAATATACACATTACGCGAGGCCCCTGCCTGCACTGCGAGTGCCAAGGCTGGACTTAGAGGGCCCGTGGGCTTCCCCCAGCCAATTTTCAGGCGTCGGTTGTGGATCGTGATGCCTGTGGCCAGCGCCATGTGGAAGAAAGTCAGCGCCGCATTGTGGTCCACAAATGTCACAAAGGCAATGTGGCGGTCCGGCATGTACCGGACCGACTGTAAGATGCCGCCGCGGACGTGATTGCAAATGTCCTCCGCAGTCGTATCAGGGTGCAGGTTCCCCAGGTAGACAGTCCGGTTGCCAAACTGGTGGAGCTGTGGCTCCATCTGGTGCCGGGACGGGGCGCCAGGATGCCCAGTGGTATCGGTGTCATCATTCGTGTGGTCATCGGAGCTCATACCCTGATGGAAGGGCGACTGCGGTGACATGTTGACGTAGCCTGTCGGGTACCCGAGCCACGTTGCCGCGGCTAGGCCCATGGCAGCGGCCTGGTGGTTGTGTGCCTGAATCTGCTGCTGGCCCTTCGGCACATAGGCACAGCGATCTTTACCATAATTGATGCGCTGCTCGCTCCATGCGGTCTCCGTAGGCAGGATGGCCACCACTTTCATCGCGTCTTGAATCGACAGGAAGTGGACGAATGCGATGTTCTGGTCGCGCAAAATCTTGATCTGATCAATGGGTCCAAAGCGTGAGAGGTCCATACGGAGGTCCTCCTCGGTAGTCGCAGGATTAAGGCTACCGATATACACATTGCGTGATGCCTGGTGGTGCTGCACAGCGTACAAGACGGCTGGTGGGGGCACAGATGGCTTGCCCCACCCGATCTTTAGCTCCTGGCTTCTTAGCGAGACGTGCTTCACAGATGAGTCGGCATGAAACGCGGCCGCGACCTGGCCTGTGAGGAACGAAATGAAGGCGCAGTTTTTCTCGGGCAGCAGGCGCACATTTTCAATCGGTCCAAAGTGTACAAGGTCCAGCAATTCAGAAACAGACGCCTCAGACGGAATATTTCCAATGTAGACCGTGCGCCCTACTGGCACCATCGCTGGCGACGCAGGGCTAGCCGCGGCGAAGCCGGGTGGCATCGGGGAGCCTCCGGCGTAGCTGTTGAAAGATGATGTCGTGGGCGACATAGGCATGAAGAGCGGCATGTGGGCGACCTGTGGCCCCCATCCCACCATCTGCATGGCCATGTTCGGCGGTGCAGACATGACCGACGCCATCATTGGGTACGAGACCTGCGGAGGATACGCTGTGCCGTTCGAACCTGACGGTGAGGAATCTAGCATTGGATGTGACTGGGTATCAGGGGTGGATGCAGGCTGGTCCAGTTGGCTGGGGGTATGCAGATGCCGCGGGGTTGAGGGCAGAGATCCAGAGCGGGCCGCGTCCTCGGACGGCTCTTGCATGCTCGTACGCGGTGGTCTAAGTAGATCGGATGACACGGCCACTTGGACGTGGGCCTCGTGGAGAATATAGGGCTTTCAATCTGGATACGACACCCTCTCTGTCAAGGAAGGACTGCACTCTGAGAGGTACACGGAATTCCGCTTAGCCTTCCTACGTCTCCAAGCTTCTTTTCCGCCGACGTTGGCGTTCTGCAAGAGATCGGACATATCCCGGAATCACGTGATAATCAGGGACGCCAAGCGCCTCAGGGTCTTCGGCAGATCTACAGGTGTATACATTTACTGCTTGATCGTATCGGGGGTCTTGGGCTGACCGCTGTTTTCAAGAATACCCTTGACCTTTTCGTAGATCGTAAATACGACCGCCTGGCCCGGTGCAACACGAGCAACACGAGGGGTAATGCCCTTCCAGAAGGCGCTCACACCCTCCTGGGCAAACATCTCACGCGCGACTGGCATGTTAGTGGTCCAACGTACCCTTCATAACACGGCTGACCGCCGTCTCACCCTCCACCTTGCTAGCGCGCTGGATGCGGGTCTTGATGGTGTCGATGGGGGCGTTCGAGAACGGACCGAGGGCACCCGAGATCAGACCGATCGTAGCCGTCTCGTACGAAGGCAGGTCCTTCGTGCCCTGGAGGCGCTGGGCCAGAGCCTTGAGCTCCTGGTATGCGGTGAAGTTAGCCGCCTGGTTGGTGGCCTGGCGCGCCGCCGTGAGGGCCACACCGCGGTAGAGGGTGAAAAAGCCTTCCTCACGCACGATCGTGTAGAGGGCGTGCGCGGCATTGTGGTAGCGGGGCTTCTCCATCGGGTCGGCGAGCGAGTGCTGTTGCGCCTGCAGACGGATCTTCACGACCTCCATGGGGTTCACGACGGCGACCGCCTCGGTGATACCGGCCAGAAGACCGGCGAAAAAGACGCCCTGAGCGCTTGTCACACCGGTCTCCTTGTTGGCGAGCAGGCCCTTGTACTGCTCAAAGCTCATGAAGCGGATGGCCATCTTCGGCACGATACCCGCCAGCACGGCCCCGAGACCCTTGTAGAGACCTAGGGGCGTCTCGCGGCGCACGATGTGTGCACCCGTCGCGAAGAAGCCACGGGGCCGCTCGCCAGCGCCACGGCCCTTGCGCGACAGCTGCATGCGCACCTTAATGGTGTCCAGCGCTGCGCCCGTCAGCTTCGGCATACGTACGGTGGCAGGTAATCGCCTCGGCAAAGCCGGCGATACCACCAGCAATCAAGTGAGTGGCAGGAGTAACCTTAGGCTTGGCAGACTTGCTTGGAGCGGCCATGTCGAAGATCGGTGACGGAGGATGCGAAGATGCAAATGGTCCGGGGTGACCGGTTAATGTGGCTGAGCTGCATGAGAATGCACGTCTGGCACCTGTTGGGCCCCGGCTTAACGCAGCGTATCTGGCTGCACCGGTCCGCGCGTCACTTATGGCCGATTACGTACACAACCTATGCTAACCGGTGGGCGTCGGGCCCGGCCAGATGCCAAATAACTCACGTGCGACTACTGCTTATCTGATGCAACTAGGGGGCTTCGTCCGCCGCGGTGAGCAGCTCGTTGAGCGACTTCAGGCCCTTGGCCACGCCGTACGAAGCGCTGGCCATGACGCTCTTGGCGGAGCGGTCAAAGGTCTCATTACTCTGCATGTCGCTCAAACGGTCACAGTTCTCCGTCAGATCGGCAAAGATGCGCTCGGCCTCCGTGGCCATCGACGGTTGCCGCGTAGACACTTGCGGCAGGTGATCGCGCGAAATGGCCACAATCGACGATACGATCGTCGTGATTTGCGTCAGGTTCTCATTCAGCTGCACACCTTGCGCGCCTTCCCGTAGTGCCGACAACAGCGACTGGATCGAATGCACGATCGCCTCCGTCTGCACCTCGATGTAGTTGCGCAGTTCCGCCCAGTTATCCGCCTCTTCACGTGCGGTCATTTCGTCAACGGGTGCCGCAACGGCAGCGCCATACGCGATCGAACTCTGCGCGTCCTGCGCCTGCATGTTGACGCTCCACGGCGCAGCGGCTGACACCGACGGCAGGGTCAGCAGAGATGTGGGCGCCGGCTCACGCGCGCTGGGGGCCGCATTGGGGATGCTCGGCAGCTCGCGCGGCGCTGGGGTCGGCTGCTCGCGCGGCGCTGGGGTCGGCGGCATTGGCGGCAGTGGCGACAAACCACTTGAGGGCGCCGCTACACTCCGTGAGGGCGAGCCCGACAAGCCCTGCTTGTCCATGGCCAGCATGCGGCTCTCCAAGTTAGAATGAGAGTAGGACAGGGAGCGCAGCGACGGACTTGACACCGCTGCACGAGGGAACGAGCGTGGGATCATGTTGGGCGGCGACGCCGCGCCGCGCATGTGCAGCGGCTTGAGGCCACTCGGCATCGTCGAGTCGTTGGGGCTGTCCAGGCTCGCATCGTCCTCAGCAGGCTTCGGCACGTGGCGGAGCTTGAGCAGCTTGATCAGCTCCACGACCGCGGTCGCGACGTGCGTCGCGGCCGCATCCACAAGGCTCACAGGCGAGAGGCCCTGCGACGACGCGTGATGGCGACATGCGGTCATCAGGTTCGAAAGCGCATCTGACATACTCGTCTTGAGCGAGTGGACATCCTCGCGCTGCTGCGCGGTAAGCGACTCCATGTTCTCCGGCTGCGACTCAAACTTGGCCACATCGTCAGACAGGAGTGTGGTAGACAGGACCACCGTCTTCATCGCAATCAGCACGTTAGAGGGCGTCGTCGAGCGAGCGGCCGCAAGCAGCTCGTCAATCGACGACTGGAACGCCTGCAAGTTCGTATCGGCGATCGCGCCGCGGTCCGACATGTGCTTCCACTCTTCCGCCTGCGGCTGCGCCCAGAGCTGCGCCGTCGTCTGTACCATGCGCAGCTCCGTCTTGGCCTGCTCGAAGCGGCGCTTGTACGTCGACATCTGCTGGTGCAGGTCGCGGATAATCGCCACATCCGACTCTTTGTCGGCGGTCATTGCATCATTGCGCGCACTCAGACGGCGCAGCTCATCCAGCAGCGACGCCACCTCATCCCGCAACCCCTGCACCATGCGCTGGTGCTCTGCCGTGTTCTGCTGCAGGAGATCGATCTCGCGCTTCCAATGCATCTCGGCGTCCGCGTCTGGCGCACGCGACGCATGCTGCAGGTGCAGGTCGTCGTACTGCCGCCGCAAATCGTCGAGGTCGGCGCGGTACTGTAGCAGCTCCGCGTGCTTGTCATCCAGCGCCGAGCGATGCTGTTCGCTCTGCGCCTGCAGGTCCCGCGACTGCTGCACATGCCCATCCAACTCCTGCTCGAGCTGTGCGACGCGGCTCACCAGCGCCGCATTCCGCGCTTGCAGCTCGTCCAGCTGCCGCCGGGTCTGGTCGCCCTCGTCCCGCAGCGTCACTTCCTGCGTCTCGAGCATGCGCACTCGCTGCTGGAGCTCGGCCACTTGCTCCTCGTACGCCTTCAGGTCCGCTGTCGGCGCCGGGACCGGGGCCGGGGCCGGGGCCGGCTCCGGCACCATCGGCACGCTCGCCACCGTCTCCGTGGCGATTGGCGGCGCCGGCTGGACGGAACTCGGGGCAGGGATGTCGCGGTCGACGGACAACACGGTCGGTTCCGGCACCTCGCGCGTGTTGATCGCCGCAGGCTCGTCTTCGACCGCCGTGCTCCGCGGCGGCACATACACCTGCGAGCTCGTCAGCTGCTGGGCGTCGGCCATGACCTCCGCCAGCTGCCGCTGGGCTAGTGTCGTATTGGAGAGGCGATTCGTGTTAGGCGCCTTTTCTGGCGCCGCAGAAGACACGACAGACTGCTCCTCTGGCACAGAGGCCACACTCACCACGTTGCTGTTCGGCACCGGCGGCGGTCCGTCGTGCGCATCGCGTCCGCCCATGAGGTACTCCAGCGACTCGCTGCGCAGTTCAAGAGGCAGCTCGGGATACCGTCGTTCCAGCTCAAAGAAGACATCTGAGGCAAGATCGCGGAAGCGGCTCTTGGGCAACGTCGACAGTTTCTGTCGCGCCTGGTTGCGCTTAGGATGGAAGTCATCGCGGCCCGGCAGGTACGGTAGCTGCTGCTGCACGTCCTGGCGCCGCTGCAGCTCATCATGCACATCCGTCGAGAGTTCCGAAAACTGCTGCTTGTTCAGACGCGTCAGCTTTTCCCGCGCGTTCGAGCGCGACGGTGTAAGCAGCGAGTGCCTCGCCGGCTGCGTGCGGAAGAACTGCAGAAGCTCCACGTAGTACGTCCGTGCCAATTGGACTGCATCAACAGGGTCCTCGTGCTTGGGCGGCGCAGACGACATCCATGGCGCTGGCGGTCCTTGCGAGCGTACCGGCGAGACCGTTGAATCTTGCGATGCATCTGCAGGCGCCGCGGCCGGCTCCGCCACGGACCACGCTGCACCTGTGTTCCCTGCTGCATACGACGCCGGTGCGCCAGACACGCTCGTGTCCTGCCCGTAAGGCACCTGGGGCGCATTGGAATCAGGGCCCTGTTCTAGAGAACGTGTCTGGCCATGTGGGCCGGCTTGGCTAATGGCGCTCTGGTCCGGTCCCTCTCCGGCAAAGCCAACTGGAGTATGCGCCATAGAGCCCACCTGACCGGCGCCATCGCTGGCATAGCCCATAGAACTTTGGCCAAACGGTCCCATGTGACCCTCCGTGTTCTGGTCAAACTGACCCGCTTGTCCGATCATGTGTTGGTCAAACTGATCTGCTTGTCCGACTGCATTCTGGCCAAACTGGCCTGCCTGCCCGAGTGCGTTTTGGCCAAACTGCCCTGCTTGACCTGCCGTGTTCTGGCCAAACTGGCCTGCTTGACCTGCCGTGTTCTGGCCAAACTGGCCTGCTTGTCCGAGCGTGTTCTGGCCAAACTGCCCTGCTTGACCTGCCGTGTTCTGGCCAAACTGGCCTGCTTGTCCGAGCGTGTTCTGGCCAAACTGCCCTGCTTGACCTGCCGTGTTCTGGCCAAACTGGCCCGCTTGCCCGACTGCATTCTGGCCAAACTGGCCCGCTTGTCCGAGCGTGTTCTGGCCAAACTGCCCTGCTTGCCCGAGCGCGTTTTGGCCAAAGGGACCCGCTTGGCCGATCGTGTTTTGTCCAGCCTGGTCCACCTGGCCAAGGGTGTTCTGGCCAAGGCCCTCAAGGCCCTGGCCTGCATACTGCCAGCCATCGCGACCAAATTGGCCGACCTGGTTCATGCCTTGCTGCGTGATGCGCGTGGCACCCATACCCAGCTGGCCAGTTTGCTGCATGGCGCCACTGCCAAAATTGTTCACTTGCTGCCCAAAGCCCCCTGCCTGGGGAAAGCGGCCTGCCTGCACGCCATTCGTGTCCATTGACGGGCGACCCGCGCCGCTAGTGTCGGCACCAAAAAACCGACGTCCGCTCATCGCGTCGTTGCTATAGCGACCAGCGCTGTCTCCCTGGGTATACCCAGAAGGAGCCGACACAGGCGGCGTCTCAATAGGCGACGTGACGCGCGCCGGCTCTTTTTTGTGGAAGAGCGAGGCGAGCTGATTCTTCATGGGCGAACTTGCACTGTTGCTCGACTGTGTCGATGTATCTTGGGCTTGATTCCCGCCCAACCCTGTGATCTGATGTAAGAACTTGCTACCCATGCGCTGACCGTTAGGGGCCATACGTCAGTGCCGTCCTCCTCAGCGACAAGGTCTACGCGACACGACCAGAAGTGGTAGAATGAACAGGGTAGACGCGCGGGTCCGTGGGGCCCTGAGCCCCGTGCATCGCGCGTGCAGGTACTTGCATGCGCGTGTAGACTCTGCAGCTAGCTATGCACGTGACACTACGGCGGCGCCTGGGTTGATGGCACGTCGAGCGCGAGGTCCAGCGTCGTTTGGAACACGTCGCTGAGCTCTTTCGTGAGCAGCTCGTCGAAATAGAATAGCTCGCCGTCCTTGATAGTGAACCATCTCTGCTGCGTGCCATCATAGTCGAAGCGTTTCGGACCACTGTCGTCAGCCCCGGCCACGTACCTAGATGGGCTTGAGAGCCAGATCTGCCTCGTGGGCGGCTGCTTGTTGATCACGTACGTGCCGTACGATCCGAGGCGCAGGTTCAGCACACCCGACTGCGGTGAGCCGCTGATACGTACTGCATACTCGACGTCCCAGTCGCTCATACTACCGCCGCGTCCCTCCTCCAGGGCATCAAGATCTTTTGTCTCAAGCAGCTCCTCGAGTTGCGCGGTGAGCTCGTCGAGTGTGTGGTCCACCATGCGATGGTACACAGTCATTTCGAGGGGCGTCGGCTCTGGGCGCTGCCCAGGGGGCGGCGCCGCCACGTACGCTCGCCAAGCAGCTGGGCTACTTGTAAAGACAGGTTTCTGCCAGCGTCCATACTGCGCTATCGACGCACTCGCTCGCACACTCGTCCACGCCACACGCACGGCGAGTCGAGCGCTCATCCTGCGTGAACGGTGGGGGTGTGGAGGCGTTACAGTCTCCGTCGCATGACTAAGCTCGGCGCCGAGATCGGGCGTGTGATCCCGGCACCGGCCTGTCGACCACGACGCTCTATGCGCCATGCCGCACCTGTTCGGCTTTCATCATGATAAACGTGAGAAGGCGGACAAGAAATCCCAGAAAGATGAGAGCAAGAATGAGGCGACGACGTCTACGGCGGACAAACCAGAGGTGATCTCTGTCCCTGCGCCGGTGGCCATCGCCCAGGGGTCAGCGTCGCCTGCCCCCGACAAGGGCTCACCGGCTGGGGCAAGCACAGGTCCTGTCTATGTGGCACCATCGCAGTCGGTCCCTGCGTCGACGTCCTCCACGCCGTCGGTGCCGCCGAACCAGGTGAACCCCCTGACCGGCCTGCCCGTGCGCTCTCTCAAGGGGCGCTACAAGCTTGACGACTTTACCATACTGCGCACGCTTGGTACAGGCTCGTTTGGACGTGTGCATCTGGTGCGCTCCGTCCACAACCAGCGATTTTACGCAATCAAGGTCCTGAAGAAGGCCCACGTCGTGAAGATGAAGCAGGTCGAGCACGCCAACAACGAGCATCAGGTGCTGTCGATGGTGCGTCACCCATTCCTTGTCAACCTATGGGGCACATTCCAGGACCCCACCTTCCTTTATTTGGTAATGGACTTTGTGCCAGGAGGTGAGCTCTTCACACTACTGCGACACAGTCGGCGCTTTCCGGCGCAGGTCGCAAAATTCTACATCAGCGAGGTGGCCCTCGCCATCGACTTTTTGCACAAGCACAACATTGTGTACCGTGATCTCAAGCCCGAAAATATTCTCATTGCCGCCGATGGGCACCTGAAGCTCATCGATTTTGGCTTCGCCAAAATTACCGCGCAGTCCAATGGTATGTGCTGGACGCTGTGCGGTACCCCCGACTACCTCGCGCCGGAGATCATCCGCGCGCGCGGCTACAACTCCAGCGTCGACTGGTGGTCCGTCGGTGTGCTGCTCTTCGAAATGCTCGCGGGCTATCCGCCCTTCTACACAGAAGACAACAATCCTATCAAGCTGTACGAGAAGATCCTTGCTGGCCACGTGCAATATCCGTCGTTCTTCGAGGCAGGCGCCAAGGATCTGCTCAAGTCTCTGCTTACCGCCGACTTGTCCAAGCGCTTCGGTAACCTGGCGCGCGGCAGCCGCGACATTTTCTCGCACATGTGGTTTGCCGAGATCGACTGGGACTGCCTGTACCGCAAGGAGATCCCCGCGCCATACGTGCCCCCCGTTAGCATCCAAGGCGATGCGAGCCAGTACGTATATGTGGCTTACCCAGATTCGAAAAGTACCCCGAGATCGACCTTGCCGAGTACCACCGTCCTGATGCGCCGGATGAGTTCCCCGGCCTGTTCCCCGACTTTTAAAGCGCTACGCTTGTTGCATTGTTGTAGGCCAACTTGTTAATGGTATCCGGGTCCAGGTCCGTCAGCGCACCGGCCGTCGCCATCGAGCGCATCGCACGCCGGAGCTGCGCCGGTGTCAGGCGGCTCTCCACGCTCCGTACCGCAGCGCCCGGCACCTCCATGGCCGGCCATAGCGTCTCATGCGACCGCAGCAGCACCTGGAATGGCGCTGGCATCATGCGGGAGAGGGCGTGCACCCACGCGCGCCATGTGTGCTGCGGCGGCTCGGCCACGAGCCCAAAGTCCTCCGTGCCGTAGATCGACAGCATGTACGCCATCAGGCCGGCCACGTGCGGCGTAGCCATCGACGTGCCCGACATGACATTCGTCGAGCGCGGACCCGCGTTCCACGTCGATAGCACGCCAAGGCCAGGCGCAAAGATATCCACACACGAGCCCTTGTTACTGAAGAACGCGCGCTCGTCCGCAATCGTCGATGCGCCGACGGTCACGGCGTGCTTCGCTGAGGCGGGCGACACATTGCATGCGTCTTGGTTCTCGTTGCCTGCAGCCACAGCAAAGTGCATTCCGACGGACACGGCGCCATTCACCGCCCGCTCGAGCGTTGGAGACTTCGCGCCGCCGAGCGACATGCTCGCAACAAAACCGCGGTGCTTGCGCGCCGCGGGCAACCAGGGCCGCGCGCGCATCCGGCGTGTACGCTCCTGTGCATCTGCGACGGCCCACAGCACACCCGCCGTGACATCCGACATGGCGCCCTGGCCCTCCGAGTTCAGCACCTTGACAGCCACAAGCTCCGCGTTTTTGGCCACGCCATACGTCGTGGAGCCGATCGTACCCGCACAGTGCGTCCCATGGCCGTGCCCATCCTCGTCGGTGTCGCCCTCGGGGATCGTCGTGCCCCATCGCGCGCGCCCACCAAAGTCCTCGTGGTCCACGCGGATGCCCGTGTCGATAATGTAGGCAGTGACGCCATCACCCGCAGCCGACTCGTACACGTACTTGTTGAAGGTGCCGAGGCTCAGCGAGCGCCGGTGAGAGATACGCGCGAGGCCCCACGGCGCGCCGTCCTCTGTCAGGTGGCGGAGCGGATCGTCCCACGGCATCGTCTGCGCGGTAGCAGCGGGCGGCATCTCGCTCACATACCGGTCGTCCTGCTCGAGCACAGTCGCGCGCACGATCGAGTCGACTTCCACGTAGTCGACCTCCGGCTGCGCGCGGATGTACTGCAGCATAGCCGGCGAGAATCGCCCCGCATAGCCCTGCAGGTGCGAGTCCATATCGTAGATGTGGCGGAACCCAAAGTTGGCGTCCGATGAAACACCTGGGATCGATGCCAGGACAAACTGCGCTACAGCGGCGCGGTGCGCGAGAAATGCGGCGCTCGATACACCTGGCTTCAGCATGACCATATAGTGCTCAGGCACTGGCATGTCGCCTTGGGCCTGCACAAGGGGGGCCCGAGGCGCAGAACCGCACGCACTGCCGGCAGGCATGGCCAGCACAGCGCATACACACGCTAGAGCAGCCAGTGCGCCCCTGACAATCTGTCGTGGCCCCATGGCGGTCAAAGGGGAGCCATGGGCGGTGGCGGCTCGGGGCAGGTGGGGTATCACGTAAGCGACGCGGACCTGCCAGGGTTTGCATCGTGCCTTCTTCTGACTCACAATGACGGATCCAGTAGCGCCTGTCACGCACGCCGTGGAGGCGATCCAGGTTAGCGACATGCCGGCTGTGTACTTCAACGAGGCGGTCGGTAGTGACGAGACCGGCCAGGGCACGGAGGCTGCACCGTTCGCGACAGCTGTGGGCGCTATGACGGCGCGCGGCGCGCAGATCCAGCTATTTACGAAGAAGGCCGATGCGGACGGGTACGAGCCGCTGTCTGCGTCGGGTGTGAAGAAGGCGAAGAAGCTGTATGAGATGGCACAGAAGAAGAAGCAGAAGGCCGCTGAGAACGCCTCACAGGAGGCTGAGCGTGCCGCACAGGAGCAGAAGAAGCTCGAGGAGAGCAAGAAGATCACGCTTGCACCGCCGGAGGGCGCGCCCGCACCGAAGCGCATCAAGATCGTGGCGGGTGTGCAGCACCGCGACACGCGCGTCAAGGTGTGCGGCTGGGTGCACCGCCTGCGTGTGCAGAAGGACCGCATGTTCCTGATCCTGCGCGACGGCACCGGTTTCCTGCAGTGCGTGCTGCAGGGGCGCTTGACGCAGACGTACGACGCGCTCACGCTCACGCTCGAGAGCTCGGTCGAGATGTACGGTGTGATCCAGGCCCTGCCAGAGGGCAAGACGGCGCCGGACCACCACGAGATGGTGGTCGACTACTGGGAGTGTGTCGGCAAGGCGCCTGGCGGCGACGAGGCCATCACAAACCGCGTGTCGGAGAACGCGGACCCGTCGATCCTTGCGGATCTGCGCCACCTCGTCCTGCGTGGCGAGACGGCGTCGTCGGTGCTCCGCGTGCGCGCGGCCGTGCTCCAGGCATTCCGCGACGAGTTTGCGTCGACGGGCATGCTCGAGGTGACGCCGCCGTGCATGGTCCAGACTCAGGTCGAGGGCGGCAGCACGCTCTTTGCGTTCGACTATTATGGCGAGAAGGCGTACCTGACGCAGAGCTCGCAGCTGTACCTTGAGACGTGTCTCCCCGCGCTTGGCGACGTGTACTGCGTGCAGGAGAGCTTCCGCGCGGAGAAGAGCCACACGCGCCGCCACCTGAGCGAGTACACGCACCTGGAGATCGAGCTGGCATTTGTGTCGTTCGACGACCTGCTCTCGCACATTGAGCAGGACATTTGCGGCGTGGTCGACCGCCTGCTGCGTGTCGACAAGATCCGCGCGCTGATCGAGACGCTGAACCCCGGCTTCCAGCCGCCCAAGCGGCCGTTCCTGCGTCTGAACTACAAGGACGCGATCCAATACCTGAACGAGCACGGCATCCTCAACGAGGACGGCGAGCCACACAAGATCGGCGACGACATCGCCGAGGCGGCCGAGCGCAAGATGACCGACCAGATGGGCGTGCCGATTCTGCTGCACTCGTTCCCCCGTGAGCTCAAGGCATTCTACATGAAGCGTGTGCCGGGTAACGAGGCCTTTACCGAGTCGGTCGACCTGCTTATGCCTGGCGTCGGTGAGATTGTCGGCGGCAGTATGAGGATGAAGAACCACGCCGAGCTTCTGGAGGCGTACAAGCGCGAGGGCATCGACCCCTCGCCGTACTACTGGTACACGGACCAGCGCAGGTACGGTACGTGCGAGCACGGCGGCTACGGCCTCGGTGTCGAGCGCCTGCTGGCCTGGCTCACGAACCGCTGGACTGTGCGGGAATGCTCGCTGTTCCCCCGCTGGACCGGTCACTGCACGCCATAGTTATAGGGCAAAGAAATCGTCTTGGGCGAGTGAGTGAGAAGCTGCGTTAGTGGGGCCATCGACGTTGTCGACATGTTCGTCGTCGTCTTCGTCGTCGTCGTCTTCGTCGTCGTCTTCGTCGTTGTCTTCGTCTTCGCCGTCTACGTCTTCGTCTTCGTCTTCGTCTTCGTCTTCGTCTTCGTCTTCGTCTTCGTCTTCGTCTTCGTCTTCGTCGTCTTCGTCGTCGTCTTCGTTGTCGTCTTCGTCGATGTCCTCTTCATCGTCGTCGTCTTCGTCAACGTCCTCTTCTTCTCCCGAAGTACCCGCCTGACGACGCTCCAACTCCAACTCCGGCTCCGCCGACATCTCGCCTCGCTTCATACTCTTACGCACGGCCGCGAGAAACTCGGCCGCCTCTACCTGCGCGCGATCCTTCGCCTGGGCGTCCGGAGCCACGGGGTCTTTGCGCCCAGCAAAGAGGGCAACGTATCGCTGGCGCGCGGGAAAGTGCTGCGTTAGCGGGCTTGACGCACCAAGACATAATTGAGAAAGACACGCGACTCGAACAGCCGTGTGCGCAGCGACTTGGCAGACTCGGCTGTGGCGAGCGACCGCTTGCACTGGCGGATGCGGCGCACGAGCTTTTGGCGTTCTGCATTAGTAGCACAGCGTACCGAAAAACTTGACTTTGTGGTACCTCGAGGCCATGGTGCGCTCCTTGTTCGACTGGGCACGCTCCTCCAGGTCGCGCTCGAGTGCCTTGCATTTGCGCTCCGCCTCGATACGCACGCCCGGCGGAAGCGACTCTTTGCTCAGCAGACGCTTGGTCTGGCGCAGGAGACTCTTGATTTTGTTCACTCCCGGCGTCTCCTGCGCTGCCCGAGGCGCACTGTGACGGCCCCCGCGCCCGCGCCCGCGCCGCGCCGCGCCTCGTCCGCGCGGCTCTCGTGCCATGACGCCAGCCCTGCGCGCCACGGCTCGCCTCCACTTGCTTACCACGTGACGTTCACGACGCTCAGCCAGCCGTGACGACGACGGTGCTCCGTGGGGCATGAAGGTGCGTGCTCGAAGGCTTACCGTAGTATCTGCTCCAGGCCATCGACGCCCACCGCGGCGATGTGCCGCTCAACGATCACGACCTTCTTCGGCTGCTCACCGAAGCCCGCAAAGGACGCGTACGTGCCACGCCCTCACTCCAGGATGAGCGCGAAGAGTACCAGGAGGCCATGGAGCGCATCCTTACGGAGCTGCGCAACTACACGGTACGTGCGCTGTGCTCACACCAGGAACACTCACAGGCGTTCCTCACACGCGTCAGCAAGCGCGATGCGCCGGACTACTACGACGGTACGCGTGGATTCTGACCCAGTGATCAAAAATCCCATGGACCTCGGTACGATGCAGAAGAAGCTGCGCAGTGGCCAGTACAAGACCAAGGCGCAGTTCGCCCACGATCTGAATCTCATCTGGGACAACTGCCTCGTGTATAATGCATCGCCCGTACGTCGCGTCACTCACGCCAGCAACACCCCCTGCGCCGCAATGCCACGTACATGCGCAAAAAGTCGAACCACCTGCTCGAGTTCCTCAGCGAGAAAAACGATACCAAGGACCTCCTCAGCCAGTGGCACCCCGCGTCGCTGCGCGTGACGCCAACACCGAGCACGCCCGACGCGTCGCTGGCCGTCGCATCGGGCACGCCGACGCCGGCGCCTGATGCAGCACCGACGAATGGCGCGGCAGCGAGCATTCCTGCGTCCCATGCACCGGCCATGGATCTTGCGTCGGAGGCCGTGCCGCTGCACGAGCAGCGAGCCTTGCGTCGTAGCGCGGACGCTACCCACACGTTTCACGTGCTGGACGAGGCGCTCAGCCAGGCCCGTGAACCGCGGGATATTTCCTCTGCCTGGGACTCACTGCGGCAGGTGCGGGCAGCACGGCGCGACCCACTGGACTATGCGCTGCGGACGGCCGCGCCCAGTGTGCACCGGGCATGGTGGGCCGCCTGCCAGTCCGACTCGCTTGTGTGTGCGGGCCTCCCAGCGATTGCCTACCGTGGCATGCGTGACGCAGACGCGTTCTCCGCGCACACTTCCGCCGAGGCTGGGCCGAGTCGCGCGCCGGCCGTGGCACCGCGACTCCCGATGGACCGGCCCGGTGTGCCGCGCCTCATGGCACGAAACATCCGCACGCTCCGCCGCCTATACCACACGCACCAAAAGTTTTACCAACTCGCGGCGGCTGTGGAGCTGGATTTGCCTGTGCCGGCGTCGGTGGCCGAGGTATCCGATGACGACGACGACGAAAATGACGAGGCGGCACCGACATTTGCGCCGCCGCAGCCGTACGAGACATCGGCGCCGTATCCCCGCCTCACATCCGCGTGTGCACAGGAGCAACTGTCATGGCACGTGCAGACGCTTCTGGCGCACGCAGGCTTTGAGGGCGGGCAGACGACGGCGGTGCAGGTGCTCGCCCAAGTCGCGTCCGAGTACCTCATGGGCCTGGGGCGCACACTGCGCCTGTACAGTGACCGGTTCGCGCAGCGCTTCACGCCTGCAGATATGCTCGAGCATGTGCTGGGCGGCAGCGCTGCGTCCATCGAGGCCTATGTGCGCAACGACATTGAGCGGTATGGACAGCGTCTCAAGGAGTGGCTGCGCAAGATGCATGCGGCGCTCCGCGACCAGCTACAGTCTCTCGGCGGGACTGTGGAAGACACAGACCTGCTCGCACGCGATGGCGAGGCGCTGGTGCTGGGCCACTTTGCCGCGGGCCTAGGCGACGACTTTTTCGGGTTCCGCGAGCTCGGTCTCGATACCGAGCTAGGCATGGCACAACTCGCCGTCCCGAGCCGCCTCTTTTTTGGAGGTCGACCCGTGCACAAGGCAGTGGCCGGGGGCATCACCGAGGCGGCGCCTACGTACACGCCGCCGCCGCCGCCCATCCCTCTTACGCGTGCAGCGGTGCCGGCTCAAATTGGGCTGCTGCGCCCATGGTACCTAGCTGAGATGGGGTCCGATGCGACGCTGCCGGACCAGGTGCCCGAGCGGCCCCGCTACAAAGTGCCTACGAACGGCAAGCTGCCTACGCACGCCCTCACCGTCGACGATGAGGCGCGGGCAGCGAAGACGCCGACGAAGCGCAGGCGTGTTGTAGAGCCACGTGGCCCATGACTAAGTTTTCCTCTTTTCTCACGCGGGTGGACCTAAAGCCGTCCTCCTCTTCCCATCCCGGAACGCGGTGGGTTGCATTGTAGGTCTACACATACGTGTAGACAGCTTGACTTGATGAGTGGCACTGAGAAGCGTGCCACCCAGGGGAGCGCGCCGCGCGGCGCGCCCAGGCAGGGCAAGCCCAGCAAGGGCCGCGACGCCGCCGACGCCGCGGTGAGCCTGCCCAAGCATGCTGCGCGCGCGGCGCAGGGCATCAACTTCGGCACTGTGGATGACCAGCATGCTGAAATGTCGTCGTCGCCGGCAGCGCAGCCGGCGGCGGGTGAGCACCTGCGTGGCGCGCCGCCCGCTGCCTTTGGCAGTGTAACGGCGGAGAGTGGCGCAGCCCCCGAAAAGAACATTGGCTTTGCCGGCAAGAAGCAGCTCGACTTCCAAAAGCTGTTCCAGACTCCTCCGTCTGCGGATGCGCCTCCCGCGGACGCGCCGGCGCCGGGTGCGCCGGCCAACTCGGCCAAGCCCAAGGTCCGGCCCGCCCCGCCCGCCGGCAAGCAGATGGGCGCAGCGCCGGCGCCGTATATGCCGGGCTGGCAGCCGCCCATGTACCCGCATATGAGCTACCCTGTGAGCCCAGGCCCCGGCGCGTATCCCTATCTGGCCTCGCAGCAGCCGTGGACGCCGGGCACGCCTGGCTCGCCGCACGTGGGCAACCTGCCTGCGTCGCCCAACATGCTGCCGCCGAACGTGTCGCCGCGCCCCGGCGGCATGCAGGCGCGTCCCGGTGGCGCCTCATTCTACCCTGCCGCAGCATCTCCCTCTGGCTTCACAATGAACGCAGGTGCCCGTCTATTTGAGCCGCAGAAGAGCAAGGCCCTGCGGATCGTCAACCCTGAAACGCACACCGAGCTTGACCTCGAGAAAGTCAAGAAAGAGACATCGAGTGCGCCTAAGTCCGCAGAGCCTGCGCCTGCGCCTGCGCCTGCACCGAAGCTCGCGCCACCGAAGGAGCAGCCGAGCGAGAGCAGCCGCGTCAAGACGCAGGCCGACTTTCAGCAGAAGGTCCTCCGATTGAAGATGGAGAAGGAGGCGGAGGCAAAGCGCGCTGAGGAGGCAAAGAAGGCCGAGGAGGCGAAGAAGGCGGAAGAAGCCAAGAAGGCCGAGGAGGCCAAGGCGGAAGAAGCCAAGAAGGCCGAGGAGGCAAAGAAGGCGGCCGAGGCCAAGGCTGCAGAAGAGGCCAAGAAAGCTGAGGAAGCGAAGAAGGCGGCTGAGGAGGCGAAGAAGGCCGAGGAGGCCAAGGCGGCCGAAGAGGCGAAGAAGGCCGAGGAAGCCAAGGCGGCCGAAGAGGCGAAGAAGGCCGAGGAGGCCAAGGCCGCTGAAGAGGCGAAGAAGGCCGAGGAGGCCAAGGCAGAGCAGGCCAAGGCCGCTGAGGAGGCGAAGCAGGCCGAAACAGCCAAGGCAGGTGAGGCCAAGCAGACCGAGACCCCTACCGAGACGGCCTCGGCCCCCGCCGATACGGCGGGTGACGAGCCACACTCGGCGACTGACGCGTCGGAGGAGCCGAAGGACGCTACAGAGGCTCCGGAGCCGAATCGCGCGATTGAGTCGGCACGGCGCATTGACGATCTCTCGTCCATCACGTACCCTGAAAATGTGCAGCCGCCCAAGGCGGAGCTCAACGTGAATGCGGCGCCGGGCCGCTACCGCTACGACCGCGATTTCCTGCTGCAGTTCATGAGTGTGTACACGGAAAAGCCACATGACCTGCCGGACCTGGCGGCCATGGGCATGGAGAGCGTGGCGGCTCGTGGCGGTCGCCGTGGAGCGGGCTCGTCGCGTGGCGGCCTGGGCCGTGGCGGCGCGCTCAAGTCAAGTGAAGAGCGCTTTGCGTCGTCGGTCCGAGGCGGTGCGTTTGGCGGCGGTATGCCGTCTGGCTCGCGAGGCCACTCACTGTCGCGGGGCGGCAGTGGCGGTCCTGTGCCGTCGCGCGAGACCATGGGCACCGGTATCCCGATGGGCGCGCGCCCGAAGAGCAACCGCGGCCGGCAGCGCGATGGCCGTCCCCACGTGAACCCGCCGGAGAAGGGCGGTCCGACGATTCCCCTTGACCAGGTCGCGCCACTGGCGTACTCGGAGAACCGGTGGAAGCCACAGTCGATGGAGAAGGACCAGCTCGACCCCGCGCTGGTGGTCGAGCGCAAGGTCAAGTCGCTTCTTAACAAGCTCACGGTTGAGAAGTTTGAGTCGATCTCTGACCAGATTGTCGAGTTTGCGAACAAGTCGATTGACGAGACGGACGGCCGCACGCTGCGGCAGGTCATTGCGCTGGTGTTTGAAAAAGCCATCGACGAGTCGGCGTGGAGTGAGATGTATGCGCAGCTGTGTGCCAAGATCCAGATGAACCTGAACCCCGAGATCCAGGACCATGTGCTGGACGAGAAGGAGCAGAAGGAGTACCGCGGCGGCATGCTGTTCCGCAAGTACCTGCTTACGTGGTGCCAGGGCGACTTTGAGAAGGGCTGGGGCGCGCAGAAGGAGGAGAAGGACAAGTCGGACAAGGGCGCCGAGCTGCTTACGGATGAGTACTATGCGGAGCAGAAGGCCAAGCGCCGTGGCCTCGGTCTGGTGCAGTTTGTGGGCGAGCTGTTCAAGCTCCAGATGCTGCAGCCCCGCATTATGCACACGTGTATTGTGCGCCTGCTGCGCACGACCACAGACCCAGAGGAGGACGAGATCGAAAGCGTGTGCCGCCTTCTTACCACCGTCGGCTACCTGCTCGACTCGTCGTCGGGCAACCACAAGAGCCGCATGGATGTGTACTTTAAGCGCATCGACGACATTCTGCAGAGCCCGGCGCTCTCGTCGCGTATGCGCTTCATGCTGATGGATGTCGTTGACCTTCGCTCCAGCAACTGGGTGCCGCGCCACGACACCTCTGCGCCCAAGACCATTGCCGAGATTCACGCCGATGCGGCAAAGGAGCAGCAGCAAAAAGAGATGGAGAAGTTCTCTCTCCACCGCGGCTCGCGCCGCGGCCCGCCGCGCCCCTCGGCGCCGAGCAGCGATTCACACGCCCAAGACGGCTGGAGCACCGTCGGCCATGCGCCGTCGGGCCGCGCGCGCCCGAGCGACCTGCCCGGTCTGGGCAAGGGTGCGGATCGCGCGGGCAAGTCGAGCGCTGGCCTGTTTGGCCGCAAGGCGGCTGGCAACGAGGAGCCGGCCAGCCCCTCGCCGCGCAGCTCGACCAACATGTTCAACCTGCTTACCGGCGACGGCAGTGGCCATGGCGAGGAGAAGGAGCGCAAAAAGCTGCAGCTGCAGCCCCGCACCAAGCCGCTCGATGCGCCTGCCGAGGCGCCTGCCGAGGCGCCGACTCCGTCGGCCGAGGACGTCCAGCGCAAGATCGGCAACGACGTCAAGGAGTACCTGGCCATCCGCGACCTCAACGAGGGTGTACAGTCGATCGAGGCTCTCCCTGCGGAGCACCGCGCCTCGTTTGTTGACCAGCTTGTGGCAGCCGTGCTCGACAAGAAGCAGGACAGCGTCGACGATGCGGGACGCCTGCTGGCCCAGCTCGTGGAGAAGCAGGTGCTCGACGAGCAGCAGCTCATGGACGGCTTCCAGCCGCAGGTGACCATCCTCGACGACACGAGCATGGATGCGCCAAGTGCGTATGGCTTTATGGCGCAGCTGCTCGTGCAGTCGACCCTGCCGCGCGCGCGGATCGAGCAGCTCGCCGACAAGATGGAGGGCGAGGGCCTGCGTCCCCCCAAGGACCGCCTCCTCGCCAAGGTCGACGACCTCGCCACATAGTTCCACAGGGTATCACGCTATCTACGCAGGCCGCGCCACGGCGCCCAGCGACGGGCTCATATACGAGAGCGCCGGTGCCAGGGCCTCGCTGCCCACGGTCACCGGAGCAGGCGCCTCGCTCGGGAGCAGGGGACTCGCGCCAAAGCCGCGGCGTGTCGGGTCCGTATGCATCTCAAGGAGCGGCGACACGGAGCGCGCCGCACTCGGTGCGACGCGGCCCAACTCCACGTCATCGTCAAAGCCCCCGTCTGCCGCGAGATGGTCGTCCATCATCTCGTCGTCCATGGGCGCTGCCACATTGAACAGCTCTTCATCGTGTGCATTCAGCGCGTCGAGCACGCTCATAGACACCGCCGACTTGTTTTCGCGCGTCTCGTCCGAGACAAGACGCAGCTGCGACGCAAGGAGCGCCGACAGCGACGGGTAGGCTGGCTCCATAGATACGTGCTGCTGGTCAGGATACGGCGGCAGCACTTCCTCGTCGTCGCCCAGGCGTGAGCCGTCCGCGCGGAAGAGCTGCGTGTACGCAGGCAAGTATACGTGGTCCATACGGTTGGCCGGCGACGAGCGCGATGCCTGGGCATAGGCACTCGGGAGCGCCGATCCGAGCGCATCGCCACTCGGCACATACGTCTGCGCCGCGGCAGGCAACACGAGCGGCGGCGCCTGCGCGAGCGCCTCGCCCGGCGGCGCCTCGCTGAAGCGGACCGGCACGCTCATAACCACACTCTGCACACCCACATTCGGCGCGAGGGTCGAGGAGCCGAACCCGAAGCGGATCTTGACTTTCAGCTTGTGCCGCACACGCATATGCGGACTTTCATAGTCGGGCAGCAGCTGCGGCGCATTCTGCATCGCCGCCGAACGACTCGAACTCGGAACAAGCGGAAGGCTGAACGAGAGTCGCACGCGCCTGTGCAGGAGCACAAGCCCATGCCCATCGTCACCCTCAAACATATACGATGCTTTTGTCGCCTCGTTCGACGCGGGCGTCGCCGTTCCGCCCGCCGCGGCGGCAGCGACCTCGGCCAGGGGGCCCTGGTTCGTCGGCGCTGGCGCTGGCAGGGGCGGCGTGGGGGGCGCGTGTGATTCACGAGGACCGCCCAGGAGGGACAGGCGCTGGAACGCATTCGACACCGTGCGCCGCCGCCACGCCGAGGATGCCTTGTCGTCTTTGGGCGTTGACTTGTCCTTGGTGCCCGGATGAGCGCCGCTGCGCTCCCGATCACGGTCAGGGAGCGGGCCGACCGTGTAGGCGCGGAATCTTTCCACCCCATTCTGCCGCTCTGTCGGTGCAGCGCCATTTTTTTCCAGGCGCACGCGGTAGTCGACCAGCGAGCGGTGGTACGGATGCATGCCCGGCACACCCGGCTGCACAGCGGCGCTCTGGGGCGTCGCGACACCCAGCTGCCGCGGCACCTGCTCGAACACCGGCAGTCGTGCGGCGCTCACGTTCGTACTCCCATCAGTCGGCAGCGCAAACGCCGTGCAGTAGCTGCGCGATAGGGTCGAGCTGTACTTTTCCATTTGCACACACGCCGCCTCCAGCTCACACAGCCGCAAATCACTCCAGTACCGAGCATGCTGCCAAAGCGGGTCCAGCGCGATATGCAGCCCAAATACCAGGGGCGCCTGCTCGCCCCGCGCCGACGCATGCGTCGCACAATGCGACGGGACAGAGAGCGTAATTTTGAGCGGCAAAAAATCGTACTTGGTGCCCTGGATCACGGACGGCGTCGGCAGATGCAGCTGGGGCATGTGAGAGTAGTGCCGCAGGGTCGCCTGTGCGGGCGGCGGACGGTCCGGCGTGCTGCGCTGGCGCGCCGTCGATGCGCTCGCGTTGCCGGCAGCAGGCGCCTCGGGCGCCTGCTTCGGCAGGTCCGCGGCGGGGCCCGTCGGCGCTGGCTTGGCGCCCCGGCGGAAGGGGTTCGTCTCGGTTTTGCGGAATGGATTTCCGCTTAGCGGCACATCGACGCCGCTAAACTCGGCGCGCTGCGCGAGAGGGATCGACACAACGTCGCGCGTGCGGTTCACGACCACCAGGATCGGCGCGCTGCGCACCGTGATCGGCGGGAGCTGGCCGGCCGACGTGTCCACATCCAGCAGCAGAGACGAGGCGATGGGGGGGTTTTCGCGCAGGACGACCATCGCTTGCAAACAGTAAAATGTGCTCACGGTGCGCGTACTAATCGACGCAGGCAGCCATCCTGGCGCACACACATCGAACAGGGCATCGAGCATCGGCGGGCCGTTCGGCGGGAGATTGACGCACATCGGCGTATCGACAAGCTCCTTGGCCACCTCGCACAGCCGCACACACGAGTAGCGGCCGGATCCGTCCACATACAACGAGTAGCCCGTGAACACAACACGCAGAGACAGCACGTCGATATTGTCGCAGACACTCGTGGCGTGTGGCAGACTGAGCTTGACGGTACCCGAGAGCGAGTAGCTCCCTGTGAGGTGCAGCGGGCCAAACATGTGCAAGGCGCGCGTCGCCGGCTCGAGCACCAGCACGACATTCTCCGCCACGCGCGACTGTCTCGGCGCCGTCGCTGGCGCGGGGCGTACCGAGTCGCTCGGCGAGCTCGCATGGCTTTTCTCGTGTCGGGAGGAGGCATACGACGGGATCAAAAACATGTCGTTCTGGAGGGGCATCGGCGACGACGTCATCGAGCGATGAACATCAAGGAGGCACTCATCAAACAAGCTGTTCGACGGCTCCCTGCTCTCGGCGAGCGACTGCATCGGCACGGAGCTGGTGCGCCAAGCCCGAGGCGACCCGTCGGTCTGGGCGGGCGCTCGCGGCTCTATCGCTCCGGTGAGCCCCCCCCTCCGCGACGCACTCTGCGATGCATGTCCCAGCGACGACACGGAGCGCATCTGAGGCATGCTTCGAGCAAACTGTGAGAGGCGGCGCTGCAGCGGGGGCGACGCGGGCCGGCTCGATGCCATGGCCTCGTCATCATAGAGTGCCTCCGTGTCGGCATCGGCGCGCGAGCCAAGGCGCTCCCGGAACGCTGTATAGTCGGTGATGGGCGGGGATGGCATTGGCATAGAGACCATTGGCAGCATGGTCCCGTACGGCCACAGCCCACGTTCGACAGAAAGGAAGCGCGTCGAGACGAAGCGCGCTGGGAACAGTGAGTGGGCCTATTAGGCTACTTTCTGGCAAGACCAATCACAGTAGGTCGATGGAGGTCGTCGAGGGCTATGGAATCAAAAGCCGACGCGGGCCCGTCTAGGGGCAAATAGAGACAGGCTGGTCGCCGTGGTACAGCTCGCGCGTCGCTGGGTAGTACATCTTGTTCATGTCCAGCACCTGGGGGTACGTCTGGCCAACGACATAGTGCTGGTACTCGGGCGCCGGCGGCCCGTTGGCGCGCGGCGCTTCCGGCTGCAGGTAGGCGTGGTGCGACGCGGGCGCCGGAAGGAGTGCGTCAGGCACGGTCGAGTAGGCCTCGCCCATCGACGTGACAGGCTGCGCGGTGGCATCATGGAAGGGACTCTCCTCCGCGGCCGGCATCGGGTCCTGGAACGGATCCCGCTCGCCGGCCGGCGGTAGGACGCCCTCGCGACCTTCGTTGCCCGTCACAAAGCCGGCGTCGCTCGTTGGGTGGGTGGACAGCGGTGCAGACTCGTAGTTTGCCTCGTGCGATACATCTGGCCATACTGCATCGTCTTTCCGCTTGGCGGCATTGCGACGCCCAATCAGCTTGTAGAGCAAGAAGAGCAGCAGGCCCAGAATAACGACACCCCCGGCTGTACAGACACCGGCAATCAGGCCCGTGTGGTTGCTCGAGCTGTCTTCCTTGCCATCGCTCATATTCTGCGACGGGTCGACCGATGCATGAGCGTCGGTGCTCGACGGATCATTCGACGAGGGCGACGCCGTCGATGGCGCGACACTACTCGTGGCATCATCCGGCGAGTCACTGCCTTGCGTGCTTGTAGCGCCGTCACTAGGTGTGCCTGTAGTGCTGTCACCGCTGGGCGTGCCTGTAGTGCTGTCACCGCTGGGCGTGCTTGTAGCGCTGTCACCGCTGGGCGTGCTTGTAGCGCCGTCGCTGCTGGGTGTGCTCGTAGCGCCGTCGCTGCTGGGTGTGCTCGTAGCGCCGTCGCTGCTGGGTGTGCTCGTAGCGCCGTCGCCGTCGGACGAGCTCGTGCTGCCAGCACCTCCAGCTGGTGTCGACGTGGCCGAGCCACTGGATGCACTGTTGCTGCTGGCGGCCGAGCTGCTGGACGAGTCGCCATGGCCAGCAGGCGACTTGGACGAGTGTGTGCTCGTGGGCGAGGCTTTGGCGGAGCTCTTGGACGAAGTCGGCGTCGCCGTGCTGGGGAACGACGACTCGCGCTGACTATTCGCGCCTCCAGCGTATGGCACGCTTGTGGACGTCGATTCGCGCTGGCTGTTCGCTCCGCCGGCATACGGCACACTTGCAGACGACGACTCGCGCTGGCTGTTCGCCCCGCCGGCATACGGCACACTCGTAGATGTCGGCTTGCTTTTGTTTTCGCTCTTCGAGGGACGGCCCGGCGCCGACTGCGTGACGGGCAGGGTCGTGAACTCGCCGCCATTCAGCGACTGGCGGCCTGGCGCCGACTCTGTGACAGGCAGGGTCGTAAACTCACCGCCGTTCAGCGACCCTAGCGCCATGGCTAGGCCGTCGTTGAACATGTCCCACTGCGGCGTGCGCCACTCGCGCCGCTGGACAGGGGCGTGTGTGTGGTGGAGAGGAGGGTGGGCGCGGCGCAGCCTCATTAGGCCGACGCCGGCGTGCTCGTGGTAGTAGTGCAGGTCATGCGTGTGCTGAGCGTCCGCATGGGTGCTCGTAAGACCCGGTGTCACGGCGCAGCCCAGCACAGCTACGACACTGAGCGTGCTCCGCATTTCCGTTCTTGGCTCGTGGACAGCTCAACACACACGAACGGTGTGTCTCGACAGCAGGCCTCCAACGTGTATAAGGAGAAGAGCGAGCGCCCCTGACCCTGTTCTACGTGCGCGCCAAGGCGCCTGCAAGGTGGACCCTCCACGAAGTTCTACGTGGGGTGTGGAGGCGCGTCGTCCCCCGGCCGATGTGGATCGCCTGGACCTAGGAGGTACGCCTCCAGCTGGTCCGCCACGCGCGCGTCCAACGACGCGCCGGGCATGGGCCGCCCCTCCTGCAACGTCAGGTCCAGCTCGCGGGGGCCGAGGAGCCCGCGGCGGAACTGCGCAATGACATAGTCAGCGGCCACAGCCAGGTTGAGTGCGCCGCCTTTCTGCCGCGCGCCCGGCGCACGCTCGGCCACACGCGTCAAAAAGACCTTGACGTCGTCGGTCGGCGCGGGATCGTGCATCAGCGCCGTGTACGGCGGCAGCGTGCGGTCACCCTGCGCCAGCGCGTACACGTAGCGCTGGTTCATGCGGAAGAGCAGGTAGTCTGCGAGCGTCTCGGCATCGAAAAGCGCCTGCTTCATGCAGCCTGCGAGCGCCAGCTTGATCGCGCGCTCCGTGCCACCGCGCTCCGCGGGGCCCAGGTACGGCAGCATGATCCCGGGCGTGTCGTAGACGTACACGGCAGGTCCGCGCTCGCGCTCGCGCGCCACCAGAGACTTCATGTTGACCGGGCTCGTCATCTCGAGCTGCGCGAGCGATGGCGGATCAGGCGTGATGCGCACCGTGCCCGTCACCTTGCGAGTGTGGCCCGGGTGTGGGTGCGTGCTCGCTGCGCTCGCCTTGCCGGTGCCGACAAAGCGCAGCGCATTCAGCAGCGAGCTCTTGCCTACATTCGGCATGCCCACAACCAGCACACGCACGCCTGTCTCGGGCGTCGGCGTGTACCGCGCCGCTCCAGACAGGCGCGCGTGCCGCTGGTGGTTCGAGGCGTGAGTGCCAGCCTGCGCAGCTGGCTTGGCCAGCGTCTTCGCACGCGCCACGACCCAGTCGTACACACGCTGCATATCGCTCTTTTTCCGGGTATCGACGAACATGACGCTCTGGTCGTGTGTGTGCTGCGCCAGCGCACGGAGGATGGGCCCCTCCAGCTTCGTGTCCACCTGGTCGCGCTTCGTATACACGACGAGCCGCCGCGCGCTCCAGCCGGGCAGGTAGGTGCGCGGCGCCACTCGCACGCGCTGCTGTGCGGCGGGCGCATTCCGCAGGGCCGCCTCAAAATTCGGATTGATGCTTGTAAACGGAACACGAGCATCGCGCACCTCGACGACCAGCGGCGGCGGCGTGCGCGCCAGCATCGACGGGATCGACCGCATCGCGCGGTGCATGTGGCCAATGTACCATGACGGCGCCGATCCCGTATACTCAAACGACGAGCGTGGCGAAAAGGACGGCGGCGCCCCGCTCAGCAGCGCATGCATAGCCGGCTCACGCGGCGCTACAGCACGCACCGCGAGGGGCACCGCCGCGCGGCCCAGGCGCCCAGTTCGTGGCATGGCAACCGCCTCCCTCCACACCATGGACGGCGACGTCCGCCGGCCGCCGGCGGCGGCGCCCGCGGGCCANGCCGGCGTCGCCAGCGCGCGAGGCGACTATGCGCGTCCTCTGGAAGGGCGCGCTCCTCCTGCATGATGGGACACAGCTGCCTGGCGCCTCGATCGTGACGACAATGCAGCCGTGGACGCACCTGCGCACGCACTCAGGCGAGGATGCCGGGAGCGACCTCGAGGCTGAGGCCGAGCTGTGCTTTGCGCTGGAAATGGTGCGGCATCACCCGCTGCGTGCGCGGCCCCGCTGGGAGACCAGCCCTGCGCGTGCGCCGCCCGAGACGCCCGAGACGACGTGCCGCGCGTCGGGGGCCATCCAGATGCAGGTGGACGCCGCGGACGACGTGACGCAGGCCTACTTTCTGCGCCTATTTGGCATGGAGGCGGCTCTGCGCCCGGGCGAGAGCACGCGGCAGGCACTGCACCTAACGTTTGATCCGAGCGCGCGCACCGCCGGTCCGTCGTACCGCAGCGGCGCCGTGTTTGAGCTCGTGCTCCTGGGCCGCTGCGCGCACGATGGCGTGCTGGATCTCGTCGTTGGGCGCCAGGTCGCGGTGCGCAAGAGCGATGTACCTACGAAGGACGGGTGCCCCGACGAGCCTCTACCGCGTGTCGCGGCCGCCGCGCGCGAGCGCGCCGCGAGCGTCTGGGCCTCGAGTGACGACGAGGCGCCCGTCACTCGAGTGGACATGCGCATGCGCCGGCGTGGACAGCTTCCCCACTCGCCGCGCCAGGGACGCGGCCACACGCCGGGCCGCCGAGGCGAGAAGCGCGGTGGGCGTGCGCCGCTCGAGCCGGTGCGGCCGATGGAGCGCATGCGCAGTCCGGCGAGTGGCGCGTGGCGACCGGTCGTCGCGCCCATTGCCGTCGCTGGCCGCGGCGCGCCGGACCCCGTCGTGGAGCAGCAGAACCGCACGCGCATCAAAAAGCTCGTCCACGCGCAGCTCGCGGGGCGCGGCATCGACCGCGCACACCCGGACCATGCGCCGTGCTTCCAGATGGCGTATGCGGGCACCTGCCTCGTGTTCCGGCATGCACTCGACAGCGCGCCACTCGAGACAGCGGCGCTCGTGCCGGTAGTCACCGCGCACCTCGACATGTACATCCACCCCGCCCAGCTGGCGCTGTGCGCGCGTGTCTCGTAGGGCGCTGGCCGCCGCTGACTAACGTATTCCATGACCGACCGTGTCGCAGGCCCAGGACTGCGGCGCCTCCCGCCGTACTGGCACGAGTACAAGACGCGCGCCAAGACGCGCTGGTACGGGCGGCAGATCCTTGAGGTGTTTACGACCGAGTTTCGCGATCGCACGAAAGAGTATTACCTGTGGGCCATCCACCATGGGCTCTGCACGGTGAATGGGCAGTGCGTCGCGCCCACGTATCGCATCCAGAACAGCGACTTTTTGGTCAATCGCGTGCACCGCCATGAGCCGGCCGTCACCAACACGCCCGTGAAGATCCTGCACCGCGACGACGCGCGCGGGCGCCTCGTGGTGGTCAAGCCAGGCAGCATTCCCGTGCACGCGACGGGGCGCTACCACCACCACACACTCGTCGAGATGGTCAAGCAGCAGGCGCAGATACCCCAGGTGTACACGAGCAACCGCCTCGACCGCCTCACGTCCGGCATCATGGTGTGCTCCACGACCAAAGAGGCCGCCTGCGAGCTCGGCAACGACTTCAACGCCGGCCTCGTGAACAAGGCGTACGTGTGCCGCGTGCAGGGCCACTTTCCCGACGGCCTCGTCGACTGCCGCGAGCCGATCCTCAGCGTCGACCGGCAGAGCGGCCTGAACATTGTGCACCCGAAGGGCAAGCCGTGCCGCACGCTGTTCCAGCGCCTGTCGTACGATGCGTCGACCGACTCGAGCGTGCTCGTGTGCCGCCCCATCACCGGGCGCACGCACCAGATCCGCGTGCACGCGCAGTTCCTCGGGCACCCCATCAGCAACGACCCCCTCTACCACCACCCGGTGTGGGCCACCGTCGATCGCGACGTGCTGGCGACCGCGCAGCCGCGCTTTTACGAGCGTGTGGGCGGCGGCACCGGCAACGCCGAGGTCGAGCGCGTGCTCACCGCGCTCAAGGGCACACGCGACGACACAGAAGGCTGGGCGCGCTGGCGCGATCAGGTCCTGTTCGGCCAGCTGAACAAGGAGCTCGGCTACGACGATGTGTATGTGCCCGGCGCGAACGCCGAGCCAGCGCCGCCGCCCGAGGACGAGGCGGCGGCGCTCCAACAGCAAAAGACATGCGATGTGTGCCACACGTACGTATCTCTTCTAACCCAGACCCCTATGCCCCGAGCCCCGCCCCGACGAGCTGTACATCTACTTGCACGCGATCAAGTACTGGACCGATGCGTGGGTGTTCCAGGACGAGCTGCCGTGGTGGGCCACACCCCACTGGCAGGACCCCGCACATGCGCTGACACCGGACGACGTCGCCCTACCCGATGGCCCCCTGATTGCGCACCATGCAGGGCACGATCCGCTCGGCCTCGGCAAGGGCGGCGCGCGCCGCCGCATCCACGACGAGGTCCCGCCCGCGACGCGCCTCGTTGCGTACCCGGTGTGTGGGCGCGCGGCCAGCGCGCCTGCCCCTGGCGCGATGCCCGCGCTCGTGCTCGAAGTGACCCGCGGCCTCGAGGACGCCGCGCAGCGCGAGGTCCTGCGCCGCGTTCCGCCGCCGACGGGCGCCTCTGGCGCTGCGATCGAGTCGGCGCTGCACTCGGGCCTCTTGTTCGTGCGTGCGCCATGGCACGCAGCCGTGTGCGCAGCGTACGAGCGCAACGAGCTGCCCGTAGCGACCGCCGCGCACTGGGCCATGGGCGAGGCGATCCTGCCGCGGCCTCTGCTCGATGCGCTCTTTGCCGAGCGTGTCACGGCGCTCGGCGCCAGTGGCCCGGGCCACGAAAAAGAGGCGCAGCCGACGCCGTCCGAGCACGCGCTGCTCACGTGGATCGCGCAGGTGTGGGCGGACCATGCGGCCGCGAGGGACGCCGCCCTGCAGGCGTGGCAGGCGCGGTGCGCAGCGCCGCTGCCACAGACCTGGCACGTGAGTGTGGATCGCAGCAGCTATGTGCTGCCGACTCTCAGCACCAGCTCGCTCGAGGCCCACGCGCAGGGCCTGGTCGCGTCGTGGCTCGGGCCGTCGTGGACTCTGGCGCCGCGTGCCGAGGCGTCCCTGCATGTGAAGCTGGCGTGGGCGCCGCGCTTCCGCGTCGACGAGTCGCTGCAGTGTGGGCCGCGCGCCCGCCAAGGCAACCCGTCGGGCTGTCTGTGCCTGCAGCTGCATATTCCTGCACGGGCCGCGACGACCGCGGAGGCCGTGCGCACGGCCATGGCGCGCGCGCGTGCTTATGCGTTGTGTGCGCTTCTCCCCATCAGCGAGGGCGCCGCAGTGAGCACGCTGCACAGCGCAGACACGCATCTTGCGCGTGCGCTCGACGATATGCTGCAGGCGCGTGGGCGGACGCCGCAGCACGAGGCGCCGTTGGACGCGGCGCTCGTCGAAATGCCGCTCAAGCCCAAGGAGCTGCCGCATGCGCACCTCTTTGATCTGTACGCTGCCGAGGTCGCTCGCCTGGCGCGTGCGCTCAAGGAGGGCGGGCGAGCGCTCGTGCTGACGAGCGAGCCGCGTCTCCTCGCACGGGCGGTGCGCGAGCAGGTGAACGAGGCGCGGCGCGAGCAGCGGCGGAGTGCGCTGGCCCTCGAGCCGATCGTGTGGGATCTGCCGCTACAGGACTACGAGGACGAGCGCACCGCGCACGAGGGCGACGAGGAAGCGCAGCAGCGCAGTGGGCTGCGTACCATCCTGCATCACCACACGTTCGTGGCGCAAATGGCGCAGCGCGCTCTCTATGCAGCGTAGGATTAGTCATTTTTGCGTCGGGTTTCACCTGCACGGCGTGGCCCGCCACCGAACTCCGCTTGCTTGGGACGCTGGCGCCGGCAGGCCATGTCGACGTTGTCGCACGCGAGCGCGCGTCGAGCATGGCTCTATGCCTTGGTCCTGCTCCTGTGGCTCTTTTTCCAGAGTGCCCTTGTCGCTGCCATCAGTGACCAAGATTATGACGTGGATGACCCCACGACCGAGCGCCGGATCACGAACCACCAGCTCGAGGATCAGACCACTGTCGCGAACTACATTGCTGTGGCGGGACTGACGCTCTATATTTGGGAGTACTTGTGCACGCTATCGCACGAGCTCTACATGTGGTTCCATCCGCGGCTCCTGCTGCGTCCGCATGTGCTCTTGTTTCTGGCGATCCGCTATGCGACGATTCCCGCCATCGTTGTGCCCTTGTACAGTATGTGGGGCAATATCAAGACCCAGGAGGACTGTCCAAAGCATGAGCAGATCACCGTCGCCGTCGTGCAGTTCGTCGTCGCGTGCATTTTCTCCTGGCGCACGATCGCGATCTGGCGGCGGCGGCGCTGGGTGGTTGTGTTCCTGGTGACCTTCACTGTGCTGCTCTTTCTGGCCAGTCTAGGTCTGCTGTATTTTTCGCGGGATGCGTACCTCGTCACGGGCGAATGCCGTCCAGCGTTGTTCACGGACGACGACAATGACCACGACGACAAGAGATACGCGGTGAATACGGTCCAGTGGTTTTATCTGACGTGCATCATCTTCGATACAGTGATTCTGGTCCTGTCCACGTACAAACTGTTCGTGTATGCCAACATGGGCCGCACGGTCAACACGATTGCCTTCCGCGACCCGTTCGAGGCGCACCGGCAGCAGATGGAGAAAACCGCGGCGGCCAAGGAGGCGCCCCGCGACGTGGAAGCCGCGCTCCATGTCGACCCAGCCGAGCGGCGCACCAGCGGTGCAGGTATGCTCTTGCGCGGGCTGCGCTCGAGTGTATTCACAGTGTTCCTCTTCCCGTATCGCAAGGCGTCCGCCTTGTATTCGTGGTGGTTCTCGCTGACGCCCCTCGTGGCGCGGCTCCTGCGCAATGGCGTTCTGTACTTTGTTGTGGCGACCGCGTACAGCGTGAACAACTTTGTGCTCGAGGCCGTCCAGTCGCTGCATTCCAAGAGTTTCCTCACGCTCTATGCGCCGCTGATGTGTGTCATGTGCCAGCGCATGCTGCTTACCGAGTTCCAGGCCGTGTGGTCGCCGTACGACGAGGACAGCATGATCCCTGGCCGCGAACTTGTGGCTGCGGTCACGGGCAATCATCACTACCCGCAGGGGCACAGCGACATTGACCGCTTTGAGTACTTTGCGTCGAACCTTGAAGAGCGCCATGCGTCGGTCGTCTCACCACGCTCGCACCACGACCCGGCCCCCTGGCACCGCCGAACCACAAGCTCGTACAGTCCAGACGCGCCCCCAAATCCGGGGGCAGATCCGCCCAGCTCGGAGACAGCCGTTCCGTTGTACGCACCGCCGGTCGAGTGCGAGGACGGTGATCTGTCGTCGCACTCCGGCAAGCCGTCTGACCAAACCAGGGAGTCCGAGACGGACCAGGCGCGGCGCGACGTCGCGCGACGCATGTCGCCCAGCTCCGGCGTGGTTCCGTTGGTGCCGCCGCAGGCCGCGCGGCACCGGGTATTCCAGCTCTCGCCGGCGCAGCGAGAGCAGGCACTGCGCATGGCAGGCCTCTAATGTATACCCTATGTACTTGTATCATAATGTGACCATGGTATCATGCCGCTCCGCCAGGGAGGATGCGCTCACGCGCAGGGTCCTCGTGCGCAAAGCCCTGCAGGCGCTCTGCCGTGGGACGCGCCGGCCCATCCCGTGGATGCCGAAAATAGCAGTTGGCTGTGTAAGTCGTGGATACGTACGCCGCGTGCATTCGTCGCCGTAGCGACAAGGTGTCGCGCTCCGCTGCGTGGGATGCATGTACACACAGTCCGCGCGCGTGCACCCCAGCCCAAAGCGGCACGGCGTAGACGACGTCTTGCCGGGTGGCGGCACAGGCTCGCCACTCGCGCTGTAGTGCGCATACGTGCAGGCCGGGTTCAGGCACTGTTGCTGGAAACGGCAGGGCGCCGGGCCCGGCGGCGGCGCTGAGCCGCGCGCCGTAATAAACGCCACCGCCGGGCTGACGTGGCTGAGCACACACTCCTTGTCGTCGCACGCACCGCCCTTCTCGCACGCATCCGCACGCAGTACGAGCGCCTGTGCATCCCCATCCTTGCCCGCATTCGCCGGCGAGGGGTGGCTGTATGGGCACAGCGGATTCGTGCATGCCAGCGACCAGCGGCACAGCGCCTCGTCCGTCGGCCGCGTCGGGAACGCCGCGGGATCGCGCGGCGGCGCCGGGGCCGTCGTAGTCACAGGCGGCCCATTGTCAGGCATCATCGGGTCTAGGCGCGAGAAGAGCGACGGCGCAGCGGCGCCGGCCATCGCGGCCATCGCCATGAACGGCAGCGGCATCGGCTCGGACGGCACAAACGGCGGCGCCCGGGGGTCGGGTATCCCTGCGCGGCCGAGCAGGCTGATAGACGCCGGCTTGGTCGGCTCCTTGGGCGTGCGGCCGGCCCGCCGCTTTTTCTCGCGGGCCTGATCGCGCTCGCCGCGCGCCGGCGCGCGTGTGCTGCGCTCTTCCCACCTGTCGTGTGCACGCGTCGCCGTGTCGCGCGGCGGGGGCGACGCGGAGCGCTCCCGCTCGGCGGCGGGCGCCGGCCGCGCAGCCTCGCCCTCGATCGCCACGCGCGCCTCGCTCCACAGCTGCTCCACGACGCGCGCATCGAGCCCCGAGCCCATGAGCTCGCGCAGCTCCTCGGCGATCATCTCGGGCCCCTTGCGGTTGGCGATCATGACCGTGACGTATTCGGCCATGACAGAGTCGTCCGCAGTGACCATGTCATGCTCGACAAGTACGCGCTGGATCGCGTCCTGCACGCGCGTGGCCTGCGGCGTGCCCAGCTCGAGCGACAGCGAAGCCATGGGCGGTCGCGGACGCCGTCGCCCGCCGCGGCGCCACCGACGAAGAACGTCACGTGATATAACCATCGCGGAGGGCGGCGGCGGCCTGGGTCCTGCTACGATGGTGCGTTGCGGGCGAGTGCTGACCGAGTAGCTGCCGTTGACGCTGCTGAATGCAGCGCAAGACAAGCCCATGGTAGGTGTCTCGTGCCTGACAGTCAGCTCGTGGAGCTGAAAAACAGCGAAACGTTCAACGGGCATCTGGTTGCCTGCGACAACTACATGAACATCACGCTGCGCGACGTATACCAGACGAGTGCGGTACGTGCGCCCCCCTGACGGCCAGAGTGGCGAGCAGTTTTGGAAGATGCCGGAGGTGTACATCAAGGGCAGCACGGTACGGTGGGAAGGCTTACCGCAGATCAAGTACTGCCGCGTGGTCGATACGCTGATCGACACGGTGCGCGAGGCCGAGGAGCAGGCGCGCAAGCAGCGGCAGCAGGCCGCCAGCCACGGCCACCGCGGGCGCCACGACGGCCACCGCGGCCGCGGCCACCGCGGTCCCCGCACGCGGACCTAGGCTAGATACCAGTAGTGGGCCTATCTAAAGCTCATCGTGGCGGGCGCCCGTCGTGGCGCCCGTGCGCGGGTCGCGGATCTGCAAGAGCTCCACGTCGAAGACGAGAGCGGCGTTCGGCGGGATCACACCGCCCGCGCCCGCAGCGCCGTACCCGAGGTGCGGGGGGATCTGCAGCTTGCGCTTCTCGCCCACGCACATGTCGCGCAGGCCCCTGTCCCAGCCCTGGATGACCATGCCCTGACCGAGGGTGAACGACTGCGTCAGCACACACTACGCACGAATGGCTGGTTGCGGTCCAGCGACGAGTCAAACTTCTTGCCGTCCCACAGGTAGCCCGAGTAGTGCCTGGCGTCAGCGCATGCGACCTACATCAGCAGCTCGTGGCCGTCGTGCGACTTGACGTCACACGTCGCCGGGCGCGCCTTGACACCAATACGCAGCTCCGTCGGCGGCTCCTTGGCCTGCACAAGCGCCAGCAGAGCGAGTAGGCACACGATCCAAACGTGCATCGTAGTACGGTGCCGCGGCGTCGCCGCGGGTCTATGTGGAGGCGGCCGCCACGCTGGCCAGCTCGGCGCCGACGAGCGCCGCGACGCGCTCGAGCTCGAGTGACATGCGCACGCCGATGCCCGTGGGCGTGCGGTGCAGGGGGAAGAAGGCGACCAGGTGGCTGGGCGCCTGGAGCGCGAACTGCGCCACGAGGCGGCGGTCCGCGCCGAGGTACAGCAGCACGCGGCCGCTGCACGGCGCCGCCGGCTCGTGGTCGTCGTGCACGACATCGAGGAGGCGCGCGAGCCACGCCTGTGCGTCGTGCATGCCTTCAAAGGGGCGCCAGTCGATGTGCACGTCGTATCCGTGCGTCGCGGGCGTGAGCACGGCGTGGAAGCGCGCGAGAAAGAGGGTATATCGGTAGAGCTCCCAGAGCGGCGCGGTCAGCGAGGCGCGCGGCGCCGGCGCCCGTGGCGCGACAGACGCGGCATGCGTGTGCCGCAGCGCCGTCAGCCGGACGGTCCAGCTGCGCAGCATACGCAGGCGCAGCCCGTGCAGGAGCATGGTCGCCCACATGGACTCGGTGCCCTGCTCCGCACGGGCCGCCGTGCCCCGCTCGTACGGCACCAGCTCAAACGAGACGGCCAGCGTGCTCGAGAGCGGCACGGTGATGCACGAGTCGGTGACCGTGCGTGGCAGCATGGCCGAGAGCGCGCCGGACTGCGCGGCCAGCTCGCGGAACAGCTCCGCGTCAACGGCGTCCCGCTGCGCATCGTACAGTTGTGCGTCGAGGTCGGTGCCCGGCACGGGCACAGCGTCAGCGTTCGTCCACACACGCTCGCCCGTGGCGGCATGCTCGCGGAGCTGCACACGCAGCCGGCGCCACGTGCGGTCCGGGAAGGCGAGCGGCTCGGACGACGTCGCGGTGTCGGCCCAGTACGCGAGCGTGCGCTGCAGCACGGGCACGGGCGCCTCGCTTGGGCCGTAGCCGATCCACGCATCGCGTGCGCCCTCGTCCTTGACCGCGCCATCCCCGTGCAGCACGGGCATGCCGAAGCCGTGCAGCGCACTGCCTGCCGTAGCCAGCTGGTCCAGGCGCTCCATGTCGACGAGGGGGCGGCCCGGCGTGAGCTTCCAGCCGCGCTTCTGGATGTGCAGCAGGGCGCGCCACCGCGCGCGCTCGGGCGCGAGGCACCGCTCCACGTCGTCCGCGCCCTGCGCGAGGATCGCGGCGGCCCCGTGCAGGCTCTCGCGCTTGCCCTGGATCACGCGCTGGCGCGTCGCGAGGGGCGGCGGCGGCGGCGGCTCGGCGTCCTCCGGCAGCGCCGTCTCCAGCGCGCTCAGCGAGAGCGACGGCGGCTCGAGAAAGTACTCGCTCTGGGCGGCGAGCACGGGGCCCACGTCGCCGCGTGCGTTCTGGATCAGCATGCCGAGCAGGTTCTGCGCCTGCTCCGCATGGAAGAGTGCGACTTCGAGCTGGTGCAGCATGTGGTCGCGCATCGGCACAAACTCGCTCTCGGCGATGCGGCCCAGCTTCGGAGGCGCCGCCGCGGCCGGCGCGGCCGGGGCGGCCGGCGGCGCGTACGCCGCGCGCAGGCGCGCGAGAGCGTCGAGCACGGGCTCCTCGTCCATCGGCGCCGCCTGCAACGCAGACGCACGCACGCGCCCAAAGTCGCCGCGCTCGGCCCACAGGCGCCGTCGGCGTGCGCGCGCCTCGTCGAGGAGCGACGGCGGCGGCGCGACGATGCGGCGCCCGTCGGCCTGCACATCGAGCGTCTCGCGCTCCGTCACGAGCGCAGGTGCGCCAGGCGGCGCACTGAGCATACCGTCGGGCGTGCCAGGTGCCACAGGCACGCACGCCACGCTGACGCCCACGCGTGCGGCGCCGGCCATGCTGGGAGACGGTAGCCCACGTGATGGGCACGCACCGCCGAGTCACAGGCGCACGCTCCTTCCGGCATGCGTGTGCAAGGCGTGGATGCAGAGGCGTGCGCGCTCGCGCGCGCCCACAAGCCGGCGCACTTTGTGCTGGAGCGTGTGGTGCGGCCGAACATCCTGGCTCTCGAGCCGTACCGCTGCGCGCGCGACGACTTCCAGGAGGGCGTCCTCCTGGATGCGAATGAGAATGCGATGGGCCCGGCGCTCGCGCCTGGCACCGCGTACGAGGCGCTGGACCTGCACCGGTACCCGGACCCGTCGCTGCATGAGGCGCGCGAGCGTGCGACGGCGCTGCGGGGCCTGCCGCACCCGGCGTACACGTTCCTCGGCGTCGGCAGCGACGAGGTGATCGACCTGATCCAGCGGTGCTTCGCGCGCCCCGGGCAGGACAAGATCCTGATCTGCCCGCCGACGTACGGCATGTACAAGGTGAGCGCGTCGATCAACGACATCGGGGTCGTGCAGGTGCCGCTCGTGACGGCGAACGGCGCGTTCCAGCTCGACACGCCGCGCGTCCAGGCGGCGCTGCGCGCGGACCCTGCGATCCGCCTCGTGTTCCTGTGCTCGCCGGGCAACCCGACCGGCACACTGCTCCCGCTGCGCGACGTGCAGCAGATCCTCGACACGCCCGAGTTCGGCGGCGTCGTGGTCGTCGACGAGGCGTACATCGACTTTGCCGCCGAGGAGCAGGCGCTGGGGCGCAAGCACGGCACGGAGCCGGTGTCGGCCGTGTCGCTCGTGCACGAGTACGCGAACGTGATCGTCGCGCAGACACTCAGCAAGTCGTTTGGCCTCGCCGGCGTGCGCCTCGGCCTGGCGTTCGCGCAGCCGCCGATCGTGCAGGTGCTGAACAACACCAAGGCCCCGTACAACATCTCGTCGCCGGCCGCGTACCTTGCGTCGCAGGCGCTCAGCGCCGAGGGCGTCGCGCGCATGCGCGCGAACGTGCACGCCCTCCTGGACGAGCGCGAGCGCCTGTGCCGCGCCCTCGCCCCGATCCCCGCGACGGGCGCCGTGCTGGGCAGCAACGACGCGAACTTTGTGCTCGTGCAGGTGCTCGACCGGCCCGGCGGCGTGCCCGACAGCCAGCGCGCCGCCCACGTCTACGAGACCATGGCGCGCCACCGCGGCCTGGTCGTCCGCAACCGCTCGTCCGAGCTCGGATGCGCGGGCTGCCTGCGCATCACGATCGGCACCGCCGACGAAAACGACCTGTGCATCGCCCTGCTCACCGAGCTGCTCGCATAGTGGTATCTACTTAGGCGAGGGCCCGCTCGGCCTCGCGCATCTCGAGCTCCGTACGTAGCTCCTCGTACACCTCCTGCGCCTCGGCGCGCTCCGCCGACAGGACGCGGTACTCGTCCTGCGCACGCGCCTCGACCGCCTGCAGCCGCGCGACCTCCGCCTGCAGCCGCCCGAGCCGCTCCGCACCGCTCGCCGGCTCCGACGCCGCGAGGCGCGCGAGCGCCTCGTGCGTGAGCAGCTGCTCCACCTGCTGCGCCGCCGCCGCGCGGATCTGCGTCGCCAGCCGACGCGACCGCGCCTCGTAGCCGCCCAGCAGCTTGCCGAGCGTCTTCTCGCTCTTGGCCGCCTGCGCGGCCACCTCCGTCAGGCGCGCACGCAGCTGCTCCTGCCGCGCAGCGGCACCACGCACCCGCTCCGCCGGCGGCACCGACGCATACGGCGCGGCATGCCCCGCAGGCGTCCACGCCGCGTGCACACGCAGCGCCGCGTCCAGCGGGGCAGTCGGCGCCGCCGCGGGGCACTGCGCGAGCTCCGCCTCGACCAGCGCGTGCGCCGCCGCGCGGCGCTCGTCCGCGATGGCCGGCAGCGTCGGCACGAGGCCGCCAGGGTACCGGCTGCCCGGCAGAGGAAACACGCGCGCGTCGTGCGCCATGAGCCGCGCCATCTCCTCGTCCACGAGGGCCTGTGCGGGCGGCGCCCCAGGGAGGCGCAGCGACTGCAGCAGCGCGAGCACGTCGCGCTCGTCCACGTGCGCAGGGCGCGGCAGCCCGCGGCGCACGACCTGCGTCCGCTGCGCATACTCGCGCTCGCGCGCTTCGGCGGCGAGCTCGGCATCGCGCGCATCGCGCAGGGTCGCGTCCTCCGTCCGTGGCGGCGCGTCGGCCGCCGGCGCCGCCGGCGGCGCCTCGACGACGAGCTCAAAGTCNGGCGGCATCGGCGCATTCTCGCCGCCGAGGAGCGGCGTCTGCGCGACGGTGCGGCTGTGCAGCTCGCGCGCCTCGCGCACGAGCGCGTCCGCGTCGTGGCCCGAGGGCGTCGGTGCGGCGGCGCCCTGCTCGAGCGGCGCATAGTGCGCGAGGAGGCCCTCTGTCGCCGCGCCGTCGTCCGTCTCGACGAGGGCGCGCGCCGCCTCGCTTGCGTGGCCGAGCTTGACGATCTGCTCGAGCTCGCGCTCGCCGACCTGGGCGTCCGGCAGGGCGAGTTTTCGCCGCTTGGTGACCTGCTCGGCCTCGCGCAGGCGCCGGAGTGCCTCCTCGTGGCGCGCCGGCTTGTTCAGCGCGCGCTCGCGCTTGCGCTTCGCCTCCTCCTCGCTCTGGCGGAGGCCGGGGTCCATCTGCTGGAGGGTGCGGCGCATGGGCTCCTCGTACACCTTCGCGGCCTCCTCGGTCGTGTCGTAGAAGCCGGGGAGCGGCTGCTTCTCGAACGGGATCTCGGCGTTGTAGTCCATGCCCGGCTTCTTGTCCTTGCCCTTGGCGAGGAGGCCCGCGGCGCGGAGCTCGCGGCGCTTCTGCAGCGTCGACAGGCGGCGTGCCTCGTCGAGTGCGCGCTCGCGCGCCTTGCGCTTCGCCTTCTTGCCCTCGGTGTTGGCGAGACGCGCGCGCGCCTCGGAGAGCATCTCCTTCTCGTCCTCGTCCATGTCGACCGGGTCGGGCTTCGCGGGCCGCGACTCGGGGTCGGGGTCAATCTCGCCGGGGCGCAGCTTCAGGACCTGGTCCGCGCTGGGCGCGGCCTCGGAGCCGGGGCCAGCGAGCGCGAGCTCCGAGCTCTGCGCGTCGGCGTCGTCGAGCAGCTGCTGGTACCGCTCGAGGCACTGCGTCGCCGTGCGCCCGACGATCGGCGCGATCGTGCGCCACTGCGTCGGCATGAGCTTCGCCATGTGCAGCAGCTTCTCGTCTTCCTCGCGCGACCACTCGATCTTCTTGATCGACGGGTCGAGCCACTCGTACCAGCGCGCCTTGCACTGCTTCGGCGTCTTGCGCACGAGCAGGGACGAAATTCGCGCCCATTGCTGTGGTCAGTCGCGTGCACGCACATTCAGGCCGTATTTCGACACGGCCGCCTTGAGAATCTCATCTTCCGTCTGCGGTCAGCGGTGCGCACGTACATTCTTCCACACGCCGCCCTTGACGACGCGACCCATGGCGGCGGCGTGCAAAGCGACGGCGGACGAGCGCCACGTGATCAGCCCGGGCGCCCGCCCCTTCCCTCATGACCAGCCTGGGCGAGACGCGGCGCGTGTGCCGTGTGCGGCTGCCGAACCTGCCGCTGGCGATGCGATCGAATGCGCGTGCGATGGGTGTCTACGCGGCTGGGGCTCTGTTTGCCGCCGGCTGGTGGATCTTCTTCGATGCGTGCGTGCGCTCCGCGCACGCGCAGCGCGCGGCGCCGGGCGAGGCGGCGCCGCCGGTGGCCATCAAGTTTGACGACTGGGCGCCCGGCCTGTGCACGATGGCCGGCCTGGTCATCGTGAACCTGGTGGACAAGCAGCACCTCTTCGACGACGGCGCCCTCGGCGACTGGGCGCACGACCCGGTCCTGTGGCGCGCACGTACCTGGCTGTTTGTCGGCTTTGCGTGCCTCGCGGGCGGCATGGCCGGCAGCCTGGCCGTGCTCATCATCAAGTACATGCTCAACGAGCACGCGGTGGGCTACGTCGAGCTGGGCGTCGCGGGCGTCCTGCAGAACGTCGCGATGATGGCCTGTGCCATGGTGCTGTGGTTCAGCCAGCGCACCGAGAGCGACTATGAATACAACCTCACCCTGTAGATACCCGCGCTAGGGCCGGGGCGTAGAGAGCGCCCGTAGCGCCTGCTCCACCTCCCATGCATCGTCCCAGTCCGAGCGGAAGCTCGCAGGCGACACGGACCGCGCCTGCGGCGATCGCGCGCTGGACACACGCGGCGACCACGCGGGGCCGTCGCGGCCAGGCGACGAGCGCCGAAGCGCCGACGGCGAGGACAGGCGCGCGGAAAACGGCGTCGGCGTCGACGTCGGTCGCCCAAGGCCGAGCGCCGACGTCGCAGGGCCGGGCGTGGCACTCGCCACGGGCGCGGGCGTCGGAGGAGCGCGGGTCGCGTGGAAGGGCGAGGTGCGCAGGTGCGCCGGGNGAGAGCCTCGCCGACGGACGCGGGCGCCGACGTGTCGCTGGGCGGCTCCGTGGCGGGCGCGGGGGGCAGCGCGACGCGCAGGGCGGCCTCGCCCGCATTGAGGAGAAACACAAAGGTGAGCGCCATGCGCAGCCAGAGCAGCACCGAGTCGAGCACTTCGTCGGCGCCGGCCGGAACGCCATCGATCAGCATGAGCCAGTCGGTCAGCATGTAATATACGTCGACGCTGCGGGGCCACAGCGTGCCGACCCCCCAGAGGGCCGCGAGGCCGCCCACATTCCACGCGATGCGGCGCCGCGCGGTCGCGAGCGACATGCGCGTGTGCGGCGGCGCCTTGGCGGGGGGCGCCCTGGCCGGCGTGGGCGCAGGCGCCGTCGTTGCTGGCGAAGAGGCAGGCCACCGCACGGCAGGCGGGGCGCTGGCGCGACTGGGTGTCCCCGTCGCCGCGGTCGCCATGGGGACGATGGGCGAGGGCGGGCGGCGGGCAGGTCGTCTCACGTGATACGTGTTGTTCTCGCGGCGCGCCGCACGTCCGCACGACGCACGATGGGCGAGGCGAACCCGCTCGCGAGCTTGTCGCCGCTGCAGATCAAGCAGCTGCAGCGAGTCTTCTACGCTCTGGACAAGGACCTGGATGGGCGCGTAAGTGAGGCGAATGTCGCGGATGTGCTGGGGCATCTCGGTACGTGTACGCTGCTGACGCCAGGGTCGACGGACGCCGAGGCGGAGGCGCACGCGTGTTTTGCGGATGCGCCTGCGACGCTCGAGATGATGAGCTTTCTCACGCACATGGCGCGCATTCTCGCGCGCGTGGGCGACGCGCACTCGCTGGCTGAGGCGTTTGCGAGCTTTGACGAGAAGGACGAGGGTATGATCGACCGCCGCGACCTGCACGAGATCCTCGGGCACGACCCTGCGCTGATCGCGGCATGGGAGGTGCCTGCGTTTATGGACCGTGCGCAGAAACGCTTCGACTACCGGAAACGTGTGTATGGTCTACTAACGCCAGTGGTAACGACGCTCGGCATGTGTGCCTGGTCGGATGTGAGCGCGTAGTGGCGCTACGCGTCCTCGACGTGCTCGCCGCCGTCGAGACCGAAGCGGCGCTTGACCATGCTGGGGTGAGTGTAGCGTACGTACGCGATCTCGTCCAGGTCGCCCGTGTTCTTTGTGAGGTCGTCGCTGATCTTGACGGCCGGGCGCCCATTGATCGAGTAGAGCTTGATGACCAGGTTGAGCGCGGGGCTCGGGCCCTCGTCCGAGACGCGCACAAAGTCGTTCGTCATGTGTGTGCCGATGCCTGGCGTCAGTGGGGCAGCGTACCAAAGCCGGCCTGGATGCCGTGCTGCTGCGCCAGCTCCTGGAGCGCCACGCAGCGCGGGACAGTGAGGCCGTCGCTGAACACGATCAGCTTCGTCGCGGGGTCGATGCCGATCTGGCGGTACATCGCGACGGCGCGCTCGACGAACGCGGTGCTGTCGCCGGAGTCCTGCCGCAGGCCGCGCCAGTCGCGCAAGATCTGCTTGCCGCGCTCGTCGGCGAGCAGGTCCTCCCAGAACACCTTCGTGCTGAACGTGTCCGTGAGCGCGATTGTCAGGTTGTTGCTCGGGCTCGTGGGCGTGAACGCGGGCGGGCAGTACACCTGCTCCCACAGCTCGAGCGCCGTGCGGTTGCTGTGGTCGTAGCCCCGTAGCGCGGCGATGCCCATCGTCCACTCGTGCGCGATCGTGCCGTTCGGCGGGATCCCGTACTTGCGCGCAAGCAGGATATTGCTCGTGCCGAGCAGGCGCCCGGCGTCCGGGTCGCCGCTCGCCACGGCCTCCTGGTGCGCCTGCAGGAGGCCCGCGACGACGACGTCCTGCGCAGCGTACGAGCGGCGGCGGCGCGTGCCAAACTCGCTCAGCTTGATGCCGTGCCGGAAGAGCTCCTGGCCCTTCGCATACGCGCGCTCGCGCTGGCCTTGGAGAGACCAGTCCACGTCGCACACGGCAAAGTACGCCTCGCTGATGATCGCCATGATCGGCACCTCGTACAGGATCACGTCGCGCCACAGGCCGGAGATCTCGATATGCAGCGAGCCCTGCTTCGCCTGGACGGGCGTGAGCGTGAGGCGCACCTGCTCGGCGGGCCGCAGCTGGAACTGCCGCAGAAAGCTCAGGTACGGCTCGCGGAAGTACGGGCAGGCCTGGCGGAGCCAGTCAATCTCCTCAGGCGTGAACCGCAGTGTGCCGAGGTCTGTGTGAGCGCCGCGCACGTACGCTGGATGGCCGCCTCGATCGCCTCGATGCAGGCCTCGCTGAACAGGGCGCCCGGCGTGCGGACAGTGAGGCGGTCTGTGTGAGTCGGCGAGCGTACACGTCACTTCTGCCGTCGGGAAGTGCTGCAGGACGGCCTGCTGCATCGTCAGCTTGTACAGGTCCGTGTCCAGCAGCGACGACAGCGCGATATGGACCATGGTCGTGGGGGGGAGCTAAATGGACGAATTCGGCGCAGGCGCCTCCACTATGCACGGGAAACCTCGACGGCCTGGTACGCCGTGCGCAGCGCGGGCTCGAGGGCCTCTGCGAACGACTCGGGCAGCGTGCCGACGCGCCGCGCTTCCATGAGCATCGCTGACGTACCGGGCGACCCGCCAAACACGCAGTGGCTCGGTACGACCGTGTGGGGGGCGAGTACGGCGCCGTCGAGGATCTGCGCGCCGTCACGCACGATGCAGAAGCGCCCCTGCTGTCAGCCGCGCAACGTACGACGATGCACCGCTCGCCGATATCGACGTGGCTGCCGATCTGCGCGGCTTCCACGACCGAGTGCGCGCCGATGCGCACATAGTCGCCGATGCGCATGGGAAAGTACGAAAACACGCTGGGTCAGCCACCACCACACACCCCTGGTACGTCTTGGCTGGCGGGCGCAGCGTGCTGCCTTCGCCAATGCACACGTAGCGCCCGGTCGCGAGCGCGACGGACCCCGACGCCGGCGTGCGCGGCGGCCGCGTCAGGTCGCCACGCAGCACGGCGCGGTGCTCGATGAGGCACTTGCCGCCCAGCACAATGTTCGAGGCACCATAGATGGCACACCGGCGCGAGATCTTGTTGCCTGTCGACGCTGTGCGGATGTACTCGCCGGGCGGCGCCTCGGGCGGCGCGGCGGCGCGTGGCATGGCGCCAAGGTCCACCTCCACCTGTGGCTACGGGCTACAGCAGCTGGGAAGGATGGCGCAGCGCGTGCATATCGCCGACCGACGAGCGCGCGTCGAAGAACACGGAGTGGCGCGGCGACGAGTGCGGCGACGGGCCGCGCTCCACGTCGCCTGCGAGGCCCAGGTTCCAGTGCGTCTGGGCATACCCATCGAACGACATTTCGAGCACCGGCAGCGGCGCCCGCGGCGTCGCGTGCTCGATCGGCCCGTTCGGGTCGGGGTACACGGACCGCGGGGGGTGCGGCGTCGACAGGGACTCATCCAGGAGGCTGTGCGCCGTGGCCATCGTGCTGATGTCGGCGCCGAGGGGCGGCAGGGCCTTTTTCGGCGTCTCGGGCAGCGCGTGGTCGAGCGGGCCGGCGAACGCGTCGGCGTCGCTGTGCGCCCACAGCACCGCGTGGGAGGCCGCGGTCCCGGGGCCCAGGCTCGAGCTCGTGGCGGCCGGCGAGCCGTGCATGTCGGGGAAGCGCGCGCTGGACGCCGAGCTCGCGCTCTTCGGCGTCATGGCGCTCGGCAGGTACAGCGTGCAGTACTGCTCGAGCTGCTCCGCCGTGACGCGGTAGAACGACGCCTGCACCTGCGAGAGCGCGAGCACGCAGTGCTGCAGCACCAGGTCGAGGCCCCGCAGCAGTGCGGGGATCTCGTCGACGAGCTGCATATGCATCGAGAGGAACGCCGTCGCGCCGTCGCTGGGCGGCACGCCCGCGCGGCGCGTGCGCTCCGCGAGGTACCTGCGGTACTCGGCCTCCTTCGCGCTGCGGTTCAGCACGACCATCTTGGGGCGCTCCACGAGCTGCAGCGCGGCGCGGATCTTGGCGTGCACCGCGCGCTCCACGGAGCGCTCGAGCTGCTCGCACGCCTGCCCGAGGAGCCGGTGCTCGACGAGGAGGCGCAGCTGCGCGAGGCTCTCGAGCGCCGCGCGGTGCTCGTGCCCGCCGCCCTCGTACACGGCCATCCACGCGAGGACGACAAGCAGCTCGGCGCGGTACATCTCGCGCACGCGCGCGGTCCACGCCGCGCAGTACTGCGCGAGGCGCTCGAGCTGCTGCTCCGCCGCCTCCAGGCGCGCGACGAGCGCGAAGTAGTGCGCCTCGTCGCTCGTCAGCGGCCCCTCGCTCGTGGGCGACCGCGCCTTGCGCAGCGCGCTGCCCGTGACGGGCCGGCGGAACGCGGCGCGCGGCGCGGACAGCGGCTCGAACCCGTGCTGGCCGACGACGTCCATGCGCTTCTTGCTCTCGTTGATGCGGTCCGCGACGCCCTGGATCTGCGCGAGCGCCTGCTGCAGCGCCGCATACTCGGGGTCGTCGCTGCTCGTCTGCGCCAGGATCGACTGCAGGAACAGGGGGTACTTGAGCACGCGCTGCACCGGCTTGATCAGGAGCGACGGCAGGTCCCACGCACTCGTGTACGGCCGCGCCATCTCGTCGCACTCGTGCAGGAACCGCGCGGCCGCGGCCCGTTTCGCCGCGACGTCCGCGAGCCGCGCCACGGCCGCCTCGTGCCGCGCGCAGTAGAGCGCAAAGGCCTGCTCAATCGCGCTCATCTTGTCCAGAAACACGCTGCTCACCGTGCGCTGCGCGCGCGCTGCCGCCACGAGCAGCCCACTCATCTCCACGGCGAGCGCATAGCACGGGCCCAGCCCCGCAAAGATCACATGAATGTCCGTGACGCTCAGCGGCGGCGCGCGCGCCGGGCTCCCCGGCGCGCGCAAGGGCCGCGCGCCCCCGCTGCCCGGCGCGTCCTCGCGCTCCGACGAGAGGCTCGAGAGGCTGCGGGGCAGCATGTCCGGGGACGCGTGCGTCGACGCGTGCGGGCTGCTCACCGCGCCCTGCGGGAGCGGCCGCAGCCCCGCGCGCCGCCGCGCGTGGGCGAGGTATATGTTCTGCACGATGCCCAGGTCCGACGCATACGTCTGCTCCGTGCTGGCCAGCTCGTTGAGCAGGTGCTGCCGCTGCCGGCGGCCCGGCGACGCTTCGGCGACAAAGACCGACGGCGCAGCAGAGACGGGCGTCGCGTACGGATTGGGCATCTCGGGCAGGTCCTGCATCGGCGCGAGGCGCGGCGACTTTTCGATAGGCGTGGGCGGCCGCACCACGGGCGACACACGCAGGCGCGGCCGCCGCGCACGCGCCTCCTCTTCGTCTGCGCTGCGGAAGAGCCGCCGGATATTCGAGTTGCTGCGCTTCGCGTGGGGCGCGGGCGCAGGCTCACGGCCCATCGCCTCCGCGTCCGCGATCGTCGGCGACGGGCCCGCGGAAGGCGGCGGCTCGGGCGTCGCGCGCGAGCGCCGCCCGCCAAGCAGCGACGAGCTGATACGCCGCCGCAGTGACGGCGGCGCGGGCGACAGCCTCGAGCGGCCAGGCTCGGCGGGCCGCCCCGCCCAGGGCGCCGCGCCCGAGTCGGGCGTGCCGCGGTCCTCCGCCTCGGAGAGCGACAGCTCGCTGATCTTTGGGCTGTGCAGCTCGTGCAGCGCCGTCGACGACAGGCTGAGGCCCAGGCCCGCGGACGGCGGCGGCGAGAGCGACGGCGCGCGCCAGCCCTCGCCCTCGTGCCACTCGGGCACGGGCGGCGTCGGCAGGTCGCGCGCCCACGCCGTGGCCGCACGCCCGTCGTCCCGGGCGCGGTGGAGGGCATGGGCATGGTGCGCTGTGCGCTGTCGGATGCGCTCCAGTGCGTCCGGGAGCGGCTGGGGCGACTCGGAGCGGAGGCGCGGCGTGGAGCGGACCTCGCGGAGGCGCGGCGCCGCTTGCGTGGCGGGCGAGATCGGGGGCGCGGTGCCTGCGTAGGACACGGACGGGGTATGGGCCTCGGCGCTCGGCGACGGCGTGTGGGCAGGCGGCGACATGAGGAGGGGCGACATGTCGTCGCGCAGGTATGGTATATCGGAGCCCAAGTCGACGGGGCTCATCAGCGGCACGCCTAGCGAGGGCCGCGTAGCGCGCGCTGTGGCGGTCGCCGGAGGCGCTGTGGGCGCCACAGGGCGGTCCAGGCGCTGCACGGGCGGGCGGTCAGGCGGCCGCGACGCCACCGCATACGCAGCAGTCCGCGGCGCATCCGTAGCGCGCGCGGCGGGGGGCACCGCGCGAGCGTGCATGGCCGCGGGTGACAGGCGCGAGCGATGCGAGACGCTCGCGGGTGGTGCCACGTGACTCGTGCGGCGGTGCTCGTCCAGGTCGTGACTATCGAGAGCGCGAGCGCTCAGCGCTACGAGCAGTGGTACTCCAGGTTCGCCGGGTTGCGGGGGATCCAGCCGTTCTGCACACCCGCGCGGTAGCTCCACTCGTCCGCACTGTGGTTCTCGACCTTCCACGTCCACATGATCCAGCCGACGCCGGCGGAGTAGGCGTCCGCCTGGATGTGGAAGTTCTTCTTCAAGTTCGCCTTGAAGCCGTCGGAGAACTGGTTGGCGTTGCCGGTGCGGCCGTCGCAGCTGCCGCGGCGCGTCGAGCCGGGGAACGTGCCGTCGTAGCGGTGGCCGAGGAAGCGGCCATTCAGGCCGGGCGCGCAGTCGGTGAACGAGGGCGACCACTCGCCGATGAGCATGTACAGGTGCTGGTTCGCCTTGGCGAAGCCGCCCTTGAGGCTGCAGTAGTAGCCGATGCGCTCGTCCTGCGACATTGCGATCGACGGCGGGTCGAACAGGCGGTACACGTGCGTGTCGATCATCACCTGCTGGTACTTGGGCACGGAGAACTTGTCGTTCCAAAAGTCGCTCTGCGCGGGGTTCTGGAACACGTCGCCAATGATCACAACGAGCTCCGAGTCGCCGTCGTGGCGGCGCACGGTGTTGTAGCCGCGCTTGTACTGGCCGTAAATCTGGTTTGCGTCGCCATTCGGCTCGTTCACGATCGAGATACCCGTCACAGCGGGGTACTCGTTCTTCGCAAACTCGGCGGCGAGCGTGTCGAGGATCTCGAGCCAGCGGCCCTCCTCCTTGTCGTTGCCGAGCCAGTTCGTGTGGTTCGTGTGGCCGCCGTGGTCGTACGGGTTCGCGCCACCCGGCACCGTGTGCAGCTCAATGATCATCTTCAGGCCGTGCTTGTTCGCCCAGTGCGCGGCCTGCTTCAGCTTGTCAAACTGGTTCAGCTTGATGTACGGCTCGCCCGGCCACGTGCGGATGCCCCAGTACGGGAACGGCACACGCACATGGTTCAGGTTGTACGACGCGATCTCGGCAAAGTCGTCTTCAGTGATAAAGTTGTCGTAGTGGTCCTGCAGGATCTGCACCGCCTTGTTGCGCGGCGTGTACGTCGCGAACGACCACTCGTCAATGACGCGGTTGTCGCCCGTCTTTTTGTACAGCGACGGCGTAATGAAGTTTTCCAACACGAGCCAGCCACCAATGCCGACGCCACGCACCTTGTCCCGGCCGTAGTTGAAGCGCAGCTTGGACGTGGCGCGCGACGCCAACACCTCGTGGCGCTCTTCCTGCTCGGCCGCACGCAGGTCGCGCACATCGTGGTGCCGCACCAGGAGAGGGTTGCGCTCGATGCCTTGCGCCAGCGCCATCGAGACCAGCAGGACAGCGGAGAGGATCGAAAAGAATGTATGGCCCACCATGTCAAACGAGAGGAGGTCGCCGAAGCAAGGATAGAGGCGTGGGGTGGGGATGTGTTTGCTGCGACGCCGCTGACGCGTGCCTGCTCCACCGCTGCACCGAGGAGGCACGCATATCCATCCTGCAGGCCATGCAGACACGTACATATGTCCGCCGGCCATGCAGCGCGGATCATGCACGCTGAGTCAGCATGACCGCCGCGCCTTGGCGTATGTGGAGGGCACCACCGCTCGCGACGCACCATGGCACTGGGCGGCCGGGCGTGGCTCGTCGGGGCGGTGGCGTGGGCATGCCTCCTGCTCGGTGCGCTTGCCCAGGGCCCCGACACTCCGCCCGTGCTGAGCACAGTGCGGCATTCGCGCGCATCCCAGGTCAAGGCGCGCACCGCGTGGCCCGATAGCGCCTCGACACTCATGTGCGTGCAGGCCCGATCGCCCCGGGGGGGGCCGTCCGACACGTCGATCTCGGTGCCGTCCGACCCGCGGTACACGCTCATCAGTGACGACTTGCTGCTGTGTGAGGTCCCATCCATGGGCGAGGGCACAGGCCACCCGAAAATGTATGCACTGCTGGGCACCGTCGTCGTGCCGGGCGGGGCGCCCCTGACCGTGCCTGAGGCGCACACGGGTGCCGCACCTGTGGCACCACGACCGTCGCTTGACGATGGCCACGCGCATGCGCCCGCCGGCGGCGCCGAGCGCGCCGAGCCACCAGGCGGCGGCGATCCACTCTTGAGCTTTGACGAGTGGAAGCAGCAGCACCTCGAGTCGGTGCGCAAGTCGCGCAAGCTCGAGCGCGAGCGCAAGCACGAGAAGGCAGAGAGCACCGTGAACGAGACCCAGGCGGATGAGGCGCCGTCGATGCCGCTCGCGCCCCCTGCACCTCACGCCACACCCAATACCACGCTGCCAGCGGCCGAGCAGGTCCTGCTGCGTGCCATGGCCGCCGAGCCGGAGCCGCCTGTGATTCTGGCACTGGAGGACGCCAGCGCGCAGCTTGCTGAGCTCAAGCACCGGTGGAACTATGCGTCGCTCGACTGTGCGGCCGTGCTGCACCAGGCGAATCCCTCAGCCAAGTTTCCCTCGGCCATCCTGAGCGAGAAAAAAGACCGCTACATGCTGTCGCCCTGCCCCCATGCTGCGCGGACGGGCGAAAAGGAGATGGCACCCGAGCGGCAGTTTGTCATTGTCGAGCTGTGCCAGCAGATCCGCGTCGATACCCTCGTGCTGGCGAACCTGGAGTTCTTCAGCAGCATCTTCAAAGTGTTCTCGGTGCGTGTGTCGCGCACGCTGCACGCGCCCGAGACCGAGTGGAAATCACTCGGCCTCTTCCGCGCGCGCAACGTGCGCGGTCCGCAGGTGTTTCAGCTGCACAGTGCGCCCGCCTCGTACTACCGGTTCCTGCGCATCGACTTTCTCGAGCACTACGGCAACGAGTACTATTGTCCTATCAGCTTGCTGCGTGTGTATGGCCGCAACGAGCGTGAAGACGCCGACGAGGACATCCTCGACGAGCTTCAGGCGATGGACGACGAGGAGGCCGAGTCGGACGCCGACGCGGCCTCGGCCGCCGACGCGGGCGCCAGAGAGGCGATACCCAGCGCCTCCCTGCGGTTCTGGGAGCACGTGTGTATTCCCGAGCCCTTTCCCGGCGTGCGCCTGCCCGAATGTGGGGCAGAGGACGCGCCCCGTGCGCCGAAAGCGGCACGCGACGCGCCGCGCGCCGCGGCGCCGACGTCGGCCGCGAGCACCGAGCGTGCGTCCGCGCCGCTCACGGCCCGGCCGACGACGACGGCGTCTGCCACGTCGGAGGCGCCGCTCCCGACGAGCGCGAGCCGTGCGACGTCGGCGCCGCTCGCGACCAGCGATGCGCCCGTGTCTAGTACGGCCACCGCGCGGCCGTCGGCCGTGAATGGCACGGCCGAGGAGCCGGACGCGCGCAAAGGCCCGGACGCCCGCGCCAAGGCGGCCAAGGCGGACAAGGCCAAGGCGGCCGAGACCAAGCCGGCCGGCAGCGAGTCGATATACCGCACCATTACGAAGCGGCTTTCGGCGCTGGAGGCGAATACGAGTCTCAGCATGCAGTTCCTGCAGCTGAACAGTGGGCAAATGCGCGATAAGATCGCCAAGCTGGAGCTCGTGCAAGAGACGCGCCTGGCCGAGCTGCTGGCCGAGCTGAACGCGACGCAGACGCAGCGCATGGAGCACCACATGGCGCAGTACCACCTGGCCCTGCAGCATGCGCTTGCCACGATCGAGTCGCAGCGGCGGCGGGCCGAGGCGGAGCGCACCGCGCTCCTTGCGCGGGTCGAGCGCCTGTCGATGGAGATGCGCACCGAGAAGCGGTGGAGTGCCGCGCAGCTGGTGCTGCTGCTCATGGTGCTGCTGATCACCGCGCTCACACGCGGCTCACGCGAGGTGCAGCGCGGCGACGGTGCGCCGTGGCGGATCACGATGCCGCCGCGCGAAGCGCCTCCGCTGTTCCAGACGCCCATGTCGCCGCCTGCGGAGGATGAGCAGGACGAGGATGCGCCTGTTTCGCGGGCGGAGACCGGGGCTGCGCGTGTGCCGCCGCGGCCTGTGGCCTCGCTCAAGTATCCGCGGCGCACCTGGGCGTCGACGCCGTCGCCTCGGGGCGTCGTGCGGCGTGGGCGCACGCCGCGGCGGCCCGATGGGCGACGGGCGTCGGTCCCGGGCGTGACGTGGCGGCCCGCGTCGGTCTCGAGTTCGCGAGACGATGAGAGTGAGTAGTATGTACAGTTATACGGACGATGCGCTTGGCGCGTCCTGGGTGGGCCGCGGCACGCGGAGGGGCTCCTCGTACAGCGCCTCGTAGCCGGCCATGAGGCCGAACAGGAGAAAGAGGGCAGCGCCGCCCAGTGTCAGGTGGCGAAGGCTGAGGTGCCGGGCTAGGAGGGCGCCGGCCACTACGGCCACGACGATGCAGGCGAGGTGCGCGAGGGAGGTGCCGATCGCGACGATCGCGACGCGGTGCGTCGCGGCGAGGGCCATGGTTGTGATCTGACTGCGATCGCCCCACTCGCCGAGGAACGAGAGGAGGAAGGCCTGCGAGAACACTGGACTGACGAGCAGGCCACAGAGGTTGCGGGCGCCCTCGACGGCGGTGCCGCGCCGCGGCTCGTGGCGCTCCGTCGCCGGGGCGTCGGTGTCGGCGCGCTCCAGCCGCTCGAGCTCGTGGTCCTCTTCGTCCGCGCAAATGTCGTCCTGGGCCTCCTTCCACTCCTCGTCCATCTCGTCGCCGGTCATGTGCAGGCCCTGGTACAGCGCGACGAGGCCAAAGCCGACAAAGAGGGCGGCCGAGATCCAGTGGGCCATGCGCTGCGAGAGGAGCGCCGGGAGCAGGGCGCCCAGGAAGCTCGACAGTGTCGACATGCAGATCATCGCGAGCCAGCAGCCCCAGAACACGGTCGTGGGCGAGTGCCGCATCGCGAGGATCGCGCACGTCAGGAAGGTCTTGTCGCCGAGCTCGCTAAACTGCGGTCAGCCACGTACACGCACGGCCGTGATGGAAAAGCTCTTGGCGAGGCCATGGGCGTCGTCCCACGTAAGATGCCAGCGCGCAGCGGGCAGGTACGCCCACGCGTGCGCGATGCTCACTGCGTCGCCGCTGGCCATGGTCAGGCGCGAGGCGGTGGCGCGGCGCGAGGCGAGGCGACCACGTGATATAGCTACAGATGCTCCGGCGACGCGCGCATGGGTATCGCCTCGTCGAACGCCGGCATGGAGCTCGCGCGTGTGTGCGTGCGCCGCATGGTCGGGCGGCGGCTGATGCTGGAGGTGCGGCCATATAGGTCGTCGCTTGTGCTGACTCGGCGCGGCGCGTCCTGGCGCGTGTCGTGGTGCTCGATGTCGGTGGGCAGCATGACAGCGCGATCGATGGCGTTCGGCAGGTTGCGGTGGCGGCCACGGAGCATGACGGCGATAGTGACGAGCTTGGACAGGACGGTCATGTCGCCGGCGAGCGATGTCGGCTTGCCGTTCGACGCGCCGGTGCTCAGGCCGACGGTGCCGTAGGCGGACACTTCTTCGTACACGATGTTGAAGATGTTCATGGAGGGAAACTGGCCCGAGGTGATCTTGGTTTTCTCCGCGAGACACACGATCCAGATCACGAGAATGAGCCACCAGAGGTCGTACGCGAGCTGCTTGCGAACGTGCACGGACAGGAAGCGGCCCCACACGACGCGCCCCTCTGGCGACTCGAATCCGACGTCGCTGCCGTCCTCGTCCTCATTGTCGGCGACAAAGATGCTGCGGTTCTCGTACACGTTCGTGCTGCGCACCGCCATCATGACCGGGAACGCGGCAATGTACATCATCAGCATCTCCAGGAGCTGCTCGGCCGGCGCGAGGTCCACGATCGAGAAGATCTGCATGCCCGAGGAACGCGTCGAGACGGACTGGAAGAGCGACGCAAGCACCCACGTGCCGTTGCTGGCAAAGGCGTGGCGCAGGTCCAGGTCGCACACCATGAGCATGAACCAGTCGAACACGTTGAGCACGAGCAGCACGAAGAGCAGGAACCACGTGTTCTCCGCAGGGAATAGATACAGAAAGCAGCGGCGGGGGTGGTCCAGCAGAAAGCGCAGCGTCTCGTACGTGCGCGAGCGGCGCGACACACAGCGGCTCAGCAGCCAGATGACGAAGCGCAGCATGATGGGGAAGCCCGTGTTGCCCACGAGGATGAGCGCCATGGCGGGCAAGATCACCATGTAGCTGCTCGTCAAGCCGCCGCCCATGCTGTTGTCCGAGAGCATCAGGCCCGTATTGGTCATGGCGCTCACAGTCATGAAGATCGAGAACCACGTCGGGTTGTGCGGCGGCTTGGGCTGCTCCTCCAGCACCGCGCGGTACGCCGTGGCGGCCGGCGACGACATGTAGGGCGCGACGAGCAGGATCACCACACTCACGCACACGAACCAGTACACGGGGACCAGCCACGCCAGCATGTTCAGCGCGCGGTACTCGACGCCACCCAGCTCGTTGCGCTGCGCCAGGGTGAGGTTGTGGAAGTGCGAGTTGCCCGTGACCGTCGCGTCAAACGTCAGGTACGGCGCGAACTGCCGGCCGTGGGCGTGCTCGAGGTCGTCGTCCGTGCGCGCCGGCTGCATCGTCGTCATCGTGCGCACGGCCGGCACCGTCAGGCGCTCGCGCATGCGCGACACATGCAGGAGCGAGACGAGGTAGTCCCACGGCGACGGGAAGCCACCCAGGCCCCGGTCGCGCTTCACCGTGAGCGTGCGGCGCAGCGCAGCGCCGGGCAGCTCATACAGCTGCGTGTTCTGCCGGCGCGACTCGGTCTCGTCCCTGTCCCTGTCCCTGACCGCGTCCAGGTCCTCCGCGTCCGCCGCGAGCGTGTGCGCATGCACGGACAGCGGCAGCCCTTCCACGTCGTTCGCGTGCCCGAGCGCCGGCGGGTCCGTGTTGGCCCGTGCGATCTCCGGCGACTCGTCCACCTGCGCGGGCGGCAGCTCGCGCAGCGCCTCTGGCGCCTCTGGCGCCTCTGGCGCCTCCAAGCGCACCGTCTCCGTCGGCTCAGCAGGCGCCGACGGCGACTGCAGGATGCCGGGCAGCGGGGCGTCCGTGCCGGGCACGGGGTGCTCGACCCTGGTGTGCTGGCCCATCGGGTTCACATGCACGGCGGGGCCCTGCACGCGGTGGATCATGCCCGCATGCAGCTTGGGACGCGTCTTTTTCGGCTCGCCTTTTTCGTGGGGCGCCTGGCCCGGCCCCGGCGGCGCGCCGTGGTCGCCGAGGCCGAACCAGCGGCGAACTCGCGACCACTCGGCGTCGCGCTCCTGGTGGTGGCGCACCTCGGCGTCCCGGATCCGCGCCTGCATCGTCTTGCTGCGTTCCAGCTCCCTGTCGAAGTGCTTCCGGAAAAAGTGTCGGCGCACGAGCACGGTCGTCGTGCTGACAATGACCAGGTTCCCCCCGAACATGAGGAAAAATAGGATCACCTGCTGCCACACTGTCAGCTGACTTACGGGGTATGTGACCAGGCCCGTCATCGTCACGGCGGAGAAGGCGAGGAACAAACAGTCGACGTACGGCACGTAGTGGTCCCTGGGGTTCGAGGCGTACAGCATGGCCGACCAGAACATGCCCATGACGAAAAAGTACAGCAAGTGCACACGGAAATAGTTGAGGTATACATGGCAGAATCGCTGTACAGGCGCCACCAGCCTGCCCCAGCCGCCCCTACGGAGTTTCATACAGCCTCACGGCGGTCCGACACGCGCCGCCCCGTGTGTGCTCACGTGACTACGTCGACCCCGGGCGCGCGTCGTTCGTCTCGCGCGCGCGGGGGTGGTCGGCGGCGCGCGGGGCGGCCTCGTACACGATCTGCGCGGGGCCGCTGCGCTGCGCGACGCGCGCCTCGCCCCGGAAACCCAGGAACGAGAGGCGCGTGCGCGCGCCGCCGAGGCTGCCGGGGATGTACAGCGTGAGCGCCTGCACGTCGGGGAACCGCGCCGCAAGCAGCGGGATCTCGACGACCTCGGACGTCTCGGGGACCGACGTGAGCTTCTGCGTCGGCGGCGGCGACTCGTCGGCGGCGTCGTCAAAGTCGAGCGACTCGGCGTTCTTGTACAGGTGCACGGCGCGCGGCGTCGCGCCCCCCGGGCCACTGCGCAGCAGCAGCGCCCGCACGCGCACACTGCCCGTGAACGGCACAGTGATCAGCAGCTCGTCGTCGACGTCCGACTCGAGCACGTGCGTCTCGTCGAGGCGCGCATCGTACGGCTTGACGACCCGCGCGGCGGACCCCGCCTCGCGCTCGTTCAGGGCGGTGATCCTGTCACGGTCCACGGCAAGGTACAGCAGGTCCTGCTGCCCCTCCCCCGGCTTCACATGGTCTGCATCGTCGTGGCGGTGCTCGTGGCTGCACCCGGCCATGGTGGCGGAAGACGACGGGCGCGCCTCCACGGACCAGGAGGCGCATGCTGATTGGCTGCCTATCTCTCCGCCAGGGGCCCCGCCCCCCCCGGCAGCCGCTGGGCTACCGCGGCGCGGTGGCCCCGGTTCTTCAGATGGATCTCAAAGTTGGCCAGTGACTCGCCCGGCCCCGGCTTGTACACCTTGCCAGGGCAGTCAAAGCACCGGATGCGCCAGCGGTCACTGTCGCCCAGCGCCTCGGGGTGCGCACGCGGCAGCACCTCGAACCGGTCGTGGGTATACTTGGCGCGGCATGCCTCCACGGCCCGCAGCAGCCACGCCGGCGCCGCCACGCCGTCGTCGTCGCTGTCACTCGCGAACGACACGCCCGGCTCGTCCGCGGGCAGGGCCTCGCCGTCAGCCGCATCCGCCGGCGCCGCCGGCGCCGCCGGCAGACCGAGTCGCTTTTGGTGCACGGCCGCATCGCGCGTGTAGGCCACGCCAGGCACGCGCCGGTGCCGATGGAAGTACTTACCGCAGGGACCACAGAGCGTCTTTTCGCCCGCCGGCCCCTTGCGCCGCGCCGCCGTCAGCACGCCCGGCACACCACAGTTGGCACAGTGCCACACACCGTCGTGCATCGTCGGCTGCTGCCGCTCCAAGTCCTCGGGCCGGACGCCGCGCATCGGCCCTGCGGGCTCGCGCGGCGCCATGCGCGCCGCCTCGATACTGGCCGTCGCCGCCGCCGCGTCGCCCGCTGATGGCACCGAGAGCGCCGCCGTCGCCACGGCCGCGCCATGCACGCCCGATGGCTCGCGCGGCGCGTGCGCGAGCGGCCACGCGCCCCCCGGCGAGAACAGCGGCGCCGCACGGCGGCCGCCGCCGAGTCCGCCCGGGTACCGAAAGTGCATATCGTACCACTCGGTCTTCGGGCGCTTCGCCACGCCGCCGTCGGCCTCCGACGGCGGCGTGGCGTCACGCAGCCCCGCCAGACTCGCAGCCGCCGCGGCCGCCGCGCGCCGCGCCTGCGCGGGGCGCTCGACCTCGGGCGTCGCGCCTTGGAAGCCCCACAGCGGGACCGAGCGCAGCGTCCGCTGCGGCTCAAACGCCTCGACGGCCGCGCCGCGCCGGCCCTTGGTCTGGCGGCGCTTGCGCCGCAGGTCGCGCTCGTGCTCGCGCTCCATCTGGAACACCTCGGCGGCGCTCAGCTGCACGAGCTTCGGCGTATAGGCGTCGACCGTCTCGCGCGCGCGCGCGAGCGCATGCGGCGCGACGGCCGGCAGGAATGTGTCGCGCACGTCGCGGTCCATGCTCGCGAGCTGGTTGTACGGGTAGCCCAGCAGCGAGAGCCAGCGCCAGTGCCCGCTCACCTGCTCGCGGATCGCGTGCGCGACTGCCGTCGTGAACTCGCCCGCCAGGCCCAGGTCGCTCGTGAACGCCGCGGCAAAGCGCTCCGCGGCCTGGTCGTCCGCGGCGAGGTCCCACTCAAACTGGTCGAGCAGGTGGACGCCGCCCACGAGGATGTCTAGCTTGATAAGGATGCGCAGCTCGTCCTGCGGCGCCTCCGCGGCGGGCGTCTCGTTCGCGGGGGCCTCGGCGGGTGGGGCGGGCGCCGGCGCCGCGGCCGCGGCCGCCTCATGCAGCACGGTCGACCGCCACTGCGCCCAGGCGCGCTCCGCGCTGGCATCGAGGCGGCCGCGGCCGACGCGCTGCGCGTCGCTCTCCGGCGCCACGACCTGGAGGGACAGCGACGTGGCATACTCGCTCACCTGGAGCTGGACGGCGCCCTTGATGAGCTCCACAAACACCTGCGGCGGCAGTCCGACGTCGTCGCACAGGGCGTGCGCAAATGCCTCGAGCGTCGCGTCGTCGTCGGCGGCATTCCACACGAACGTGTCGCGGAACTTGAACGGCTCGTGCTCCAGGTCGAGGCGGATCGGCACGAGCGTCGCTGGCACGGCCGCAATGCGCGCGGCGCCTGCCGCGCGTGCACTGCGCGCCACGGCCTCGCCGCGCTTGGCGCGCTGCGCGGGGTACACAAGCTGCAGCGGCTCGGTGCGTGCGTGGGGCGCGTCTGCGAGCGCCGACTTTTCCCACCACGCGAGCGGCCGGTCCGCGCGCATCGCGAGCGCCATGCGCGTGTGCAGCTCCGTCTGCATGGCCTGCTCCTGCGTCGCGCGCCGCTGCGCGGCGTGCGCGTCCTTCTCCATCAGCGTGCGCAGCGCGTCGACGTCCGCCGCAGGCAGATCGGCCCACTCATCCGCCTCTGTGCGCGAGAGCCGGGTCAGCCGGGTATTTTGGGGCGTCACGGGCTGCCCGACCGCGGACGCCGCAGGCGGCGCGCCGCCATCGACGAGTGGCCTGCCAGGCACGNAGCGTCCTCGCCCCGAGAGGCTCGGGCGCGCCCAGGTACGAGGGCGCGATGGTGGTCATGCCAGGCGCGCCGGCCGACGCGTCCATGGCCATGCCCCCCGCTGCGGGGGGCGGGCGGATCATCGAGAGGGCGCCGGGGATCGCGGGGGCCGCCAGGGTGCTTGCTGGCCCTGGCGGGCGCACGTACAGCGCCGACGGAGCGGGAGCCGGAGGCGCACCCCCCGGCGTGCCGGCCTGCGTGCCAGGCTTCTGTGTTCCGGCGTCCCAAGGGGCGTCCTGGTCACTCGGCGCGCGGAACATAGCTCGCGCTCCGTTCAGCGAGGGGCTGACGCGCTGGGCGTGGCGCTCGCGGACCGCGGGTCATCATCACGTGATGAAGCTATGGCACTACGGCGCGGCGTCGTTCTGCCGCGCGCGGCGGCGGCGGCGCTGGCTCTTGTCCCAGGCCTCGAGGGCCGCGCGGCGGCGGCGGAGGCCGTCTTCGCCTGCCTTGCTGAGCACGCCCAGCACGAGCTCGGCGACGCGCGGCGAGTCGTCGTTGGCGGGAATCGCGTAGGTCACGGCGCGTGGGTCGACGTTGGTATCCACGATGGCCATGGTCGGCACGTTCGATTGGGTCGCCTCGCGCAGTGCATTCTCATTTTCTGTGGGGTTCAGCACGATGACCAGGTCGGGGCGGTACTGCAGCGTCGCGAGCTGCGTCATGTTCGGCGCCGCCTGGTCGTGGTCCTCGGCGCGGCGCGAGCGCTGCACGCTGTACTGCGTCGCAAACGACAGCAGCTTCGGCGCGTTCGTCAGGACGCCGGGCATCCAGCGGTCGGTGCTCACGTGGAAGCCGTTCGCGCCGAGGCGCTCGACGGCCGCGCGGATCGGCGCGCGCAGGTGGGGCCGTGTCCCGACGATCAGGATCACGCCGTCGTTTTCCGTGATCTGGCGCACGACGAGCGCCGCGCGGCGCAGCGCCGGGAGCGTCGCGCGCTCCACGTCGATGATGGCCATGCCGTGGCGGTAGCCGTACAGCAGGGGCTCGTAGCTGCGCTTCACGTGCTGCTTCGCATGGCCCTGCTGCGCGGTCGCGGCGAGCAGGTGCGAGAGCGTGAGCTGGTGCGCGGCCACGGGCTGCGTGCGCAGCTTGAAGGGGCGGAACGACGAGTCGCGCGTCTGCGTGCTGGCGAGTCCGGCCAGGTCGCTGAGCATGTGGTGGCGCATGCGGCGCACGTCGCGCTCGAGCGCCTGCTCGGCGGCCTCGGGCGCGCTCGCTGCGAGCGCCGCGCGGGTATGGGCCTCGCTGGCCTGCGCTGTGGCCTCGTCGGCCTGCGCGATGGGAATGGGCTCTTCGGGGATCTGGAACACGGCCGACTCGCCCGGCTGCGACGCGAACGTGCGCAGCGTGGCCGGCACGCGCACCAGGCGGCGGAGGAGGCGCATGCGGTCCGTAGGAGCGGCGGCGGCGGACGGCGGCGGCGGCGGGGTCTTCGCAACCTCGGCCGAGCTTCGGCCGAGTCGCGCCGCAGTCGGCCTGGCGAGGTGCAGAAAAAAAGCCGCCTGGCTGCGAAGAACCGGCGGCCCAGCGGGCGGTTTTCCCACGGAACTCGATCCACACCATGTCGGCGGAAGTACCTGCTACGAACGACTCGAACGTCTACGAGGGTGCCATTGGTATTGGTGCGTATACGGGGCGCCTATCTGACGCATGCAGACCTCGGTACCACCTACTCGTGTGTCGGCTGGTGGACCAACGAGCGTGTCGAGATCATCGCGAACGACCAGGGCAACCGCACGACGCCTTCGTACGTCGCGTTCACCGAGAGTGAGCGTCTGATTGGTGATGCGGCCAAGAACCAGGCGGCGATGAACCCCCGCCAGACTGTGTTCGACGCCAAGCGCCTGATCGGCCGCCGCTTCGACGACCCCGACGTGAAGAAGGACATGCAGCACTGGCCCTTCACGGTCATTGACAAGGACGGCAGCCCCTACATCCAGGTCGACTACCTCGGCGAGACCAAGCAGTTCGCGCCGCAGGAGATCTCGTCGATGGTCCTGCTCAAGATGAAGGAGATTGCGGAGGCCAAGATCGGCAAGGAGGTGAAGAAGGCCGTGGTCACTGTGCCCGCCTACTTCAACGACTCGCAGCGTCTGGCGACGAAGGATGCTGGTACGTACGGAGCCCGCTGCGCGACGATTATTCCGAAATATTCCATGCTAAGTCTGATTCCTGAGGACAGGCCTATTCGGCATTTTATGAGCGCAGCGGCGCGCGCTAGAGCAGACTGACCGACAGGTTCGATTGCCGGCCTCGACGTGCTGCGTATCATCAACGAGCCCACCGCGGCCGCCATCGCGTACGGTCTCGACTCCAAGTCGAGCCAGGAGAAGAACGTGCTCATCTTCGACCTGGGCGGTGGTACCTTTGATGTGTCGCTGCTGAACATCACGGGCGGTGTGTTCGCCGTCAAGGCCACCGCCGGTGACACGCACCTGGGTGGTGAGGACTTTGACAACGCGCTGCTCGAGCACTTCAAGAAGGACTTTGAGCGCAAGAACAAGGTCGACATGTCGGACGACGCCCGTGCGCTCCGCCGTCTGCGCAGCGCGTGCGAGCGCGCCAAGCGCACGCTCTCGAGCGTCACGCAGACCACCGTCGAGGTCGACTCGCTCTTCCAGGGCATCGACTTCCAGGCGAACATCACGCGTGCCCGCTTCGAGGAGATCAACGCGGCTGCCTTCAAGGGCACGCTCGAGCCTGTCAGCAAGGTGCTCAAGGACGCCAAGATCCCCGCCGACAAGGTCGACGACATTGTGCTCGTCGGCGGCTCGACTCGTATCCCCAAGATCCAGTCGCTCGTCTCGGAGTTCTTCAACGGCCGCCAGCTGAACAAGTCGATCAACCCCGACGAGGCCGTCGCGTACGGTGCCGCCGTCCAGGGCGCCGTGCTCACGAACCAGACCAGCGACAAGACCGCCGACCTGCTGCTGCTCGACGTGGCGCCGCTGTCGCTCGGTGTGGCCATGCAGGGCGACGTGTTCGGTGTGGTGGTGCCCCGCAACACGCCCATCCCGACCAACAAGACCCGTGTGTTCACGACCGTCGAGGACAACCAGACCCAGGTCACCTTCCCCGTGTACGAGGGTGAGCGCACGCAGTGCAAGGACAACCGTCTGCTCGGTGAGTTCGAGCTCACGGGCATTCCCCCGATGCCCCGCGGCCAGGCGGAGCTGGTGTGCACCTTCGAGGTGGACGCCAACGGTCTGCTCAAGGTCTCGGCCATGGACAAGGCCTCGGGCCGCAAGGCGAACATCACGATCACCAACTCGGTCGGCCGCCTCAGCTCGACCGAGATTGAGCAGATGATCAAGGACTCGGAGACGTTCAAGAACGCCGACAAGGAGTTCCAGGCCAAGCACGACTCGCGCAACGACCTCGAGGCGTACGTGCACTCGGTCGAGAGCACCATCTCGAACCCGGCCGCCACCCTCAAGCGCGCTGCGAAGATCCAGGTCGAGCAGGAGCTCGCCAAGGCGCTCGAGCTGCTCGAGCTCGAGGACGCCTCCGCCGACGACTACCGCCGCTGCTCGCTGCGCCTCAAGCGCGCCGTGCAGAAGGGTCTCTCGGGTGGCCGCTAAGCACGAAAAGACTATAGATTCGTTACCAGCGTAGCTAGGGCGCTCCTCGGCGCCGCACACAGTGCGTCCCACGAGCCCGTTTCGACGATCCGCCCCTCGGCCAGCACCAGCAGCCGGTCGCACCGCTGCATCACCGCAGGGTCGTGCGTCACGACGACGGCCGTCACAGGGCGCATCGCCTCGCCCCACAGCGTCGCAAGCACAGCATCCCGCGCCGCGGCATCCAGCGCCGACGTCGGCTCATCCAGCAGCAGCGCTCGCACACCCGGCCGCGCCAGCGCACGCGCCAGCGCCACTCGCTGCGCCTGCCCCCCACTCAGCTCGCACGCCGTCCCGAGCGTCGTGCCGTACCGCGCGGGCAGCGCCTCGATCATCGCCGCCGCATGCGCGCGCTGCGCCGCCGCTTCCAGCGCAGGCCGCGCGAGCGAGGACCCGGCCGCGATGTTCGACGCAATCGACGTGGGAAAGAGCACCGGGTGCTGCTCCACGACGCCCAGCCGCCGCCGCACGCTCGCGGCATCGAGCTCATGCAGCACATGGTCATCGAGGAAAATGACGCCGTGGCTCGGCTCGTACAGCCGCGCAAGCAGCGCGAGCAGCGTCGTCTTGCCGCTGCCCGAGGCGCCTACCAGCCCCACCTTCTCGCCCGCCTCGATACGCACACTCACGTCGTGCAGCGGCGCGGCGCCTCCCGCACAGTATGCAAACGACACATGCTGCAGCTCCCAGGCGCCGCTCCACGCGTCGCATGGCGTCCCGCCCGCCTCCGAGGACGGCGCTCCCCGCGCGCAGAGCGCCTGCACACGCGCCGCCGCAGCCCGGCAGTGCGCCGCGGCCGGTAGCGCCATGGCCGTGCTCGCCGCGTACGAGAGCGAAAACACGAGGGGACTCAGCACCTGCAGCACGCGCGAGAGATCGTAGGTGCCGCGCACGAGCAGCACGGCACCGACCGCATAGAGCACGGCCTCGGCGCTGTACATGAGCGCCTCGCCGAGACCCGCGCCCAGCGCAATGACCGTCGATGTCCGCTGCCCCGCCTCGTACGCTGCCGCACACGCGCTCGCGGCCGCGCGGTGCAGAGGCTCGTCGGCGGCCACGGCGCGCGCGGCCCGCACATGCTGCACATACTCAAACACGCCCTCGCCCGCGGCGGCGCGCGCGACGACCGCGCGGTGCTCACGGCGCGCAAGCCAGGCGCCGTGCACGCCCATGAGCAGAGCGCAGGGCGGCACCAGCGCCAGTACACAGAGCGCGAGCTGCCAGCCTGCAGCGAGGGCCCACACCCACGTCCCCAGCGTGAGCGCGAGCACCATGGCGCCCTGGCCGAGCAGGTCGCCGACGAGCGCGTGCAAGTCCTGCACGTCCTTGGTCAGCGTGCTCGCGAGCGTGCTCGGCGCATGCGCTGGCGCATCGAAGAACGCACAATCCTGGCGCAAGAGCCGGTGCATCTGCGAGTTGCGCAGCTGCTCGATCCACCGTGCCGCGAGGCCCTCCATGCCGGCATGGCGCACGCCCCTGAGCAGGCCATCGCCGAGCGCGACGCCCGCTGTCGCAGCGACCATGCGGCCCAGCGAGGCGCGCGTCGGCTGCGCCACGGCCAGGATCACCTGCGTGAGGCACAGGCTAAAGGCAGGCACGGTGAGCCCTGACGCCACACTCACGGCCGCGCCGAGCGCCAGCGCGGCGCGGTGCGGCATGGTGCGCCACATCCACGCGAGGAGCTGGCAGTTCGAGGGGCCCCGCTGCACTGCGTCGCTCGATGCACTCGCCTCCTGGACGGCCTGCGCCGGCGCGCCGAGCGACGAAGCCTGCTCGTCCGCACTCGCGCAGCTCCAGAGCGACGCCGCGCTCTGGCGCGTGGGCGGCCGGGTAGGCATCGTGCACAGCGTGCCGTGCTGCGCCACACGGCCCTCGGCCAGCACATACACGTAGGCGTCGCCAGGGATGCGCGCCACGTCGTGCGTGATGACCACCGTCGTCCGATGCGCGCGCCACGTCTCGATGGCACTGAACACGGCGGACGCGGCTGATGCATCGAGCGCGGATGTCGCCTCGTCCAGCACAAGCACGCACGGATCGGCCAGCAAGGCACGTGCGACGGCGAGGCGCTGCTGCTGTCCGCCGCTCATCGCCTGCCCGTGCGCGCCGACGGGCGTGTCGAGGCCGAGCGGCCAGGAGCGCACCGTCTCTTCCATCCTCATCGCACGGAGCACGGCCCAGAGCCGGTCGTCGGGGACCGCCGCGCCACCGGGGAGCAAGTTGTCGCGCACACGCCCACGCAGCAGGAACGGCTCCTGGCGCACCGTCATGACCTGCCGCCGGTACCAGGGCAGCGGGAACGCACGCACGTCCTGCCCGTCCAAGCTCACGCGCCCGTACTGCGGCGTGTACAGCTGGGATACGAGTGCGGCCAGCGTGCTCTTGCCACTCCCACTCGCGCCGACGACGTACGTCGTCTCGCCGGCCGGGAACACGAGCGAGGCGCCCCGAAGCGCGTACATCTCGGGTCGAGCGGGGTACGCCATCCACACATGCTCGATCGCCAGGTCGCCCAGCACCTCGGGCTTGGGCGCGGCGCGCTGCGCCGACACGCGCTCGCCGCCTACGCGGCTCTGCTGCACGCCCAGCAGGCGCACGGCCGCTGTCATGCCGCGGTCCAGGCCCGCCGCGCGTGTGAGGATCGTCTGGACTTGGCCCATGCTCACGAGACACGCGAGGAACGTGCTGAGCACGACGGATGCGTCTGCGTGCCCCTGGCGGACCAGCAAGCTGCCGTAGCCAAAGCCCTGCACAAACGTCAGGAGGCTGAGTGTGGAGCCGACGCCGAGCCGCAGGCCCAGGAGGGCGGCCCACCGCTCGTACGCGCGGCGGCACCGCGCTGCACATGCGCGGAACCACGCCTCCTGCTCCTCTTCCCACGTATACACTTTGACGGTGCGGATCGCTGCCGTGCTGCGCTCGGCGTACGCAGCCAGCTGCACGCTCTCGTCGCGCGCTTGCATCTCCCACGGCACGGCATAACGCGTGATGACGGCGGTGACCACAAAGATCAGCGGCACCGTTGCATATATCACGAGCGTCAGCTTCCAATGGCGCGAGAGGGCGAAGCCTGTGGCCGCCAGGACGGTCGCTGCATGCCGCAGTAGCCCCCCCGTATGGATCCCCATGGCCAGGCGCACCTCGTCCGTCTCGGTCGCAAAGAGCGACATGGCGCCCGCGGCGCCGGTGTCGCGCTGCCCGACGCCCATGCCCATATCGAACCACGCCGTGGGCTTGGCGTGGATGGCTTGGAGCGTGGTCGTGCGCCAGGCCTGCGCGCCGCGCTCGCCGAGCAAGAGCCACAGATAGGTCTCGAGGCCTCGCAGCACCAGTGCTGCTGCAGCGAGGCCCACGAGCGCCACGGCATCGCGCTCCACCGCCGAGAGCAGGTCCGACGCGGCGGTGGTGCCCGGCTGATAGTGCGCGAGCGCCTGGAACGCGCGGCCGACGACCAAGGCCATGCTCATGGGAATGCCGCCACACAGGAGCGCCAGCAGGGAGCCAGGGAGCCCGAACAGAAGCAGGTCGATGCGCTTCACGGGCCGGTACAGCGCACGCCAGGTGCGTTGGATCGGCGGCGTGACGATTCGCTGGGCCTTTTCGTCGGGGTCTTCCAAGCTCGCTAGGCCCTTTTCTACGTCGACCAGGTCCGGCGACGTCTCAGGTGTCCAGCTAGCGAGCGTCGCCGAGTCGTGCGTGTGTGCGGCGCTCGTGATACTCCATTTCGCCGTCGACAGGACACTATCCGTCGCAGATGCATCTGTATCGCCAATCTGCGAGAGTCGTAGGGGCGCGAGTTTGTGATCCGGCGCCATCCCACGCCGATCATTGCGGCGGGGTCACCATTTAACTCAGCGCGCTGCCTGACGCATGTCTTTGTTATTCTCACAGCGGTCCCACAAAGCCGCTTGTCGTGACTGCAACTCCACATGTTGCAGCGGCACACCAATCATAAACAATACAAAATCAGGGACAAAAGTCCCAGCAAATTAAACCATGACCTACGTGACCAAACTAGCCAGTTCTTGCCGCAACCATTAGGGCCAAGTCTGGAATCCGAGGAAGATATATTGAGTGAGTGGTATCATAATAAAAGCAAGATGGAGCGTGTTTACGCCTTGTTCACAACCGTCTCATCTGCCGCAACTGCGCGCGGCACCCTTTCCGTCTGGTTGTCGTACGCAATCGAGTAGTACACAGCCGTAATACCGTTGGCCATAGCGAGAACGAGGTAACCAGAGCCGATCGCCGTGACACTCTTGTATGGCAGGTCCACCAAATAGATCGTAGCACTCGTCGCGATAGAAGCCAGCACCAATCCGGCGGTAGAGAGCACAATCACCAGCATGTGCAGGCGCAGCTTCGAGAACATTACAACAGGCATGAGGAACACCAGCAGCAGCTCGGCCCAAATGGCCATCCAAACCACACGCAGCAGGTTACCAAAGTCCAGCAACGGAGGTTGGTTTAGCAGCTTGAACACATCCTCGTGTTCGGCGTAGGTCTGCGCAATAAATGCCGTGAACCAGCCACAGAATTGCAACAGGTACGCAAAGCCGATGATGATAAGCTCGGAAGGAGCCCTGGAGGTAAGCAAGCGTCTACACATACATGGAGTTCAGGGACATAGGCATGACGAAGAGGTTTGGTACACAGGAGGTTATTGCCACCGGGCCTACAGTGCGCGTACATTTATAGTAAACACCCCGGCCATGTCGATCCCATTTTCTCTGCAAGGCATTCTAACGAAACTCGAGGCGTGCGCGAATGAAATTGAGACACTTCGTGCCAGGGCGGCCACACATCCCCGGATTAGTTCATTTTGGCAGGAAGTGGAGCTAAATGGGGGTCGGCCCATCGGCGGACTTGGGCAAAGTGGCGTGATCCAAATCGGTTGCTTCCTAAGAAAGCAACTGGGTCACCTGCTTTTGATACATTCCTTCCTAGAGAGTTTAAAACCTCGGGTCATTCGTCGCGTCCCCGAAGAACATGCCTTTCTGAATTCTTGGCAAGAAGAGATGCGGCGCTCCCCTCTTCGGCAGGTCGTCCCAGAGTCATAGGCAGAACCATGTACAACTACAATGACAATTTATCTATGAATGAATCGGCACGGACGCCGAATTGCGAGGTATCACCGTGGACTTAGGGCGGCGGCATCGCGCTCGGCAGGGCTGGCATACGGAAAGACTCATTGACTTCGTACGCCGGTACCTGCTTGGCCGGAACCTCCAGCCCATAGTGCCCGGGCATGGGCGGCGCGGGCGCATACAAATTCGAAATTGGGCTGTTGAGGGACAGTTCAGAGAGTGATGTTGAAGGCGTGGGCCGAAGGCTGGACGCCATCGAGTTGGGGGTGGCCATGGACAAGGCCGATGCATTGTTGGTCGTGTAGAAGAAGGACCACAGCGGATGTGATGGACTGGCTTGCGGTTCCGCCCTGTGTGTGTATGTGGGGGTGTAGGGCACGGCGGACGGGGCACTGCCCACGGAGGCAGACACCGAGCGCTGCGCGGGCATCGACGAGCGCAGATGCGCACGGGCTGAGCGCTGCAGGCCCGTGGCGCTCCACTCCGAGCTCTCGGAGCGGTGGTGCCGCGTCGTGGTGGCGGCCGAGATGGCCGCCTGAGAGGGATGCGTCCAGTAGTCGGGCTTGAGCGACATGCACCGACGGTGCGTCTTGCGGCGCGCATGGGAGTGCGACCCGGTTCGAGGCGGCGTGCGCGGAGCACTTGGGCTGGTCGAGGGCACCGGGAAGCGTGTGCGCTTCAGATCCTCCAGTGTCACCGCCGGTGCGCCGTACCTTTCGAGTTCAGCTGCAAACTGGACCATTTCGTCGGGCAAGATGCGCAGGTGCAGGTCCAGGTAGCCAAAGAGCTCGCGCTCCATCTGGTTGATCTCGCGCAGGCTGAACAAGTTCTGCCCCACGATCACCCAGCTCTTGTTGTTGTACGAGTCATCGCATAGCGTTTTGCAAGCCAGCATGTAGGCGGAGATGAACAGCCGGTGGCCCGAGGAGCCGCGCGCCACCGGGAATCGTGTCTTGAGCCGCTTGAGGAGCAGCAGGGCCGAGTACATGACCGCCATGGGAAGCTTCGTGCGGTACAGGGCGTAGGCGATGAAGTAGGACAGGCGCGGCGCGACCGTCCTGTCTGCGGACGGGGCCTCCACGGTCGCGGCCATCGAGTCTCGAGAGCAGGCGAACATGTCCATGAGCATGCGCTCTGCCACCTCCGACATGATGCGATGGCCGTAATACCGGTCCTCCGGCAAGGCGTGCTCCGAGGCGCTTTTGGGGATGCGCATCGCTTGCGACTCCAGGTCCGGCGCGCGTGGTGCGTGGGCAACCGCAGAGGCAGCGTCGGCCATGGTCGTATAGATAGGATGGGCCCCAGCGCTTCCACACGACAATGGGCCCCAGCTTGGAAGAACAAACCCGACGGCGTCACAAAGCCATCTTTTCTTCCCCTGCAAGTGCGTACAGCCCAATTCGGCGCCCCATCCCCCTCCTGCGTTTCCCTGGCATACCTCCACTTCCTTATGCGGCCCGCACAGGGCCTGGGGGGGTATGTTTAGTCAAACCACGCAGGGTGATCTCCCTGCATGCAGGGGCCCTGCCCCCTATCATGGGCGGCGACGCCGGCGCCCCGCGAACCATGTTTGCAGGGGCCCCCACGAGTCGTTCGAAACGTTTTCCGGCGCCGCACCCAGCGGCGCCACGCGCCGCATGCCTCACCACAGGCTGTGCACGGGCGTGCCGAGGCCCCGCGGAGGTGTGTGCAGCACACTCTGCGCCACACAGCCGGGCCAAGGCTCGGCGCTCGTCCGGCTCCCGCCACAGGTCGACCATAGCATCCCATGGCAGCACGTCGCGAATCGCGAAGCGCATGCGTGCGGCGGCAGGCCCTGCCTAGACGATGACGCTCGACGCCCCTTGGCCGGCGCCACATGTATCACGTGACTAGAATCTCTTCTTGCTGCGAGCGCCGCGCGCCGTTGGCAAGGCCCATGCGACCGCGCGATATCCAGCAGTGGCTGCAAGCCGCGGGCGCAGCGGCGCTGGAGTCACCGTACGACTCGGACGACGAGCTCGCGCCTACACATGCCGAGCGTGCGTCGCCAGCCGAGGACGACGCGCCCGGCGCCGACTGGGGCCGCTTCCTAGCGCACGCCGCACGGCTGCTCCGCAGCCCACGCACCAAGGGGCGGCACGCCTTTCTGCGCGAGTGCGTTCCGATGGTCGCCCGAGACGAGGAAACCGTGTCTCCCGAGCGCGTAGAGCTGTACCAGCTGCTGCTTCAGACGTCGACGTTCCACACCGACCGCACCTCGCGCTTGCTCCTGCTCCAAGCGTGCGATACACTCCTCGACGCGGATGTGGCGTCCACGCGCGGGGAGCCCTTCAAGAGCATGCTCATGGTCGAGGCCCACCACGCCCTGCGCGCCGAGACCGAGAACGTGTGTGGCCGCGACGACACGCTCACAGCCACCCGCGGAGGCGCCGCCAACCTGCATGCCTGGGTGTGCACGCTCCTCGCGCACGCGCTACGGGGCGACGCGGCCTACCTAGCCAGCGAAGCGCACTTTCACGCGCTCCTGCATACCTTTGCGCGCCTGCACTATGCCATCCTCGCCAGCGGCCCCGCGCACCACGACCGCCTGCGCCCGGGCGTGCTGCGTGCGGCGTGGCGCACGTTCCGCCGCGCGAGCGACAAGCTGCCCATGCTCCTCCAGTGTGCACTCGACGTGCCTGCGAATGCGGCGTACCCGGCCATTGTGCTTCAGGGCGTGCTCCTCGACGTGTGCCTGCACCTGAAGCATGGCGCGCAGGCCGACGGCCTCGCGTGGGCGACGGACGTCAAGGAGCGTGTGCTGCTCTCGTATACCACGCACGTGGTCAGCGCGAAGGCGCCCGTGCCGCCGCCCGTGCTGCACGCGCTCGACCTGTTCCTGCAGCGCGTCGTGTCGTCGGAAGATCTGGAGGCGCATGTATTCCCGACGCTGCAGAAAATGCTCCTGCGCTCGCCCGAAGTCGCGTTTGAGGTGGCACAGGCCCTGTGTGGCGCAGCGCGCATCGACACGACCGCCGTGCTGGGGCGCTTCCAGACCGTGCTGCTCTCTTCGGTGACGTCGTCCAACGCGCAGACGCGCCGCCACGCACTCCAGTTGGCCCGCACGCTCCTGCCCAGCTATCACGCACCCTTCGTCGAGGCACTCTGCAAGACGCTCAAGCCGGGCGACGGCAAGTCCGAGGACCAGCGCATGGCCCAGAGCGAGCTGGTCGCGGCGGTGCCTGCGCATCCCAGCGGCAGCTCGGCGCTGCTCACGGCCATGGCACCGATTGTGCAGAAGGAGACGCAGGTGCCGTCGCTGCGCGCCGAGCTGCACGCCGTGTGGCCCCATGTGCGTGCGTGCTGGGACGCCCAGGTCGATGTGCCACGTGTGTGGGTCCAAGCGCTGCAGGGCAAGGCGCAGTCGCCCAAGGCGCCACTGCGTGCCGTGACGCTCGTGTCCGTCGCTGACGCGCTGCGTGCGCCGGCGGCGGCAGCGCAGGACGCTCTGCTCGCGGACCTGCTTCCGGCCTTGCGTGCCAGTGTGCAAGCGGCGTCCACGTCCGCGCTCACGTCGCCGGACGCGGCGCTCGAGGGCGCGGCGTCCGTCGTGCTGCTCGCCGGCCCCGTGGCGCACGCCGCTGATGCGTCTCTTCGCGACAAGGCGGCGCAGCAAGTGCCGCTCGCGCCGCTCCTGGCGACGGGCGCGAAGCCGTCGTTCCTGCTCAGCGACAAGGTGGCGCGGAAACTGCGTGAAGGCCTCCCGCACGCGCTCGTTTGGCACGCCGAAGCCCTGCGCTCCGTGGTGGCGCACCAGGGGTGCGCCACGCTGCACGACGAGGCGCGCCAGTCCGCCGTGCTCGCGCTCCTGGCCGAGTACATGGATGGCGCTGCGCCGCCTGCGCACGCCCTCCTTACGGACGTGGGTGCCCACAGCCCCCGTCTAGCCTTGCGCCTCATCGCGCACCTCCTGCGCCACACGGCGCTCGCGCCGCATGTGGCGCGGCACCTGTTGACCGGTCTCCTGACGAGCGCCGGGCCGCGTGGCGCCGAGCTGTTGCCCGACCTCGTCGTCCTCGCGCATGCGCCGCAGCTGCACGACACGGAGCGCGAGATGTGGGTGCACTTGTGCCGTCTTGCCTCGTGCGACCCCCACGACGTGGTCCAGCGGCACGCGGATGCGCTGCTGCGCATCGTATACGATGCCCACGCCGACGGGGCGTGGGCGCTCGCCGCCGAGGCTGCGCTGACCACGCTCACCTTTATTGCGCCGGATGTGCTGCTAGGCCGGCTGTGTGGCGACCTCGTGCGTGACCTCTCGGTGCATCCGCTCGAGGCGCTCAGCGAACAGGACCTGGCTATCTGGCGCGCGCCCGCGGACCGCCCGTACGTGGACGTGCTGGCCAAGACGAATGCGCCGGCGCTCGACAAGGGCCGCGCGTCGAGCATGGACAAGTGGGACGCCGAGGTGCGCGCATCGATTGCCGCGAAGAAGGCTGCCTCGGGTCCTGCGACGCTGTCGAAGCAGGAGCAGGCGGCCGTCGACGAGCAGCTTGCCAAAGAGCGCGAGATCCGCGCCCATGTCCAAGCCGCCGTGGACCGCGCCGGCCGCGCCGCTCGCCGCCTGCTCTGCGTCATGGACGCGCATGCGCCCGAGGTCGATACGCACCTGTGGGCGCTGGTGCGTGCGGTGCAGGCATGCCTCGGCAGCGCGCGCGCGCGCGCGCTGGGCCTGACCGAGGCGCTCGTCGATGCCCTTACGCGCCTCTCGCGTGCCGGCGAGCTGCGTGTGCAGCCGACGTGTGCGTGGGTGCTCAGCACGATCCTCCGGCGCGTCGACGACAGCCTCGTGCCGCTCGACTATGCGCTCGAGGCGCCGGACGAGGCGGAGCTGCGGGCGCTGTACCAGCTGCGCTTCCTCGTGGACGCAGCGCCGCTGGACCGCGCGGCGTGCGGCTTCCTTGTGCCGTGGCTCGCGGACCTCGTCGCGCGCAGCGAGCTGTGCGGCGACGAGGCGCGCGACGACCGCACCGTCGAGCGCATGCAGCTCGCGCTCGATGTGCTCGCCGCGCACGCCGTCTACGGCGCTGACAGCGACTTTCCGCGCGCCGACGTGCTGCATGCACTGCTCCGCCTCGTGCGCGTGTTCCCGATGCTCGTGCATGACGCCGTCTCGGCGCTGCGTGCGTACGGCGAGGCCATCTCGCACGAGCGGCGCGGCCAGGGCGCGCTCATCACGCTCCTCCTCGAGGCGGCGCTCTCTGACGAGCCGCGCGAGCGCAGCGGCGCGCTGCAGTGCCTGGTGCCGCTCGACTTGACAGAGCTCGAGTTTCCGCCGGCGCTGTGGCTGGCGCTGCACTCGAGCGAGGCGGCCGTCGCGCAGCAGATCTGGGACGAGAATGCCCTCGATGTGCCGCCCGAGTACGTGTCGGCGCTCGTGCCGCTGCTCTCCCACGCCCATGCGTACGTGCGCGCCGCTACCGCCCCGGCGATGGGCGCCGCGTGCGCCGTGCATCCCGACACGCTGAGCACACTCCTCGACGCACTGTGGCAGCTGTACGCGTCGCAGACCTACTCGCTCGAGCCCGAGTATGACCAGTACGGCATGGTGATCGAGTCGACGCTGCACCGCGAGGACCCGTGGCCCGTGCGCCTCGCCGTCGCCCATACGCTGCAGGCGCTGGCGCCGCAGTTCCGCGCGCAGGACGTGGTGCCCTTCTTCCAGCTCGCCCTGCAGCGGCACGCGGCGCTGAGCGATCGCGACGAGCGCGTACGGCACGCCATGCTGGCTGCCGCCACGGCCGTGGTCGATGCGCGCGGCGCCGACGTGCGCACCGAGCTGCTGGCGCTCCTCGAGCAGAGCGTCGAAAGTGGCGACGACGCGGTGACCGAGGCCGCGGTCGTCCTCCTCGGTCGCGCGGCGCAGCACCTGGCGCCGAGTGATCCCCATGTGCGCCGCGTCGTCGACCGCCTGCTCGACGCTCTGCGCACGCCGAGCGAGATGGTCCAGGAGGCCGTTGCGTCATGCCTGCCGCCGCTCGTGCGCACCGAGGTGGTCGCCTGTGACATCCGTGCGATCACCGATGCGCTCTTTGTCGATTTGCTGCGCGGCGACTCGTACGCGACGCGCCGCGGCGCCGCCTACGGCCTCGCCGGCGTGGTGCAGGGGCGCGGCGTGTGTGCGATGCGCGACCTGCAGGTGCTGGGGCGCCTCGAGGAGGCGATGGCCGACACGTCCACGACGCGCCCGCGGCAGGGCGCGCTGTTTGCCCTGGAAATGCTCGCGTCGCGGCTGCAGGTGCTGCTCGAGCCGTACGTCGGCGGCCTGCTCGAGCACCTGCTCGTGTGCTTTGGCGATACGCACGCGGATGTGCGCGAGGCAACGCAGGACGCGGCACGCGTGCTGATGCGCAGCCTGAGCGGCCAGTGCCTCAAGCTCATCCTGCCATCGCTGCTCGCCGGCCTCGACGAGAAGCAGTGGCGCACCAAGAAGGGCGCCGTCGAGCTGCTCGGCGCGATGGCGTTCTGTGCGCCACGCCAGCTCTCCGCGGCGCTCCCCGCGGTGATCCCGCGCCTGAGCGAGGTGCTTACCGATTCGCACCGCCAGGTGAGCGCGGCGGCGAACCAGAGCCTCAAGCAGTTTGGCGAGGTGATCCATAACCCCGAGATCCACAAGCTCGTTCCCACGCTGCTCAAGGCGCTCGTCGACCCGAACGCGAAAACACAGAGCGCCCTCAAGGCGCTCCTGCACACGCAGTTTGTGCACTACATCGACGGGCCATCGCTCGCGCTCATCGCGCCGATCCTCGAGCGCGGCCTGCGCGAGCGAAACGTCACGAGCCAGAAGCAGGCCGCACAGATCGTCGGTCACCTCGCGTCGCTGACCGAGGCGCGCGACTACGTGCCGTACCTGGCCAAGTATACGCCGCTCGTGCGGAACGTGCTCGTGTCGCCGGTGCCGGACGCCCGCAGCGTCGCGGCGCGCGCGCTCGGCACACTGGTCGAGCGCCTCGGCGAGGTGCACTTTATCGATCTCGTGCCGTCGCTGCTCCAGGTGCTGCAGACCGATGCCACCGGCGTCGACCGCCACGGCGCCGCGCAGGGTCTCGCCGAGGTCCTCGCGGGTCTCGGCATGGAGCGCATGGAGCGCCTGCTGCCCACCATCATCGAAAACACCCAGGCGCCGGCGTCGTACGTGCGCGAGGGCCACCTGGCCCTGCTCATCTACCTGCCTGCGACGTTTGGCTCGCGCTTCGTGCCGCACCTCGGCAAGATCGTCGTGCCGATCGTGTCGAGCATGGCCGACGAGCACGAGTCCGTGCGCGAGGCGAGTCTGCGCGCCGGCCGCATGCTCATCGCCAACTACACGCAGCGCGCCGTCGACCTGCTGCTGCCCCAGCTCGAGCCGCGCCTGTTCGACGAGCGCCACCGCGTGCGTCTCTCGGCGCTGCAGCTTACCGCCGACCTCCTGTTCCGCGTGTGTGGCATCTCCGGCAAGGCCGAGGTCGAGGATGAGACGGAGGAGGCCGCGCAGGCCCACTCGTCGGTGCAGCAGGCGCTCGTCGCCGCCGTCGGCGCCGATCGCCGCGCGCGCCTGCTGGCCGCGATCTATGTGCTGCGCCAGGACCCCAGCATCCCTGTGCGGCAGACCGCCGCGCACACGTGGAAGGCACTCGTGCACAACACGCCGCGCACCGCGCGCGAGGTGCTCCCGGTCATGCTCGATATCCTGCTCGCCGCGCTCGCCGCGGACAGCGACGAGCAACGCGACATGGCCGGCCGCACACTCGGCGAGCTCGTGCGCAAGCTCGGCGAAAAGATCCTCGCAGAGACGGTGCCTCTGCTGGCCGAGCGCGCCGCACAGGCGCCCAGTGCGGGCACCCGCGCCGGTGTGTGTCGCGCGGTCATCGACGTGCTCGCCAACGCCACGAAGACGCAGCTCGAGGACCACGAGAGCGCCCTCATCGACATTGTGCGCCGCGCCCTGGGCGACCCAGCCGCCGAGGTCCGCGCCGCCGCTGCCGCCGCGCTCGATGCGATGCAGGCACACCTGGGCGAGCGCGCCATCGATGCCACGATCCCGACCCTCCTCGATGCGCTGCGCGACGAGCGCGCGCCTACGGCCGTCGCCGCGCTGCGCGAGGTCGTCCGCACGCAGCCCGAGGTCGTATTCCCTGTGGTCGTGCCGGTGCTCACGCACGTCCCGCTCACCGACGCCCACGCCCACGCCCTCACCGAGCTGCTTCCCGTCGCCGGCCCCGCGCTCGGGCCGCAGGTGAGTGCGATCCTGGGCAGCCTCGCCAGCACACTCGATGCCGAGCCACGTCCGCTGCTCGAGCTGGCCGATGCGCTCTTTGCCGCACTGGGCGATATCGAGGCGCTGCACCAGGCCATGGTGCAGCTCCTCGGCTGGCTCAGTGGTCGCCGCGTCGAGCGCCGCGTGCTCGCGTGCGAGCTGTTCGTGCACTTTACGCAGCGCGTGACGATGCCGTGGAGCGACTACACGGTCGATGCGCTGCGCAAGCTCGTCGCGCTGTTTGAGGAGCCGAGCGACGATGTGCGCCGCGCCGCGCTTGCCGCGCTCGATGCGTGTGTCAAGGCCGTGCCGAAGGACGAATGGGACACGCTCGTCGTCCCTCTGCGCCGCACGCTCGAGTCGACGGGCGCGCCTGGCGCGCAGCTGCCGGGCCTGTGCCAGTCGCGGGGCGCCGGTCCCTTTGTGCCTGTGTTCCTGCACGGCCTGCTGCAGGGCAGCGCCGAGCAGCGCGAGCAGGGTGCGCTGGGTCTCGCTGACCTGGCCGAGAAGAGCGACGCTGACTCGATCCGTCCGTTCCTGACGACCATGGTCGGCCCGCTGATCCGTCTGTGCGGTGACCGTCATGCGCCGCCCGTCAAGTCGGCCATTTTGCAGTCGCTCGACACGATGGTGCACCGCGTTCCGGCGCTCGTGCGGCCGTTCTACCCCCAGCTGCAGCGCTCGTTCCAGAAGGCGCTCTCGGACCCCGCGAGCGCGACCGTGCGCACGAAGGCAGCTATGGCACTCGGCTTCCTCATGGGCCTGCAAACGCGTGTCGAGGGTGTTGTGCAGGAGCTGCTCGGCACGCTCCAGGCTGCGTTTGACCACGGCTCCGACGGCGGCGGCGCCGAGGCGGCTGCGCTCGCGCTTGCCGAGATCCTGCAGCACGTGCAAGCCGACAAGATGGGCCCGGCCGTGCGCTCGGCGCTCGCCGAGTGCCTCTCGACCGCGTTCCGCGCGAACGAGGAGCCGCGCGAGGCGCTCAAGGTGGCCGTCGCCGATCTATGTGCCGCGTTCCTGCGCTTCGATGACGAGCGCGGTGCGCAACTGCTGGCCACGCAGGTGCTGCAGCCGGCGCCGGTGGACGTGCAACTGGCTGCGCTGTGTCTGCGGGCGTGCATGGAGCATGCGCCCGAGGCGCTGCATGCCGCGGCGCGGCCGCCTGCGCTGGCGGCGCAGCTCGCTGGCGCGTGGCTCTCGGAGGCGCCCTCGGTCGTGCGGGCGGCACGCGAGGCGCGCGAGCGCATGCGGCGTACGCCGCCATGGAGTGCGGATGATAGTGTACAGTCCGCTCTGTAGTGCTATCACAAAAAGCCCGTTTCTCGTAGCGCGTTATTCAGTAGGGTTCTGTGTCAGTGCGCCATACGTACTCCTTCACAGCAGCAAACACCAGCCGGATATTGTTTGTGTCGATGGCCTGGGTAATATGGGGGTAGATTTGCAGCTTGGCGCGGTTCAACGAGGTAAAGCGCCATAGAATGTACTTGGCCGCCTTGTTCACGTCGTTGCCGCCCTTGTAGTCGGGAAAGTAGTCGGCGAGTGGCCGCTGCGGGAGCTTCTTCGTGAAGACATCAATTTTGTTCAGAAAGAGGATCACAGACGTGCGCAAGAACCAGCCTGCGGTAAGACGGCGATACGTACGGCTGTTGACGACGCTCTCGAACAGCACCAAGCTCTCGGCCATGCGGTTCTGCGTAGGATCCTCGAGAAGCATCTGGTCGTACTCGCTCAACGCCACACAGAAAATGATCGAGGTCACAGACTCGAACGACTGGATCCACTTGTTCCGCTCAGAGCGCTGGCCGCCGAGGTCGACGAGGTTGATGCGCATATCGCCCATCGCAAAGTTCGTCTCGACAATGCCCGACGTCTTGGAGCGCGAGCGCAGCACGTCCTCCTGCGTCGGTAGATAGTCTGGCTGCGTGATCCGCTCGGCCCTGTTCAAAAAGCTGCGTGAGCAGGCCGTACGCACTATTCAAAGTTGTCCATAACGTAGAATTCACCACGCCGCTCGAGCAGCGGTGCCATCACAGGGTCCGACCATAGCCCCATGATCGCCTGCGCCACCTGTGGCGGCAGGGTAGCATCGGCGTCAGCCGGCAGCTCGTACGCTGTAAGCAGGTCAGCCGCTTCCTGCGGTCAGTCGTGCCGTACGCACCCGGTTCTCGAGCTGTTGCGGCTCCATGTCAAAGCGCCGCATGGCCAGCGCAAGAGCCTTCACAGAATCCAGCAGATTCTTGAGAATAGTAATGCGGAACATGTACAGCTCCTGCTCCGAGTATCCATCCTGGTGGATAATCTTCATCTGCTTCACAATCGTCGACTTGCCCGACTCGCCACTGCCGAGGAGCAGGACCTTGAGCACATCCTTGTCTCCCCGGTCCCGAGACTTGCTAGCCCTGGTATCGCTCGAGCTACGGCCAGTTCCATCGCGGGCTTTCGAGTTGGCCACGGAGAAACAGGCACCCATACCGCCACGGTCCGTCCTCGAGACGAGCTGGAGGCGTCGCGCGGGACAAAGAGCGAGCGTCTCCACTTCCCTGACCTATTCTCCACGCGCGTCTACAAATGGCTAACAGCGCCCCGCGCGTGCATCGCGCGCAAGTCTAGCATCTCCGGCACGACCTCCTGGAGTGTGCGTGCGCCGAGCAGGCGCATATCCATCTCAATCTCATCACGCAACAACTCGAGCGCACGTACAACGCCGTCACTGCCATAGGCCGAATAGGCATACAGGAGAGGGCGGCCGACGCCGACCGCGGTCGCACCCAGCGCAATGGCCTTGAGCACATCGGTGCCGCGGCGGAAGCCGCCATCAACAAACAGTTGGAAGTTTTTGTTGGGGAACATGTGGCGCTTCTTCAGCTCATGCACTGCCTCCTCGAGCACCGCGATGGCCGGCGGTGCAAAGTTGAGCTGGCGGCCGCCGTGGTTCGACAGTACAACACCGGCCAGACCCATCTCGCACGCTAGCACCACGTCCTCCCACGTTTGCACGCCCTTGAGCAGGACTGGCAGCCTGGTGTTGCGCGTAATGAATAGCAGGTCGTCCCAGTCAAAGCTCGGGTCAATGAACGTCGAGATCGCACGCGCCGCGCCCTCGTCGCGCTTCTCTACAGTGCCTCCTTGCACATTGGAGCCTTCACCGCCAAAGTGCATGCGCATGTCCTTTTCGCGACGGCCCAGCTGCGGCGCATCGACCGTGACAAAGATGGCCTTGATATCGGCCTCCTCGGCGCGTCGCAGCATATCGAGCACCACTTTGCGGTCACTGTTCACATACAACTGGAAGAACTGCAGTGGCAGCCCATTCCGACGCTCCTGGACAATCTCGTCAAAGGAGCACGACGACAGTGTCGGAACCATCTGGATCACTCCGGAGCGGGCGGCGCCACGCGTCAAGTTGAGCTCACCATCGGGATGCCCCAGGCGGCCCAGCGCCGTGGCCGTAATGTACACAGGCATCGAGCTGGGGTAGCCCAGCAGCTGGGTGCTGCAGTCGACCTCCTTGACATTGCGTAGGATACGCGGGCGGAACCAGATGCGCTCAAAGACGTTGCGGTTCTCCCGCAACGTGTGCTCATCATCGGCCGCCGATGAATAGTACGCCCAGGCCTCCGGGCTCATAGCCTGGCGGCCGGCCGCCTCAAAGTCGTTCAAGTTGAGGCATTGCGCCATAGGCGGGACGTTGGCGCGGCGTGCCTTCTCCTCTTCCTCCTCCTTCTTCTGCGCTTGCTTTACCGAATCTGGCACCGAGCTCGCGTCCAGGTCGCCCAGATAGCACTCTTTCGGCAGGTACTTTTCAAGGGTCCCCGCCGGGTGTGTCGCCTCGAACAGCCTTGTGACGTCCTTGCCCGCGTTCTTGATAATAATTTGCGGACCACCAGGGTGATCCGGAAGAAAACTGGTCATATTATAGACCTTGCCGCCCAGGGCGACCCAGCAGTCATCCGGGGACGTGTGCCTCGCCACCTCCTCAAAGCGTATGAGTGGCATCGGACGAGAACCCCGCATTCTCTCCACGCCTGGTAAGCGATAGCCCCGGTGCACGTGATCGGTCCACGCGTGGGTGTGTCACGTCGTGGCGACACGAGCCGCTCCGTGCGCCCGACAAAATGCTGCATGGGCTGGACCTGCTGCGCAAGCAGTACATCAAGTATGCGGCTACGGCAGGCCAGGGCCACTCCCCTGAAGACACGATCAAGGCACTTGCAGAGAAGCTTGAGGACCCGGCTGGTGCGCGCGAGGACCGCCGTGCGGCCCTTCTCTCGCTCAAGTCCCTCGTGCGAAACCACGCAGACCTCGTGAGTGCGCACGCCCTCGTGCCACTGGTTCGGTGGATCCAGGTAGGTGAGAAGGACGAAGACATGCTCCGCTCCGCAGTCGAGTGCTGCCTGGCGCTCTGCCAGGTGCCTGAAGACCCTAAGGGCCGCGCGCGTGCCTTGGACAACATGGCTCGTCTGCTCGCCGAGAAGGACTCGCTCCTGGCGCTATTGTCTCTCCTCTCGACGGATCACTCATTCTACACACGCTTCGGTGCGCTGCAGTGGCTTGTGTGTATTACCGAACACCGCCGTGCAGAGGTGCAAGAGTACGTGCTCACCGCGCCTGGCGGCTGCAGTGCTGTGCTACAGTGCCTGGAGGCTGCGCCCTCGTCGAGCACAGAGATTATCCGCAATGAGGCCTTGCTGCTTCTTCCCCAGCTCGTGAAAGACAGCGTGGATATTCAGAAGATCGTTGCCTTTGAGGGTGTCTTTGAGCGTCTCCTGGACATCGTCGCCCAGGAGGGCCGCATCGAGGGCGGTGTCGTGGTGCAGGACGCACTCGAGGGTCTTGAGGCGCTTCTTCTTCACAATGTCTCGAACCAAAACTACTTCCGCGAGACGCTGAGCATACCCCTTCTCGCACCGCTCCTATTCTACCCGCCGCCCCTGCCGCCCCAGGCGCCCGAGGGAGCCGCGCATGAGCGCACGCAGCATGTGCAGGCATTCCTACTACAAGAGTGGGACGAACAGAAGCTTATCAATGCGCAGATTCTCATGCGCTGCATCGGGCACTTGGTCGATGGCCAGGGCGAGGGCCACCGCGCAAACCAGTGGGCGATGTGCAACGCTGGCCTCGTGGAAGCTCTGGTCCAGCTGGTGCTGGCAAGTTTGGCACCGCCTGTGCTCAAGGCGCATGCTTTGCACGTACTGGCAGCCCTATTGCACGGCTCGCGCCCCGTGCAGGACCTGATGAGCAACATGGTCGTTACTCCCGTGGCGCTGATCCAGCATCCCGAACCCGGCGAGGGCCAGCCACCGATGGAGCTGTCGTGGCAGGCTCCCCAGCCAGCGATGCTCTCCCTGATTGCGCTGGTGCTACGGGGACCTGGCAGCGCCTCGGACGACCAGCTGTCGCTCGCGGTGCGCTGTGCTGCCCTCCATGCCTTTGAGGCACTCGTCGAGCAAAACATGGATGTGCGCATGACGCTGTGGCATGCCTTTGTGGCTGCGCCTCTTCCTGAACAGACTCACGGCAACGCGTCGCAAATTCTCCTCGACTCGGTGGTGCATCTGCCTACGACGTCGCTGGTATCGCATGCCAAGACCTCAGCGTTTGACCCGTACCGTTATCTGTTTGCATCGACGCTGCTGAGCTACCTGCTGCAGGGCAGCGACACATCCAAGGAGTTTGCGCGACGAGTGCGCCTCAATGACGAGGGCCGTTGTGTCGCTGACGCCACGGTGCCGACGACCGATGATGACGAGCCTGCCACGCTGATCCATGTGGTCGTGGGCAACCTGGCCATGGCGCTGCGCGAGCACGGGGAGGCCGTGCGCCGTGAGCGCGCCGCGCAAGCTGGTCTGCCCAACAGTTCCGAGGACTGGACCAAGATCATCGTGGGCTACCTTGTCCTCCTGAGCCTGTGGCTGTGGCATAGCCCGCCGAGCATCCAGGACTTTGTTTCCGAGAGCGCCAACCTGCAGGTGCTGGTGCAGCCAGCGGCGCAAACGACCGGTGTAGACCCCCTCATCCAGGGCCTCTCGGCGTTTGTGCTCGGCACTGCGTACGAGTTCCATACGGCGACGGACAGCGATGTGCCCGAGGGTGCACTCACGCGCCAAACCATGCATCCTATCCTGCATACACGTATCGGCGCTGACCAGTTCAGCACACGTATTCTCTGCGTGAAGAGCGATCCGCGTTTTGCGTCGTGCACGCCTGACGTGCTGGAGAGTGTCCTTACGGAATCGCACTCGTCGATTTGGTTCACGTGGTCGTTCGTCGAGTTCTGGAAGGACAATTATGTGCGCGTGCAAAAGTCCATCCTCGTTGACCCAAGCAAATCCTCGGCATTGGAGGCTGAGGCACCTGCCGAGCTCTTGGATGCGCGGCAGCGCATCCTGCTGCTGCAGACGGAGCTTGCACGCGCGCAAGCCGAGGCCGCCCTTGTCGAGGGCCTCCGTGCTGACCTTGCCAAGGCGCGGGAGGCCGCAGAGCTGGCCCACCAGGAGCGTCAGGCAGCCAATGTCGCCCATGATGCCTCGAAGAAGGAGCTCGAAGCGGCCCATGCCGCCCATTCTGCGGCCCAGAAAGAGGGAGATGCACGCTATGCTACGGCCCAGGCCGAGCTCCAGCACGTGCGGGAAGATCTGCGGAACACCCAGGCTCAGTTGGACGCGGCTCTGCAAGAGGCCCAGCGCGCTCCCGTGGCCGAGGCGCCTCCGGCAGCGCCCGTGGAAGACGCCATCACAGTGCGGGCCCTGGAGGCCACGCGTGAAGAGCTGGCTGCCGCTCAGACGCACGCTGCGCATCTGGAGGAGGCCATCGAAGGCAAGTCGGAACTGATCCAAGCCTTGGAGGCCCAGCTCGCCGCGGCAGATCGTGCCGCGCAAGAAGCGCGCAGCGAAGCGGAGACAGCCAAGGCGGCCGCGCAAGAAGCGCAAAGCCAAGCTGAGGCAGCCAAGGCGGCCGCACCTGCGTCTTCCGACACACTCACGGAGCAACTCGCCTCGTTGCAGACAGAAAACGAGGATCTCCTTGTTCTCTTGGATGATATCATGGAGAAGCGCAAGCAGGAGAAGGCAAGAATGCGCGAGGCCGGCTGGGATGTGAGCGACGACGAAAGCGAGGGCGAGGGCGAGGGCGACGAGTAAGGATCAATTTAGCCTATGTAGGATAATGGATCAATATACATGGCCGCTTTTCGCGACGAGGGAATCACGAGCTCAACATCCGACTCGTCCTCGTCCATGTTGGCGAGGCTGCGCGCGAGCGCGTCTGGTGACCGCATCGGCCGATCCTGCAACATGCTCCTAGAGCGTGGCGCATCACTAGGCGATACGGATCTGCGGTCACAGGCAGGAGAGGCTTGCGCGCCCACCGGCGTCAGTCGAACAGGCTGTGCGGGCGGCTGCAACGCCGAATCCATGCCCAGTGGCTCCCCCTTGAGTCCTGTCGGGGACGTGGGCGGCGAGGAGTCTGGCGTGGATGGGCGCTCCATGGACTGCAAGGGCGCTCGCTCCGGCGTGGCAGAAACTAGCGTTTTGGCAGGCGCTCTCGCCTCGTGCGAGTCCGTTCGCTGTCGCTTGCCTGCTTGCACCGACGCGGGGCGGGCAGCCGACGAGGCCATGGTCGTTGTGAGCGGGGCTGAAGAGGTGCGCTGCAGACTGACAGGACGCACGAGCCGGCGCGACATGACCACTTCGTTGCTGATGCGAGTCGAGCTGGTCAAGGACGATCGTCTTGTGGTGCGCTCCGCATGCAAAATAGGGTGCCTCTCTTGCGGCACGGGGGGCGCCTCTGGCGCAGGACCCGGCTTGGCAGCGGAGACGCTACGCTTCCAAGGCCGACGCCGTCTTGGCGTGAGGGACGGGCCAGGCGCGAAGCATTTGGATCGCAACGTAGCGCACATACGAGGCGCCAGATGCTCAAAATATCTCTCGGCAACATCCGCACAGAACCACTGCGCCTCATCGCGCTCATCGTTGGCCGCCTGGATCCGAGTATCTGAGCCATACATGGGCCGCGACAACGAGAGGCCTGCAGAGAGCTGCAGCAGACACAGTTGGTCAGCGTACGCATCGAAGAGTGCTTGGAGCGCAGGTTGATCCGCCCTAATCTCCAAATCCCTCACGGGGGACTGAGCGGGCGCCGGGTGCGCGGTGCCCCATGCAAATGGAGCGGGAAAGCCTTGCCAGCGCTGTGTTCGCACAGCCTTGCGCTTCGACTTGCCATGGGTATCTAGGGTATGGATGCGGCTCGGCTCCGAGGTGCACTGCTCAGGCACATAGGGCCATAGAGCACATAAAAGTAACAAATGCATTTCCACACTGCGTCAGTAGATACAACGCACTCTCGGCGGTAGATGGCTGCGAGAAAGGCCCGTACATGGCTCTCACGCTCCGCCCCGTGCATCGCTGCCTGGGCGAGCGGCCCATGCCGCACAGCGGCTCGCATGGCTTCATTTTCGTTCGTCCTGCTTTCGATCGCACTCTCTTGAAGCATTGCCACGACATGCTCGTACGCTACTTCATGGTATTGGGCGCGTAGCTGCGTGGGCGTACGCAGACGATTCATCAGGAACGGTACGCGCTCGCTTGTATGCCACTGCGCCAGCGCATGTGCCACACACGCAAGGGGCGTATGAGCCTCTCCCATCCATAGACTGTACACAAGCATTTTCTCTAGGCATGCCGTGTCCGTGATGGCCCCCCAGCGCAGCCCACGGACCACGCAGGGCAGCGGCGGCGGCTCGGACATGCCGAGAAAGGTGGAGGCAGACCGACCTTATCGGTGCACGCCATGGCCGAACGCACAGGCACAGGCGCCATGTCATGGACGCCTGAATCGACCATGCACACGCGTGCACTTATCGACGTGCGCCAGCCCATGGGTAGCATGAGCCTGAGTCCTTGTATGTGTTCTGCCTCTCACAGCAGCCAATCAAGAGGTCGTCTTGGGCTCAAAAATGGGTCTCTATGTCATTCAGCTGGAGCACTTGTATACACCCCCGCGCTACTTTGCGCATGCCACTGCGTGGGAAGTAGCTGATATACAATGGAATCCACATATGTGCCGTTCAGAGTGGGTTGCAAGCACTGTACGTGTGCCTACTAACGAAGTCCAATCAGAAACTCGTGATCTGGAATCTCAACCGCCCGTCCTCGGCATCGGTGGGCACGGAGGAGATACGACCTGCGTCTCATATGCGCATGCAAGCACAGAGGGATGTGGTGCACTCCTTTTACACCGGTTCTTCATCGAGTGCTTTTGCGCACAGACCGGGGATGACGACGTCGCACACACTCTCTATGGACGGCTCGGCTATGCGCATCCCCGCGCAGCACCGGACCGGCCTGGGTCCGCCGTCCAGCACGGCGGTTGAGCATCTTCTTGATGCGCATACGCGTGCAATCACAGATATCAACTGGTCGCCGTTCCATCCAGAACTGCTGGCGAGCTGCAGCGTCGATACCTGGACATGGGTGTGGGATCTGCGTATGGCAGGGCGGGGTTCAACGCGCCCCGCCCAAGGTTTCAGTTCATGGAATGCCAGCATGACGCAAGTCAAGTGGAACCGTACCTCGCTTCATCGTATCGCAGCCTCGTGTGACAACAAAGTGCTTGTATGGGATGACCGTTTCGGAGCGCTACCGTGGGCCACGCTCGAGACCCACCACAGCAAGGTTTATGGCCTGGATTGGAGCCCCGACCGGGAGAAAGGGCGTGACCAGCTCATGACATGTTCGCTCGACGGCACGATCAAGTACTGGGACCTCGACTCTGAGTCGTCACGTACAGCCTTATCAAACCATGCACGCATCACAGAGCCCATGTACACTGTCGAGACACCCCAGCCCGTATGGCGTGCGCGTCATTTACCCTTTGGTCTCGGCGCCATGTCCGTGGCACAGCGCGGCGATACTGCGCCGTGCATGTGGAAGTATGGCGTAGACGAACCGGTGCATCGTTTCGTTGGCCATACAGACGTTGTCAAGGAATTCCTATTCCGAGCCAAGGGTGGCGCCGACTCATCACACGATGATCGCGAGTTCCAGCTGATCACCTGGAGCAAAGACCAGACGTTGCGACTTTGGCCCATCACTGAAGAAATGCTTCGCTCCGTGGGCCACGTTCATGGCGCACCTATGAAGCAGTTCGTCGTTGGCAGCGACGACACGGCATTGCCTCCGAATGCCATACGGTCCCGTACGATACCCGCCATGACCGCTGCTGACGGCGTCGACGCAGGCTCCCCGAGCACTGTATCCAGTGACTCCCAACTATTCACTCGCCCTTCGTCGATCCGCTCCCTGCCTCTCCAAGTGGGCAGTGCCTCTAGCGTTGAAGAAGTGTTGCCGCGCTCCCTGCCTACACGGGGTGTACAAATTTGTCAGGGAATACGACCGCGAACGACGCCCAAACGCCTGAGCCGAAAGGCCACAGGGCCCCAGATGCGATACACACATGAAGATAACAATCTGCTTGCACCTGATGCCGTTGAATGGATGGCTCACATTCGCATGGGCGAGCTCTGCGACGATGACGATAACGATGACGACACCACACCAAGCTCGCAGTCAGAGGTTGATGCAACTGTTCTTCCTCACGAGATCCTGCGTGTGAACAGTCGCTTTCCCGGTCTTCTCGAGTCTATTGACATTGCATGGCGACGTTGTACTGTCGCACTCAGTGGTCCATGGCATGAGCAGGGCGATGGCGCGCTTGCCTACTTGCGCGTCATGTTTACCTTCCCTCCTAACTATCCCATGGAGCCGCCGACCATCGACATCGAGCGGAATGCCACTATCCCGTTCAAGACTCGTGCCGATATCTATCGTGGTCTGACGAACATTCTCGAGGCCAAGGCATCCGAACGCGTTCTCAGCCTAGAGACGTGCATCGAGTACCTATTGCACGGCCAATCTCCTGACACCGGTTCAAGTTCCAGAGACGTACGACAGGGGTTCCAAGTGCTTCCCGAGTCGCAAGAGCAAACATTTGCGCATACGTACAATCATGTGGCTGACGCGGTCGTACAGCTTTTGCTGCGCTCGTCCGATACCTTGCACACCTCGTTGGTCGATTCTGATGTCGTCCAGTTGATGAGTTTGAATCCCTTGAGCCGCGCCAAAATCGCGACGAAGACCCCTCCCCCCCACACATCATAGCATGGCTTTCCATCTACATTAACTGCAATCACTGCCTCATATTAGAGCCGTCCTCCTGCTGGTATCGCGGCACCGTCCTCTTCATGACACCGGGCGTAGCCGCGCTAAGCGATTGGGCAACGACGCATCGGGCTTTTCCGGTGACCCATTCGATGCCTGGTTGTTGGTCACATCTTGCAAGGCGCGTTTCGTCTCATTCCGCAGCGCCTTCACTTGGGCAGCGAGCCGTTTGTTTTCCTTCATGACAAGCAACATACGCGTATCGGCTTCTTCAATTTCGCTAGCCTTCGCACTCAGTTCCAGCTCAAGGTCAGCCACGCGCTGCGTAAGCAACGCCGCATTCTGATCTGCGTCCCGCTTTGCCGCATGCTCAGCACGCTCCGTGCGAATTTGCTCCGCGTATCTTCGCTTGCTCTCTTTCAGCGCTCGGATGTCAGCTTCACGGTCCACTAATGCTTGTTCCAAGACGAAAAACTCAGCCTGTAGCTTCTCCATCTGCTCTTTCGCTCGCTCCTGTTCCTGCTCAGCATGAGAAGCACTGCTCTTGTACATGGAGAGCATTTTCTGTAGCTCATGCATTTCTCCAGCCCACTGGACACGCTCCGCTTTGACAAGCTCCAAGCTCTTGAGTTGCTTCTGGAGATCAGCTACCTGGGCTTCCGACACGGCAAGCTGCTGCAGGACCTGATCCACGTTGGTTTGGATTTGCGTGGAACGCTCAAGTTCAGACTGGAGCTCCGCTAGTTGGTTCTCCGCGTCGGCCAAACGGCTAGACTTGGAGGCCAACTCACTGTCACGCTGATCCAGGGCAGCTTGGGTATGCTCAAGCTGCGTTTGTGTACGCACAACTGCCTCATCACGCTCAGTCACTGAGGTCTCGAGCTCAGCCAACCGCCTGGAAGCTAGTTCATGCTCCGTTGAAAGGGTATGATGCGCAATGCGCAGTGATGCATGAGCTTCCAAAGCGTCTCTGTACTGTTTCTCCAACTGCCATACATAAGCTTCGTATGTGTCCATGCGATGCTGCATAGTAGTGAGTTTCGTAGTATTCTGATTGAGGTTAAATTCCAGCTCTTCCATGGCAGAATCTAGGTGCAGCGTCTTTTGCAAAGTATCCGTGTGCGCACTCGTATGACAACGTATTTGGGCGGCGTGATGAGATGCCGCCTCAGACTGTGCCACTTTGCTGTGGGCCAATCGCTCTTCATACATCTGAGAAGTTGTCGCCAGGGTAGCCTCATGTTCCGAACGCAATTCCTCGAGCTCTTTTGTACGGCCGCTATAGGCACGGGCCAATTCAGCAGCATGGCTAGTAAACAATTCTTCATTCGAGCGCCGATGCACTTCTGCTAGCTGTGCAAGCTCTTGTTTGTGCGCAGCCTTCATGGCATCAACCATTTCGGAGTGATCACTCTCTAGTTTGGCGCGCTCATCATCCGATAAATGCCGAATTTCCGGTATCTTTGGCTCCATGTCACCTACCATGGTCTCGTCAGGATCCTCTGGGGGGGGATGTTGGCGCTGCATAACGCGTACGGCCTCAACGGCCAGCTTATAATTGAACATGCAATTTTCAATATCCTGAACATCTTGTGAAGGTGGCGTATCACGGGATACACGACAAGCGCGCTCAGCTTGTTCAAACTCGAGCAGGTCATCACACTCATGGAGCAAGACCGTCATGTGCTCGAGCGCCTCCCCTCCAAGCGCATATAGGGGGGGCAAGTCATGGATTGGTTTTCCAATAAGGCGCGAGTGGATTCGAGATTGTAGAGTATGTAGAGCATCCATAACCCACATATCTATAAGGGGCCCATCTGCGCTTGGCAGCATGGTGCCACTTTCAATACGTGTCCGCGTCGGTGATTGTGTTGACGCAATGTTCCAAGATCCGAGCGCGAGGCGCGTCCCATCACGTGATTACACTATGGTACAGGGTCCGCCAAAAGTGCCGCTATGACGGCCTTGTAGACAAACACATACTGGCGAACGGTCTCAATCATACTCATACGCTGCTCGCGCATAACCATCGTAGCCTCGTAGATAAGATCTTTTGGAGAATCCCAGCATTCATGACGAGATGGTATAACTGAGTGCTCACCTTTACAAGCAAGTGAGGATCGCACATGTCGAAGGAACGAGCTCACCGCGTCAATCATGATGTAGGCACCAGTGCGGCCAATGCCCGCGGAGCAGTGCACGACAATAGGATCTGAATGATCTGATCTCTTTTCATCAACACGTTTTTTGAGCGCAAGCAAGTCAATAGGTGAATCAGGAACACTGTGGTCAGGCCACGCCATATATTGGTAATGCGTAATATGACGAGGAGGTGTATCAGGTTCGGTCAGATTGCAGACTTGCAAGGTGCGCTGAATAACAATCACATCTGCAGCATTATCCATGGCATCTGTCGGCTTGTTGAATGATTGGAGTTCTTTCGAAGACACAGTTTTTCGCTCCAGCACAGTTACCCGGAATGGCTCAGCGGTAGGTTTGTCCCAGTAGTTATCGCATTTAATACGACCTGCCTCTTGTTCGCGAGCAAGCATCACGATAGTATGGATATCGTATTCCCATATGACACTCCAAAATACACTGAAAGTGCTAGGTAACGGTGCCTGTGTGGCAATATACACATCGTGTCCACCCATATATCTAAGTGGATTGATAAAGGATGCATTGATGTACCTTGATTGGTTGGGTTGCTTCTCAAGCGTTACGCGACTGTGCTCAAAGGTCCAAAAATTTCGGTATCGATGATCATTTCCTCGCTCAATGGCCGCGGTGATGCTTAGAGGAAAGGCACCGGGCGGTACGGAGTGCTCTGTCGGCGATTTCGGGTAGACTGCACGGCTGGAAATTGGCACATCAGGGGGATGGACGGAGCTGTTCGTCGAGGATTCAAAAGCATGCCGTTGCATGACGCTTTGCATACGAAGTTGTTCCCCTTTCTCGATTTCAAAAAACCTCTCTGCCAAGTACTTGGCCCGTATTTGGTCGTCCATAATGGCCAAGTCTCGCAAAAACCGGGGCAAACGATTAAGTTGCGACTCAGATAGCGAAAGCTCCAAGGGAACGATATCTGTGATGCCACATGACAGTTCCAAGTTTTGCCGGATATTATCGAAGAATGGATTTGCTGCATGCGCCGCGGAATTGCCCATGCAGTCAGAGAGAGCAAGCATTGGCCCTTGAGACGGCATCGAAAGACTCAAACTGGGTCGCTTCATCGTATTTGTTGGCACCAAAGAGATCGCATGGTTTGAATCCTTCTGGGTAGATGCCCACTCAATATCGTCCGCCGCAGGAGGCCACCGACTGTACGACACAAAGCCACCCGTAACCCAGCAAAGTTGGCCCTTGTACCCCGCTGATTCAAACTTTCGCAGCAGTCCTAACAGAGATGCACCCCCACCACCAGCACTGGATCGGCCCATCGATGTTGTTTTTGTAGAATCCATATCTAATACGACAATCCAGCTCTGAGGCGCATTCTCCTTCGTATAAGTCCTCCAATTGCGAAAGTTATCATCCATCGTACCACTAGAGAGAATTTGATCCTCGATACGTTCAATGGTGAATTCCGGACGGCGTAAAAGAGTGGTTGGAGCGCAAACATTCACACTGCCTTTTATATGACACCGGGCAAAGGAGGTAGGGGGACGGATATCTAGAACAAGAACATGCTTTGGCGGAACAATTCCTTCAGGGGATCGCATTCGCATCAAATCATAGAGAGTTTCCGGTGTAATCATACGGTATCGATCATCATTAGCTGGCGTCGGTACGGGCAAAAACGCTGGTGCTTTAAAGTTGGGCAAAGATAAAACTCCCGGGGAAGTCGGAAACGGCTTCTTTGATGTAGAGGCACGTTCTTCCAGATGCTTATTCGGAAGACCTAGTGTATGTAATGGCAAGATAGCCTGGGACTGACCGTGGGACGAAATGACCTGGGCCCATGGATGATCCGGCGACAGGGAGGGAACCGCATCCTGTGCGACCTTTTCGGGAAGCTGAAAATAGTCAGGTGTATCTGCCTGTGAGCTTGTAGAGCCTGAACCCTGCGGAGGCGCCGGTTCACGGCTCATGCTACGGGCGTTGCACGCAGTGTACGCGGATTTGTTGAAAGGCGTACGACGAAGCACGAGTTGCCCGGCCGAGTTACTTCAAAAGCGCCACGACCCATTCGGCCGGGAGCCTCCATTTTGGCACCTGCTCATCGACATGCCGAGCAAGATCGCAGGGACGCTGGTCGCACTGCTAGTGAGCAGCCTGGCTGCGCATGGATTCAGGTCAACAGGCTCTAATCCAACTCTTACTGCTGATGCAGTTGTGCCTGACCGTGAGCACTCGCTATTTTCACCCTACGTTGACTCTACCTTGCAAAACAAGTTTTGGGACTACGGCGGCGATGCGATCGTTGACACCAATCGCTACGTCATTCTCACACAGGACAGGCACAATGAATCTGGGTGGCTTTGGTCGCGTCTTCCCATTGATATGTCAGACTTTGAGATCACGGTTGAGTTTACCGTCAAGGGCCAGAGCGTATCCACCGGTGGGGACGGATTCGCGATGTGGCTCACCAAAGAGCGCATGCAGGGTGGTCCTATATTTGGAAACAGAAATCGCTGGAATGGTCTTGGTATTATCTTTGATACTTTTCCCAATGCACCTCACCGCGGCTTTTTCCCACAGATCAGCGTGGTGAAGAACAATGGACAGCTGGACTATAATCTCGGCAAGGATGGAGAAGACCAGGACATCGCCCATTGTAATATGCAGTTGCGCCGTACGCCCACGGATACGCGTCTCCGTTTCACTTACATCAAGGACGTATACATGGAGTTGGCGTTGCAGACCCACGAATGGAATAAGTGGGCTTCGTGTTTCCGCATCTCTCCATACGAATTTACAGGGCAGCCTTACCTCGGTTTTTCTGCAAGTACAGGCGACGTATCAGATCTCCATGCCATTGGCTCTGTATGGACAAACAAACTCGTGTACCACTCGCGTACACCTGCCGATCTCGAAAATGAGCGTTTGCAAGCTTTTTCTGAAAGTTCTGGCACTGGTTGGTGGAACAAGAAGCAAGATGAAGCAAAGAATATGGAGTCAGCCACCGTATTCCAGTTGCTTAAGAGGTTGGTCCTCTTCTTCGTTTGGGTGATAAAGTGGCTCGTTATTCTGGCCGTCCTTGGCGCTGCTGGTTATTTCGGCAACAAGTACTATCAGCAAAAGAAGGTCCCAAGCACCTATAAAAACCGGCGTATGATGGCATAGGTTGATACCCGTCACTCTGGCGCACGGAACAAGTGATTACGATAGTATTCAAGCTCTTCTCGTAAGAGTTTCGTGCGCACCATATATAGACCCCCAAATGTCATGCAAGGCTCTTCGTGTTAGATTAAGTGACGCACCGATGTGCTATGCCTGCCCGTTTTGGTGGCACAGCTGTACTGCTATACCAACGGCGGACCAGCTCCTTGATGGTTGAAACGTCCACAATCCGGTAATGTAAGTGCTCAATCAACTCGGGCATCTCGTTTTGCAAAAACGCCTTGTCTGCATGCACTGTGCTTCCCGCTAAGCACGCTGTTTTAGCGTCGGGGATCCGGTCTAACACATATGCAAGCACCGCCGTGCGTACGTCGCTGTGGGAATGCGCGCGTGCAGTATCAGTACATTCGGACATGAGGCCTGTTTCCGTATGTGTGGTGATCTGACATAAGAAAAAGATACCTACACACCTGTTGTAAGTGAACCCACACGTACCACTCGTCCATATCTGCTAACACGGCAGGATCGGTCTGAATCACGTAAGACACGCCTTCATCCACAGGTTTCAACTGACCATCTGTGATGATACAGGCGACCTCCAGTAGGCGGTCTTTGTTGGGATCAAGACCGGTCATTCTGCCTTAGAAAAAATCACGTACTCGCAGTCAATCCAAACCAGTGGTCCATCCTCACCGCGCAAGATCCGCGTCGCAGCAGGTGGAGGTATCGTTGACATGGTAGCTACGGGTTAAGTACAGAGAGTGTCACAGGCTGCACACCGTATACATCCAAATATACAGGTGTATCATGCGAGCCCTGTACACGGGCTATATAGGACCCAGCCTCGAGCGCGTGAGGAATAGTAAGCATCGCACAGGTAGCATCGAGCAGAGCTTCGGAGGCGGCCACACACGTGGTGTTCTGCCATAATTCCACATGAAGCGGTTGCTCGGGCATGGCCGGTCGCGCTTGAGAAGCACAAAGCGTAATTGGCATGGGGCGCGGCAATTCCACTTCCCAAATGCATGGAAGAGATGCATGCAATGCCCGATGGTATTGTCCCGCGCCTTCCGCTGGAATAGGCTGTACACACACACGGACGTTACTCTCGATGACGAGGGTAAATTCAGAAGCCAATGCCTCAAATGACGATACCACCAGTGTATAAGTACCAGGCTGGATGACGGATGCATCGCATAAAGTCATTCCGCGGGTATATGCCTCACTGGAAGCGATGACCAAGGGTCCTGTGGCGTACGACACTCGTTCACCGCCACGAAGAAGTGACGCATGTACATGAAGTTTTGAGGTAGTCATCAGAATGGCTAAAACCCGTGGAAGTAGTGTGCCTTCATGCACCACAATTCGGAACTGTGGGTTGTGTCGAAAATGTGGTGAAGTGATGGGCCCTCCGACAGTGAGACCACGCCAGGCTCCCTTCATGACAGCGCGATGAGGAAGCGTATAAGGCGAGTGATTTAAATGGATGGGACATGATGCATAGGCAGAAAGTGTATATGAAATGCAATTAGAGGTGCCGTGACGTGACACCTCAACCGTGTAGGAAGCATCCCGTGATGCATCTAATTGCATCAAAGTGTGGTTCACACTCACATAGATACCCATAAGACCGCCCCGTGTCATGTCCATGCGACGCTGTGATCCATGACTAGGAAATGCATGCAAGGCAATAAACTCGTTCTCTTGTTCGTCGAGCGAATGACGTTTCAGGTGCCGCTCGAGATGAATCCAAACAGGCTGAGGGGTATCACAGTCCAAAAAAATGTGGTACTGGTCTGTTTGTGCCATATGGTTTTCATCCAAACGCACAGTAAAGCCTGTCGCATCCCAAGCTGCATCGAGCGTGAATTTGTGAGAAAACAATGCAGGATTCCAGTTAACACACAACATCTCAAAGGAACGACACATGGTATCCCAAGACATGTGAAATATGGAACACTCGCTCGAGTCCAAATGCTTCCAGGGATTCACAATGGACACGATTCTCTCGCCCTCGCACTCTTTGAGAGCAGTGATCCCGTAGCAGTGCAAGGGAATCAACCTTTTGTCCTCGCATGATGTACCCGTGCCTAGTGTCAGGAGACAGTTTCCTGATTTCCATGCAGTCCAGAGACGCGACCACGTCTTTTCGCGTTGGAAGTGTGAATCAGACAGCGGCATATGTTCTGGGATCCATCCCGTCAACATATAAAGATCGGTCGATGCATCGGAACCATGAAATTCGTAGCTGCTAAAGCGCGCCATAAGAAAGGCTTTCTCAATCAGCCCAAGCCACAGCTGCGGCGATTTGCATGGGCGTACACAGAGAAGATCATGGTTTTCAGAAAGAGGAAGCGTATCATCCAAGACAATCCTGCGCGGCCGGCCGCCACAATGCATTTTCACCACATACTTGTGGTTCATGGATGTCGTTGGAAGGCCATTTTGGGACTTTGGGTATAGTGGGCGATGAGATAGATCCGTGCCAAACACGGCGTCGTGCTCCAGGGTAACTTCCAAGGCAGCGACGAAGGAGCAGTCTGTCACAGAACCCTGCTGGATGTCACCACCACGGAGCTGTGCCTCGGGTATGTAGTATGGAATACTTGTCGCTCTCCGCATACGACCTCCCAATTGCCGGTGTTGTGTTGAGAGAGCTGGGCGAACGCAGACATCTTCCGTAAATTCGCCTGACGTCTCAAATTCTGCATTTTGCGGGTCATTCGTCCACAAATCCCACTCTAATTGATCCACTTGTATTTTTTCCTTGACCTTTTCGGCTCTCTCTAGCAAGCGTGCGGCGAGCTGATAATGTTCGTGAGCTTGTGGCGAAGAACGTGCGAGAGCTAGAAGCATGTCGGTAGCACGTACATAAGTATCGAGTGCCTCCGTCCAATTTTTCTTCAGCTCAAATTCTACTGCTTTGGATGCTAATGCACGCGCATGCTTCGCCGTTGGCTCTGCATAAGATAGAGACATCAAGCCACGCGCCATGCACGAACCAGGGCGAATAAATTAGTGGTGTGGAGTAAACGGCCAACAGTGTATTATGTTGATTCGCGCTGACAATCCGAGGAAAGTACACTTTATCTACACCGTAATTAGTACCTGTCATGGGTGTACCGTTGGGATGAGTCTACCTGAAGCGCGCCCCGCATAATGTTAACCGTTCCTTTGGATGATTGAGGTGGGCTAGTTTCATGCGCGTGCTTCACAGCATGCCCAGTCTAGCTGTAAATGGGAGGGTTCAAGGAATTGCATGCAATTTGTTGGATCAGTCGGTTCTCCGAGCACTCCGCCCTACCGACCTCAGTCCTACGTATCCATGGGGTTCTCGGCAAGCAGGGAGCACATGGCTTGAAAGCGCGCTCAGGCCTTATGAAGATTCAAACTTTTTGGCTTACTAAAATTTTATATAGGCCACATTGAATCGCAGGGGCACGTCCCATCGTTGTGTCACCATGCTGGCCAGGCTGTCCGTGCGTCATTGTTGCAGGGTTGGCCAGCCCTCCATGATACCCATGCGTGCTATGCACGCGAGTCCACTTCGAGACAGTGCGTGGGCAGTTCCACCTATCGCGGCAGATCAGCATGTGCCGCTGCCGCCTATTACCAGGCATGATATTCAGAGTTCTAAAGATAACGGCACACCTCTGGTTTGCATCACAGCCTTCGATTATCCGACAGGTCTGGCGGTTCGCGGAGCTGGTGCCGATATGTGCTTAGTAGGTGACTCACTGGCGAATGTCGCTCTGGGATATGCGTCCACCCGCGCCCTAACACTGGATGCCTCGATTCATCATGGAAAAAGTGTGCATGCGGCTCTTCATGCCACGGAGCTCCAGTATGATCGACGCTGCCCTCGTGCACCGCTGATGATTGTGGATATGCCATTCGGCTCGTTTATTGGCTCCATGGACGATGCTGTGATGAATGCGGCGCGCGTCATGAAGGAGACGCAAGCGGCTGCCATCAAGATGGAGGGCTCGATGGAACTTGTTCCGCTCATTGAGCGCCTTACGAGTGCAGGGATTGACGTGATGGGGCATATTGGTCTGCAACCCCAGCACTTCGGTGATGCAGCGGGCTTCAAAGTCCAGGGCAATACCGTACGCAGTGCTCTATCTGTGCTGCATACGGCACTCGCTCTTGAAAAGGCAGGGTGCTTTTCGCTGGTGATCGAGTGCGTGCCATCCAAGGTGGGTGAGGCCATCAGCCAGCGACTGCACATTCCTACCATTGGTATCGGCGCAGGCCCCGGTACGCATGGGCAGGTGCTGGTGTGCAGTGATGTGACGGGAGATCTTGCGAGCCCCTCCCATGTATCTGCCGTTCTTGCAGGCTTGGATGCATCGAACGACGCAGCTGTCGAGAAGAGCATGGTGCCTCACACGCCGGCGTGGCCAACCCCGCCTAAGTTCGTGCGTTGTTTTGCCGAGCCAAGACTGGGTGCCGCGCGCATATCTGCATTGCGAAGTTTTTCAGAGGCTGTGCGTCAGCGTACTTTCCCTGACAATGCTGTCGAGGCATATCGCATCAAGTCCCATGAGTGGGCCGCGTTTGAGCGCGCCATAGCCGACATACCCCGACGTTGACGACCATGTGGAGAAGCGTTTTCCGTCTGACCATGTGGGGACGTGCGTTGCGACCGACTTTCGTGTGCGGTGGCGCCTCAACAGCGCATGCGCCTCTTCTGAAATTGGACCGCGCGCATATCCCAGGTCTGCGGCATGTGGTGGGTCAGGGGCTAGCCGATAAGCCGTCGCTTTCATGGACGGTGAGCGACGGTGGTGCGAGAGAATGCTGGGCCATTGTAGCGCCCTCTGCCGACCAAGGTGGACAGGCACGCCAGGCGCTTCGCGATGTATGTACACGAATACTAATGAAGATTCTTCTGGGACGCCAGCGTCCACGTCTCGCCGATAATCTGGCGATGCAGCATGCATCTGTCTTTGCGTCGCTTCCCTTGCGTTCGATCGCGCACGTCTCCTTTGAGACTCGGCACCCGGGCTCTGGTGACTTTGTGGACTATGCTACTAGATATGGCTCGATCCGGGGCACTGACCGCGTGACACTGTTTGAGCACCTGATGGAGTCATGCGGTATTTACACGGGTGCAATTGCACGGCAGCATATGCGTCCGGACCCTCTGGCATGTTCGCAGGACGACACGGGACTGCTCAAGTGGGAGTCGCAGTCTGTGCAAGAGAAAGTTGTGCAAGAGGCACGCCTTGTACGAGAGCGCATTCATGCCAAGGCACCTCTACTAGGCCTTGAGGCACTACTTACGCGACCTGTGATCGCACTGAGTAATGGGCAAACCCGACGTGCGCGTATCCTCCAAGCGCTGCTAGCGGGTGCCAAGTGTGTTGTGATGGAGGAGCCATTCACGGGTCTCGATCCGCCAACGCGCCAGGACGTGTCGGGTCTTTTCGCGTCGCTGCATGCACAGCGTGCGCCACGCCTGCTGCTCTTCCTGCGTGAGCAGGATCCCATTCCCGACTTTGTAACACATGTTCTGCGTATAAATGAGCCTGGCGATGTGACGCAGCTTGGTCCCAAGTCGGAGGCGGCGCCGGCCTCTACGGCCAGCTATCCGCCGGGAGGCTATGCTGTGGTAAAGGGCAATGCAAGTCGTGGCCGTGGCTTAGGCGATCAGAGCCAGCATCCTATCATATCGATGCGAGATGTCTCGCTCTCTTACGGCTCGGCAGACGTTCTGCAGCACGTATCACTGGACTTGTGGCCTGGCTCACGTATGGTTCTTGTGGGCGACAATGGTAGTGGCAAGACTACACTGTTGTCGTTGCTCCTCGGTGATCACCCGCGCTCGTTTGCCATCCCGCAGAGCCAGCTGAGTCTGTTTGGGCGGGCGCGTGATGCGCCACAGAATGCCCATATATTACTACAAAAGCGCATGGGCCATCTTTCGCCTGAGCTCTACAATGCGTTTCCGCGGAAGAATCTTGAGGCGGGCGGCCTCACTGTGGCTGATGCCGTATCGAGTGGCTTTGATGGTATTTTTACATACCGCCGACGCAGTGAGGCGCAGATGGCCCGTGTGTACCAGTTACTTGGGCTTTTTGCATCAGAGCTAGTGAGCCAGTCGCCAAGTCGATCAGCGACGAGCATCGAGAGGCTGGCCGACACGCCCCTGACTGACCTGACTCATGGATCACAGGCGCTCGTGCTACTCCTACGCGCAATTGTCCACCGGCCTGCGCTCCTAGTCCTCGACGAGCCATTCCAAGGGATGAGCTCGCGACAGCTGGCCAAGGCACGTGCGTTTTTAGATGTCACCGATGATCGCTGGGTGTACGATGGCATGCCGGCGGAAGAGCAGGCGCTGGATCGCACGTGGCGCCAGCAGCTGGCCCTCGTGATTGTAAGTCACTACGAAGCCGAGTGGCCGCTTTCATGCGGGCGCCTACTGCGCCTATCGGCAGGTCAAGTCATGGAGCAGTGGTAAGCTATGGACCTTCAAAGACCACCGACCAGTCCTGTGCCACAGGCAAGCGCGGATCACGCACCTCCAGGGTTGCGGTAGCCGCATCGTACGTCCATGAGAGCTCGGCTGTGTGGCCCTGCGCGTCCGTCGCAACTACGCGCTTCGGCTCGGCGGGCCAGCCCAGCAAGACGAGGCGCTCGACCCGCACCTTGGCCATTTCGCGCTCAAACGCATTGTCGGGCTGCTGGTACACGGCATCGCTCGACGACGACACGAGAACGTCACGCTCCCGCAGAGCCGACGCGCGCAGACGCAGGGCGGTGCCCTCCGGGGCCAGGATAAAGCGGCGCGCAATGAACGCCGACGCATCGCGGTACGCAAAAGTCTGGCCGTCGTCCATGTACAGCTGCCCTTCTGCACGCTGGTCCTTGCTCACAGCCACGTATAGGGTAAACGGATCAAGGCGCTGCAGCTCTGCTGCGCGGCGGTGCCGCATGCGCATAGGCAAAATCGAGCCGCCACGCAGCAGGAGCGGGACCTCGTGCGACAGGGGGGCGGGGACGGTGATGCGGCGCTGCGGTCCGTGGTATGCCTCGTGGGAGAAAAAGTGGTAGTATACCTGGTCGTCAGAGAGGTACACGTCAATGCTCGTGGCACCCTTGTGCGTCGGAGGCTTGACGAGGAGGCCTGTGTCGCCCAAGAAGTACTGGTCATCGATGGAAAAGCCCTGCTCGTCGTGAGGGAATACGAGGCCCTGCGGCTTTAGCACGGGCTGCCCGTTCACGCTCGACTGCCAGAATGCCGTATACCATGCTGGCAAGAGCTGGTAGCGCAGCTGCAGGAGCTGGCGCAGAGCATCGCCCAGCTCGCCGTCGTAGAGGTACGGCTCGCGGCGCTTGGTGTCGATATGCGCATGCGCGCGGAAGAACGGCTCAAATATGCCCGCCTGGTACCAGCGCAAAAGCAGCTCAGAGTCGGGATTGCCAAAGAAGCCGCCAATGTCAGCGCCGCAGAAGCTCATACCGCCCATGCCGTTCGCGAGAATCATGGGTACACTGCCAGCAAAGTGCTCCCAGGTACCCATATTGTCACCTGTCCACACGGCCCCGAAGCGCTGCGTGCCTAGCCACCACGCGCGACTTAGCACAAATGGCCGGCGCTCAACACCGCGCTGACCATGCTTGTCCGTGGTGCCCAGCTCGCGGCGCGTCAAGCCTGTGGCGGTCAGGTTGTGCATAATCAGGCCGTTGATGTTGTGGATCGCGCGGTTCTCCCACCCAGGGTAGTGCAGCAGGTCCTTGGGCGAAGTGACCTCAGGGCCGCCAAAGATGGCTGGCTCACTCATGTCGTTCCAAATGAACAGGTTGCGCGCATTGGCGAACAGCTTGCGTGTGGCAAGCGAGTGCTGCTCGATCCACCATGGCCACGTCTTGGGATTGAAAAAGTCGATCCAGCTGGCATCGCCACTCCAGCACTTGCCCACATACTCTTCCTTGGCATTAGGCCGCTTGACAAATAGGTCCTGCTCTTTCGCCTCGTTGTACAGGTAGTATGCGTCCGTCGTTTTTAGGTGGGGATCCATAATAATCACCAGCTTACGACCACGCGCGTCTAGGGCGCTGAGCATACCCTCCGGATCCACAAACGCTGAGCGGTCCCACACGCCGTACATGTGGTCCTTGCTGTACTCAATATCGAGCCACAGCACGTCCACGGGCATGTCGGCCTCGTCGAAGCGCTCGCTGACCTCCTTGACATCGTCGTCCGTCAAGTAGTTCCAGCGGCTTTGGTGGTAGCCAAGTGCAAAATACTGCGGGAGAGCCGTGCGGCCCACGAGTTGCATGTAGTCGCGCATGTTCTGTGCAAGCGATGGGCGCAGGAAGACGAACAGGTCCAAAATGCCGGCCTCTGAGTAAAAGTACGCGTGTGACGACTGCGCCGAGGAGCCGCCCGCGCGGCTCGCGGCGTCCTCGCGCGAGGTACCCACGGAACGCACGTTGGGGCCGGGACGCTGCGACGTCTTGTGCAGGTCGACGTATGTCTCGGCGGCGTTGAGCCATAGCACACTCACTGCCGAGCTCTGGCTCACTGCGTGCAGCACAGGGGCATTGCCATACAAAGCGCGAGGGTTGTCGTACTCGTACTCAAACACGTCTGTGTTCATCATGCGGTATGGCTCAGTAAAGCGGCCCTGCTCCTCCTTTTCGCCCTTGGGTGGCGCGCGTGTCGAGCGCAGCGATAGGGGACTCGCATGCTCGGGAAGGCCGTACAGCGTCCCGTAGCCGGGGAACGAGATATCGAGCGCGATACCCTCGGGGCCGCGCGGCTTCGAGTCGGTCGTACCAGACCACGTCTCTTCCCACTCGCCGGCGTCCGGCACCTCGAACTGCGACCACTGCTCCAAGGTGGCGCTGGGCGCCTTGTGGCGCTTTTTCAGGGCCGCCTTGCGCTCCTGGAACACGAGCTGGCGCGCCTCATCCGTGTCATCTGGCAGCTTCTCCGGCTTGGCACGGTAGTGCTCCATGTGAAGGAGAGCGCGCTCATTCAGCACGACTTGCACGACGCCGTCACGCACAAACGAGAGGCGCAGCGGCTGCAGCTCAATGTGCACGCTGTGGTCGTGCTGGCCCCAGTGCACGGCCACGTGCCCGTCCTTGGCGGTCATGCGCACGTCTGTCGCAGGCTCAGGCGTGGTTGCTATGCCCCACTGGCCAGCCTCGTTGTAGTGCTGGCGGCCCTCGTACGTCGGTCCTGCCTCGTCCATCTGTACGCGCGCATTTCCATCAGCCAGGAACGTGAGTGACAGCGTAAATGCAACACTTTCGTGTAGGGCCGAGTGGATGGGCATGCGCAGGACATGCGCGTCCAGTGTGGGTGCACCTGCCGAGTACGGCGACACAAAGCGCCCAAACGATTCCGTGTACTCGGCGCGGCGGCGGAAGCGGCGGCAAAAGCTCGAGTCGCTGCATGACTTGAACTCGCCCGGATTTACAGCAGCGGCAAGCAGACAAGCGCTCGCCAGAACGGCCACCGCAAGCCACCAGCGAAGGCGGGCGTGCATGACGAGGGGATCGAGGCCCCTGCTCCATGGCCGGCCAGCGAGGCCGCGTTGGATTACGTAAGTAGCAACGCCGTCGCCGGGCGGCCGCGGCGCTGCTTGACTGTGGACGCCATGGACATGGCCTCGCTGCAGTGGGCGTGTGCGTAGTGAGTTTCTGACGCAGACCGTGCTCAAAAGTGTCTGGGTGTGCAGGCGGGTGTGCCGGACTTTGCGCCGGTGCCAGGTTTCGACGGTGCGCACCAGGGCGCTCGTGTGCTCAAGTACAGCCCGAACGGCGTGCGGCTCGCCATGGCCATGGACGGCACGGTGCGCATATATGATGTGCAGGAGCACAGCGTGGTGCTTAAGCATGAGCTGCCGTTGCCGAAGGCCGTGGAGCTGGCTTTTTCGCCCCGCGGCACATACCTGATGACGTGGGAGCGCCCGGTCAAGACCGAGAGTGGCGCGTGGACCAAGAACTTGTCTGTGTGGGACGCGGCTACCGGTGCGCAGCTCGTGCAGTTTGAGCGTCGCCAGATTGAGGGCTGGGAACTGCAGTTCACTGACCGCGAGGACTACTGCGTGCGCCAGGGCAACAACGAGCTGCAGGTGTGGGCCCCCCAGCACTTTGCCAACGGCTCGGTCGCTCGTCTGCCTGTCGAGCACATGCAGAGCTTCAACCTGGGCCCCGGTGCGCAGCCTGCTATGGCCGTGTTCACTCCCGAGAAGAACGGCGCGCCCGCGTTCGTGCGTGTGTATGCCCTGGCATCGGTCCTGCAGGGCGGCGCGACACCCGCTGCGCAAAAGTCGTTCTTCAAAGCGGATAAGGTAACGATCAAGTGGAACGCGGCTGGCTCGTCGCTGCTGGTCATGACGTCGACGGACCACGACCAGACAGGCAAGTCGTACTACGGCGAGACGAACCTGTACATGCTCTCTGCGCGCGGCGACTTTGACTGCCGCGTCAGCCTCGACAAGGAGGGCCCTATCCACGACTTTGCGTGGAATCCCAACAGCCGTGAGTTTATTGTGCTGTACGGCTACATGCCCGCTAAGGCTGTCGTCTTCTCGTATCGGGTGAACATGATCTGCGAGCTCGGCACGCAGCCGCGCAATCTGATTGCGTACAACCCTCAGGGCCGCCTGTTCTGCTTGGCTGGCTTTGGCAACCTTGCTGGCACGGTGGACGTGTGGGACCGCGAGCGCCTCGCGGACGGCAAGCTGTGCACCTTCGATGCGAGCAACAGCAGTGTGCTCGAGTGGAGCCCGGACGGGCAGTTCCTGCTCACCGGCACGCTCTCGCCGCGTCTGCGCGTAGAGAATGGTGTGAAGATCTGGCACTGCTCGGGCCAGCTCGTGCATGTGGACATGGTCGACGAGATGTACGCAGCCGGCTGGCGCCCACAGCGCTTCGCGGCGGTGCCCGAGTTCCCCAAGTCCCTCCCCGCGGCGCCAGCACCGAGTGCCGCTGCCGCGGCCATCCTCGCGAAGAAGCAGGCGGCCTCGAAGCCCGTTGGTGCGTACCGCCCGCCGAGTGCGCGCCAGTCGGGTGCGTCCACGAGCGACTACTTGCGGCGTGACCTGAGCGACGCGCCATCGGCGCCGTATGTGCCGCCAGGTGCGGCGGGGCGCAAGAGCCGCAAGGTGCCGGGTGCGCCGGACAGGGCGGCGCCGAAGCCCACGATGGGCGCCGCAGACATTGGCGCGAACCACGGCGAGGCGGGCGCTGTGGAGAAAAAGCTGCGGAACCTTACGAAAAAGCTCAAAGCCATTGAGCAGCTCAAGGAGCGCCGCGACCGTGGAGAGACGCTGGAGCAGACACAGCTGCAGAAGATTGACACGGAGGCGGATATCCGACGGGAGCTCGCGACGCTGCAATAGCTATATAGTTAGCGCACCGAGTACACCTGGATCAGACGCGTCGCCACGCGCTTTGTGCCGGCCGGCCGCTCGTCGACGCCATAGTGTAGTTCAACGTCGAGCTCACGCTCGTTCGTTTTCGACGCATACACGCGCATCTCGCCATCGATCGTGGTGCCTGCCTGCGCCTCCACGGGCGTCTTGAGCAAGAAGATGGTCTGCTTCCAGTGCGTCGGCTTGCCGAACGGCGACGTGGTGAACGAGACGACCTCGCCCGGCGTCGACTCGCTCTCGGGCACAACTTCGTTGCGCTGCAAGTCAAGGCCGCGCACTTCGTCCGGCTGCACGGGCGGCGTCCGCACAGGCGGCAGCTCGTCAAACGGCACGTGTGCACGCGGCGCAAACCACGTGTCGAACCACGACACCAGACCGTGCACCGTGCATGGCTCGTGGATCGTCAGCCGGAACGGTGTGGCGAACTCGGGCTGCCGCGCGGGCAGCGACTCGAGAGGGAGGTCGCACAGCGTCGCTGGCGCACTGACGATCGAGGCCGCTTCGACGTCTTCGGTCGCGGCCTCGTCCGCGAGGCCCTGCGTCATGCTCGGCATGCGGAAGCCATACACCTGGTCCCAGAAGCGCAGACGCTCACATAGCACGCCCTTGTCGGTGGCAGCCGCCAGCACCATGCGAGAGTGCGATGGCGCGAGGATGCCGTCAGGCTTCAGGTACCGGTCGCGCGCATACAGCACAGACGGCAGCATCGACTCGTACAGCAAAAAGTAGCCCATCCACTCGCTCACGATGAGATCGACCTGGCCGACCCACGGCGCGAGGACGTCATCGAGTTCCTCCATCTTGCCGCGGAACACACGCACGACGTGCGTGAACCCATTCTCCTCGACATTCGCCTTGGCGCGCTCAGCCACGTCGCTGGCGTCAATGGCCAGTACATGCTTGGCGCCGGCGCGTGCGCAAAAGAGACTGAGGATGCCCGAGCCGCAACCCACGTCCATCACCGTCTTGCCGCGGATCAGGTGGGCATTCGCCGGCGACAGGATGAACTTGGCGTACGAGAGCGTGCGCACCGAGTCGGCAATCATCGTCTGGTGGATGTCATGCCCTGCATAGCTGTCGAAGTACAGCTTGTCGACGCCCGTGGGCGCACGTGCCACGGCCGGCGTCGTGTCCGCGGCGTCGGCGGACGTGATGCCCAGGCGGGCCGCGTATTGAAGGCGCAGCTCCTTGTACGCCTGGCGCAGCATCGCAAGCTCGGCCTGCGTATCCTGACCCGTGGCCTCGTCGGCGAGGTCCAGCTGCAAGAGCCCGTCGTTCTCGTACCCGGGCACCGGCTGCAGCTCCGCGTCGTCGCGCAAGAACGGCTCGTGGCCGGTGAGCTGCATAATAGACGCCGGCGTCGCGCGCGGCTGCGTCGACGGGCGCCGGATGTAGTTGATGAGCCGGATCACCTGCAGCGTGTCGAGCTCGAGGCGCGCGACGAGCTGCCGCAGATCGCACCCCTGCTCTGCGGCGTGCTGCAGCGCGGCTTCCGCGTTGGGAAAGGTAGCTGCGTCGTCGGGGAAGAGGGCGCGCGTTGGCACATCTTCTTCGTCCCACCCATCAAAGTTGTTGTCCTCACGGGCCCATAGCTCCTGCTCCTCCGCGCGCTCGGGGGCGCCCTGCGGGTCCAGAGACATGGTGGATCGCTACAACCCCTAATCACGTGCGATGTCCTAGCGCTTCGACTGGCGGATGCGCTGGACGTCGCGGTCGCTCAGGTGCAAGACACCGCCGCGGTAGTGGCCAACACCGCTACCGATACCGCGCTGCCGCTGCTTTGGCTGTGTGGCTTTGGAGCCGCGCGCCACGCTCGAGCCGCGCGTCATGTGCGACTGCTTCTGCGCCTTGGGATTCCATAGCCCCAGCTCCTTCTGCGTCGCAATCTCGCGGTCTCGCCGCTCGCCTGCCGCGCGCCGCAGTCCCTGGCGGATACGTGCAGGCATCTTTCCGAGCTCCTTCTTCTTGAGCTCGTTCTCAGCCCATGGCGAGCCGGCCGCGGGCCGCTGAATCGTATCTGCGTTCGATAGCTCCAGCACACGGGCGAGAGTCTCGTTCGTCGTGGTCGTCAGTTTGCGCTTCTTATTCGAAGCGTGAGAGCTGCCCGGCGCAAAGAGCGTCGTTGAGAGCAGTTCTGTGAGCTTTTGGTCGTTGGCGCGCTGATCATCGTCGTCCGAGTCGTCGCCACTCGGCGCAGCAGGCGTCGCCTCGGGCTGGTCCTGGGCAATGCGCTCAATGTCGGAGGACTAGGTTAGTCAGAATGCGTACCATGAATTGCTTGCGGGCCTGTTTAGAGATGGGGGCCGAGGTCCGTGAGGACGACGGATCGGTGAAAACGACCGTTTCAGGGACGCGACGCGTAGGCTTCGTAGCAGGGGGCGCAGCTGAGGCGGCCGTTCGGGCAGCGAGAAGAAGGTCCTTATCATCGTCCAAGTCAGAACCTCCCTCGTCCTCATCGTCGCTTTCCTCGTCCCCGTCGTCGCCCTCCTCGTCTCCGTCGCCCTCTTCTTCGTCCTCGTCCGCGACGCTCTGCTCGTCCATCTCGTCACTGTCTTCCTCCTCGTGTGAAGTCGCCTGGCCCGGCACGGCAAACTGCTCGTAAAACTGGGCCTCGAGCGCGCGGAGTTGCGCCTGCCGCGTCGCGCCGCTCATGCCAGGGACGAGGGTGTGGAGGAACCCAAACCTTGCCATGCGACCACACGCGCCCCAACGGGAGGACGACTGGGAAGAGGCAGTTGTCAAGGAGATTCTAGCACACAGGTACAGTGTGAACTCGGTATGCCTTTTGGACTCATAGCAGGACCGCCTCGAGTACCTAATCCAATGGCACGACAATGATGCCACTTGGGAGCCTGAGCAAAACTCGGTCCAGGCCGAGAAGCTGGTGTACGATTACTGGACGATCCGGCAGGGTGTCGATCCGGCAACGGCATTGGAGTATGTGTACTCTCTCAGTGGCTCCAATGAAGAGCCTCGCACACCAATCGCCCGGGTACTCTCTCGTTTCATGTGCGAGCCGCCTTCCAGGACGACGCGCGACGCGTCCATACGGCCTCCCCAGGATGTCCAGCCCGCACAGGTTGCGCACCCAGCACAGGTTGCCCATCCAGCACAGGCTCCCTACTCAGCACAGGCTGCGCATCCAGCACAGGCTCCCTACCCAGCACAGGTTCCCTACCCAGCACAGGCTCCCTACCCAGCACAGGCTCCCTATCCAACACAGGTTCCGTACCCAGCACAGGCTCCCTACCTAGCACAGGCTCCCTACCTAGCACATGCTCCCTACCTAGCACATGCTCCCTACCTAGCACAGGTTGCCCATCCAGCACAGGTTGCCCATCCACCCCAGGTTGCCCATCCACCCCAGGTTGCCCATCCACCCCAGGTTGCCCACCCAGCACAGTTTGCCGAGCCTGCACGGAATACACAGCTTGCACAGGATACCCAGCCTACGCGGAACATGACGCCAGCACCAAAGTCCCAGCCGACACAGAGGTCAGTGCCAGCACACGACTCTCAGCCAACGCAGGACGTGCCAGCACACAACTCCCATCCGACAAAGGACCTGCCGACACACCCTCAGCAGACACAGGGCATGCCAACACACAACTCCCATCCGACAAAGGACCTCCCGACACAGACCCCTCAGCAGACACAGGGCATGCCAACACACAACTCCCCGTCTGCACAGGTCGCGACGCCTGCAGACAACTCCCAGCCTACAGAGGACATGCAGATACAGGACTCTCAGCCAGCACAGGACGCTCTGCCAGCACACATTTCCCGGCCTGCACAGGCTGCGACGCCCGTACACCACTCTCAGCCGACACAGGGCATGCCATCACAGGACTCTCAGCCGGGACAGGACGCTCTGCCAACACACAGTTCCCAGCCTGCACAGGTTGCGGCGCCCACTAACAACTCCCAGCCCACAGAGGACATGCAGATACAGGACTCTCAGCCGGCGCAGGACGCTCTGCCAGCACACAGCTCCCAGCCTGCACAAGTTGGTGCGCCCGTACACCATTCACAGCCGACACAGGGCATGCCATTCCAAGACTCTCAGCCAGCGCAGGACACGCTGTCGCCCCGGCACTCGCAGCCAGCCCAGGACACACAGCACACGCCGGGTCTTCCAGGGATCGAATCTCCGGCCCCCCCTGGTGCCCCAGGTCCAGTCTCTTCCCCAGCGGCTCCACCGCGACGCTCCTCGAGGCATGCGACCTCGGCGCCCGACGCGGGTCCGCCCGCCCCGGTCCCCCAGGACGTGCCGCCTACCAAGCCGGCGTTCACGTCTGTGCGCCAGGGAATGACGGCGCGCGAGATCAAGGATCGCCAAAAGTTCGATGCCCTCGAAGATTGGAAGGGGCACGTGCACCGCGTGGAAACGGTGCGGCGCGTCGACGCGGGTCTCGAGGCCCTCGTTGTATTTCGGAATGGCGTGCGCCTATCGTATCCCACGGCGCTGACAAATGTTCGGTGTCCACAAGCCATGATTGAATTCTACGAGAGTCGTGTGCGGTTCGTGACGCGCAGCGCGGACCCGAAGCTTGATACCCATAAGGGCTCGGCGAAGCCGTCGGCCCGTACATAGAGGAACCAGTGGAGGTGTCCCTTGCTGTGGCCGCCCATGCAGGTGGCGACGCGGATCCCCATCTACACGCATGAGCAGGTACGCTGCCGGCTCTGATGCAGACCGTTGCGCGCGAGGCGGCGCCGTGTGTGCTGGAGGCTATGCTGCATGTGATATGCTTTGTGCGGCTCCTGGGGCTCCTTACGCCCGCGACGCACCATGTCGGCGACACGGAGCTGGTGCGTAACTGCGACTGACACAGCCGGTCGTTGCCGACGATGCCGTGGCGGCGCGCCTGCGCGAGGCCGTGAAAGAGATCTTTGCGCGTCTCGATGAGCAGGGACATGCGGGGCGCGTGTGTGTGGACGTGGTCATGGGGTGGCACAAGACCGCGCCGGCGGCGGACGCGCGCGGCGCGCGCCCTGCGTCGCCGGACCGCCTCGCATCGCCGGTGCCCGTGGAAAAGCACTATGCCGTCTTCCACTCGCCCTACTCGTGGCTGGCGTCCGCACTGGCAGGGACGCGGCAGGGCAAGGCCGACGAGGCGCGGCGCCCGAACCAGCTGCTCACGCGGGACGCCGCGCACGACGGGGCCGCGTGGGAGACGTTCGAGCAGTGGGTCCTAAGTCTACAGGTGCACTACGAGGGGCCCGCGTCGGTGCCGGAGCTGCAGTCGTTCGCGACCTCGGCGCTCGCGTTCGCCAATGCGCACCAGGCACAGCTCCCTGCGATCCTCGATGCAGGCCTGTGTCCCTTTCCCTTCACGATTGATAGCACCGTGCGCGCCTAGCACTGCGCGGTGCTAGCCACGACCGACATGAGCATGGGGTCGATCCCCGGGAACTCGGACACGAGCATGTCGTCGAGCGCCTGGAGCGTCTGCATCGACAGCGAGTGCATGCCCGTGGCGCGGTGGTGGGGATACATGCCGTAGGCATCCAGACCCGACACGTGCACAAGCAGGCGCGACGGATCGCGCGCGGTCGCCTCGTGCGCCGGCGGCGAGCGCACGCGCGTGTCGGCCAAAGGTGTCGGCGGCGGCGGCGGCGCACGGATCGTCAGCCGCACCTCGAACGTGTCGTGGCCCAGGCGCGAGACGTCCTTGAGGTGGTGCCGCTGCAGGCCCGCCGGCGGCGGCGCGGGGAAGTCCCACGCAAGCACATCCGCATCGAACGACAGCGTCGACCAGGCGAGGCCGGGGTGCTCCCAGCGCATGCGCACCTCGCGCGTCCCGTTCGCGGGGTCGGCGCCGAGCTCCTCGCACGACAGGCGCAGGTCGCGCCAGCGCGCCGGGTCGCGCGCTGCGGCCGTGCGCGCCGGGGACCGCGGCAGCGTCAGGCGCGTCGGCTGGATAAAGTGCGTGAGGGGGAACAGGACGTCCATGTCCGGCGCCGCATGCGGGGCATGGTCCCAGCTGAGCGTCGTGTTCGCCTCGCCATGCAGGAGCACGTCGCGGAGACGCGCATCGAGCGCCGCATCGCGCGCGGCCGAGTCGAGGGGCGTGTACGCGACGTGCCACTCGCCGCTCGTGATGTTTTCCACGTGGTGCACGAGGAGGCGCCGGGGGTGGCGGTCGTCGAACGTCGGCACGGCCGGCAGCGCAAAGAAGGCGAGCATGGCCACGGAGAGCGCGAGCAGCACGCCCAACGACGTGCGCATGAACCGCAGGCCGTAGCGGTGGCACAGGGGCACCCACACGCCGCTGTTCAGCGTGACGAGCACGGCGACGAGCGAGGCAATCACATGGTCGACGGGGACGTCGGTGCCCATGCGGCCCATGAGCGGCACAATCAGGTCGAGGAACGAGATGAGGCCCTCGAGGCCGAGCGTGGCGACCGGCACGAGTGCCAGCAGGTACGCCACATAGTGCACGCGCTGGTCCGGCGCCACGGCGTCGGCGGCGATGCGGCCGAGGCCCTGGAGCGCGAGGTCGTTGACGGCGATTGGCACGAACGACGCAAGCATCGCCAGCATCATCATGTATGCCGAGCCAAGTCGGAAATAGTTCATCAGTAGCATGCCGAGCGTGTAGATGACAGCGGCGCCGGAGAACGTCGTATACTCGAGGTACGGCCGGCGCGTCGCCTCGATGCGGTAGTGCAGAACGAGCTGCACGCCGATGAGTGCGGCGAGCACCGGCGGGCCAAACAGCAGGGCCGCGTACGCCTCGTGCCCGAACCACGCGAGCGGCGCACCGAGAACGCGCAGGGCAGCAGCCACGACGTTCGCGGCCGCGACGGCCGCGGCGTAGCTGAGCACGAGCGCGACGGAGCTGAGCATCGACGTCGACATAAACGCGATGCGGCGCTCGGACGAGTTGATCGCGCTCAGGTAGAAGTTGAGCGCGACGGCCAGCGCCGTGATCATGTTTTTGAACAGCTTCGGCGGGAGGTGGACGAGCCAGTGGCCCAGGACGGAGAAGTAGACGGGCAGGAGGGGCTTGAAGCTGTACGGCCACGGGCGGATCTCGGGCAGCGGCGACGCAGGGTCGAGCGCGAGCGACTCGACGAGCGAGAGCACGTTCTCGCCAAAGTGCTGCACAACACCGCGCTCCATGTACGCGGGCGTGTCGCGCCGCGTGTGATACAGGTACGACGAGCCGACGATCGCCATGTCCAGGCCGGGCAGGCCGTGCCCGTACTCGACAAACTGCCGGAAATCGGTGTCGCTCATAATCGCGCCCGACGAAAACACATCGCTCGCGAGCACCGTGCCGAACGGATGCGGGACCCGCGCATAGGCCTGGATCAGGTGCGCGTCCGTCGCCTGGAACAGGAGCGTCGGGCCAGAGACACCGCACGCCTCGAGGTTCACGACGGCGCGCACCGTGTCCTTCGTGGGGGCGTGCTGCGTCATGTACAGGTGCGAGGCGTCCTGCAGCGACTCTTCGCCGTTGTTGAAGAGCAGCAGCACGCCGTGGCGCACACGCGGCGCGCCAGGCATCGTGAGCACACGCAGGACCTCGAGCATAATCGCCACACCCGCGCCGTCGTCCGCGGCGCCGGGCGACGGCAGCGTGCTGTCGAGGTGCGAGTTGAGCAGCAGCGCATCCGCGCGACTCTCGGGGGTCCCGTCCGAGACGCGCACGATCAAGTTCGACATGCCATAGTAGCGCTTCCACACGGGGTGGCCAAGAATGTCAAAGCGGTGCGCGCCGTCGCCCTGCTGGTAGAAGAGCTCGACGTGTGTCTCGTAGCCATCGCCGGTCGCGTGCACACCCTCGAAGCGCCGCAGGACGTCGAGAAGCCACTGCTCCGCATCGATGTGCCCCTGCGTGCCGACCACGCGGTACCCAATGTCCTCGGCGAGGTGCTGGATCGTGAGCATGGCATTCGCCTCGCTAAAGTGCGCGGGCAGCGGGCCCTGGTACGGCGGCGCCTCCTCGAGCGCCCGCGCCGGCTCATACGCACGCGCGCGCTCCGCGTCGAGCTTGTGTGCGAAGAAGGCCTCGTACCACGCCGCGCTCGCGGGCCCCGCGGGCCGCGGCGCGTCGGGGCGCGTGGCAGCCTGGGGCGCCGGCAGGCGGTAGTGCAGGCCGGTCGTGAGGCACGCGAGCACCACACCCACCACGAGCAGGCCTACGAGCTCGCGCACGAGCGGCTTGCGTGTGCGCGTGTACGCGATCGGCTCGCTGCGCGCTTGGCGCTGCCGGTCGTACTCGGACGGCTCGGTCATGATGGCGGAGGACACGCACGTGGCACTATGGAGGCGTCCGCGGCGCACCGACCGCCAGGCGCCACAGGATCGCATAGCACGCGGGCGTGAAGCCCACGATGCGCTTCGCCTCGCCGAGCGTGCGGGGGCGGATCTCGCGCAGACGCTCGCGCATCTCGTCGCTGAGCCCGTCGACCGCCGCATAGTCGAGCGGCGGGAGGCCCAGGGACTCGTCTTTTTCAAACGCGGCGATCTCGGCGTCCTGCCGCTGCAGGAGCGGCAGGTACATAGCCTGCGTCGCGAGGCGCTCGCGCGTCGACGGCGGGAGCCCACGGAGCTCCGGCACATGCGGAAGCAGGTCGTCGATGCGCGCATGGGGCCGGTGCATCATCGCCAGCGCACTCACCGGCTGCACATCGTCGGCGGCCTGCAGCCCGTGCTGGGCCCACGCACGCGACGTCTTGACCGTGCGCGCCAGGACATCCATACCGTACGCGAGGTCGGCCTGGACGCTGCCCAGGGCCGCGCGGCGCTCCGGCGGCACGGCCTCGGGACACACGCCGAGCAGCCGCGTCGTGAGGCGCACATCGGCGTTGTCCGCGCGCAGCGAGAGGCGGTACTCGGAGCGCGACGTAAACATGCGGTACGGCTCCATGACACCCTGCAGACGCAGGTCATCGAGCATGACACCCAGGAAGGCCTCGCTACGCGCGAGTACGAGCTCCGGACGCCCCTGGGCGCGCAGACCCGCATTGAGGCCGGCCAGCACGCCCTGCGCACTCGCCTCTTCGTAGCCGGTCGTGCCGTTGACTTGCCCCGCGAGGGCCAGCCCCGCAATGCGGCGCGACTCGAGCGTCGGGCGCAGCTCGCGCGGGTCGATGTGGTCGTACTCGACCGCATAGCCCGGGCGCAGAAGCTCCGCCTGCTCCAGGCCAGGGATCGTGCGCACGAGGCGCGCCTGCGCCTCGGCAGGCAGGGAGCACGAGAGTCCGTTGGGGTACAGGACCTCGCCGTCGCCCTGTGGATTGTCCAGGAAGCCCTCCGGCTCGAGCCACACGGGGTGCGACGCCTTGTGCGGAAAGCGCAGCACCTTGACCTCGAGCGAGGGGCAGTACCGCGGGCCGGTATACGGCGTCTGTGCATAGTCGTCACCTGCCGCCTGCTCGCGCACCACCGCATGGGTCGCGGGCGTCGTGCGCGTGCCGTAGCAGTACAGCTGGCGCGCCGGATCGATCGGCGGGCCAGCCGCGTGCAGGAACGAAAAGGCGCGCGGCGCCGCGTCGCCCTCGACGAGCGAGAGCGGCGCCGCGCGCGCGCCGCGCGCGTGGGTATCGGCCGGGTATCGAGCGCCGAGCTGCACGGTACGCGCATCAATGCGCGGCGGCGTGCCCGTCTTGAGGCGCCCCAGCTGGAAGCCGGCGCGTGCGAGTGCCTCGCTGAGCCCGACCGTGCTCGGCTCGTCGCCGGTGTGCGGCAGGGGGAGCATGCGCCCGGCTGGGCGGCGCACCTTGCCCTGGAGAATCGTGGCGGCCAGGAACGTGCCGGTGCACAGCACCACCTGGCGGCAGGGGATCACGTCGCCCGAGCCTGCGGTCAGTGCGTGCTACGTACGCAGTGTGACGCCCTGCACCTTGGCGTGGTGGCCCTCTGCGCCCGCGCCGTACGCGAGCGCGAGGCCATGCACGTGGCCTTCGCGGATCTCGAGGTTCGGCTGCGAGCGCAGCATGCGCTGGATCTCGGTCTTGTACAAGTAGCGGTCCATCTGCGCGCGCGGCCCATGCACGGCCGGGCCCTTGGACCGGTTGAGCATACGGAACTGGATCGCTGCGCGGTCAGCGGCGATGCCGCTCAGCCCGCCCAGCGCGTCCGTCTCGCGCGTGAGCGTGCCCTTGCCAATGCCGCCCACGCTCGGATTGCAGCTCATCTCGCCCATCGTCGCTGCATGCGTCGTGAGCAGCACGGTGCGGGCGCCAGTGCGCGCGGACGCAGCCGCCGCCTCAACACCCGCATGCCCACCGCCGATCACGACCGTATCGACGTGCGCCGTGGCCTGCGTCGCGAGCGCCCGCACACCCTGCCAGCGCCCCGCCGGCCGCATGCTCAGACAGGCCGCGCGCCGCGCCGCCTGGGGGGTTCGTCACGTGATTGTGGCCGTGCGGCGCCACGGTGTTGTTCGCCGGCGTGCCCCGTCTCCTACGCGGATGAGCGCGGCCCCGCAGCAAGCGCAGGAGCCTCGCGCGGAGCGGCTGCCGCGTGCGCAGCCGTCGCTGGACGAGTCGTTCAGTTACGGACTGGGCCTCGGTATCGTCGTGAACAAGGACGGCCCGCGAGTGTCCGGCGCGGATCTCGGCGCGCGCCGCGTCAAGGACCGCCCTGTGTCCGAGATCCTCGCGGCAGGCAACCCGTTCCAGCGCACGGAGACGAACGCGCAGCGTGCGTCGGCTCTGCCCTCGTCGGCGACGGTCGACCGGCTTGCGATCAACGACGTGCTCGAGCAGTACAAGCCGGGCGAGAACTCGATCATCGAGACGTCGTTTGCCGCGCCACCGGCGGCCGCGCCGCCCATGTCGTTCCTTGGCCATGCACTGAATCTCGGCTCGCTGCGCATGCACGACGAGCCGTCGCTCACGGACTTTCTTGTGCAGGACGCTGCCGCAGCGAGCGGGCCTCGCGCGCCGCCCCAGCCGCCGGCGCCGGCGCCGCGCG